TATACAGTTCTAACATTGCCATTCCTTCATTGTTGGGGTCCCATTCGGGATCTACCACTGGGACAACCATCTCTGGCTCTGGGGAGTCTCTGTCCTGTTGGTGGAGACAGTCAGCCTCCTCCCTGGTTTTCCTGAATACCATTCTCTGCTTGTCCAGAGTTAGCAAAGTTTGAAGCACAGACTGTATATGTTACCAGTCAGAGAGGGGGGCACCCCAGACTCCGCAAACCTGCCTGCTCTAAATAGGCTCTGCCATCTGCCACATCAACACAAAACAAATGAGACTTTAGTGGGAAGGAACTTTAATACAATTAGTGAACAATACAGAAAAGATAAAGAATATACTTTCTAAATCAAGCACCCAAAGTTACCCATCCCCTCGTGGGTAAAAGTCCACCCCAAAACAGGATTGGCCCAGAGCAAGGCCCCAAAGCATGACACAAGTCTAAAACATCTTCCAGTGGGGACCCACAGAAAAGGATCAGAAACAACCATACAAGTCTGGGAGGAAAAGAACAAAATCAAAAACAAGACAAAAACCTCCACTGTCACCTCCCCACAGTCTCTCACCCACATTTGTGTCAACCAGTCCACGACCAAAAGGCAAGTGTAGTTTCTTTAGGTGTCTCTCAGCTCCATGTGCCTCCTCCAGGTCTCCTTCTGGCTCCATCCTGCTTCCTTCCTTCCTCAGTCTACTCTGTAGCTTCTTCTCTCCCTTTTCAGCTCCACCCTCCTTTTGGGTGGGGCAGGAAACCTGGAACCTCCCCCTTTCCTGGGGACAAATACCTGCCCAGTTAGGGCGGTGGCAGAGGAAAATAGAGGCAAACAAGTTTGCCATCCTATTAGGAGCCTGCTGGTATGAAGGCTCAGAGCTCCTCCAATTTAAGAGATTCGCGATGCTAAAGAGATGGTGTGACCAAAAGCACCCAGCAGGTTGCCCATGTTCATTCAAGCCACCCAGTGGCATCTGTAGGAGAGGAAATTGTCCTGCTTCAGCGTGACCCTTTCTGCCAAAGTAAGCGCCACATCTAGTGTTGGGAGGAGACACCATTTCAGTTTCCTTCCCAGAGGGCAGTGGAGGCTGTGAAGCCTCAGGAGTCTGCGCAGGAGGGGCCTTGTCACACGGAGAAGGACTTTGTCCTGATATATTTAAGGTCTTTAGCAAATGATGCTCCTCCTCTTCTAACTCTGCTCTCTTGCAGTCCTCATGGGAAGGGGAAGGTTTATCTCTTCTCTATGCCATCAGCTGAGCCTCTGCCATATCCAATTTATGGAGGGCAGCCTGTATCTGGTCCTGCATACTTTCATTTATTTATTTTTTTTAAGATTTATTTATTTATACAAGACCTGGGGTACAGGTCAGATGTGCGGGAGGGTGAGAGAATTCACCAGAGACACCAGAGTGGGGAACAGAACAGGCAGACTGACAAAATATACTGCTGAGGGGAGCAGCGGGTGAGACAGGAGAGGTCTGCTGTGCCAAGTAGGATTCTCAACGGCCAGCCGGGATCAAACTCGCGTTGCAGAGGCTGCGGACAGCTTCACAGTGCGGCGCTCAACCTGCTGCACCACCAGGGAGATCCCTGCACACTTTTAAAAGCTTGATCCTACATGCTTTTAAAAGCTGACTCAAAAAAGGTACGGAGGTGTGGAGGTATGGAGGGGTGAGAGGATTCACCAGAGCTGAGCAGGGGAACCGAACAGGCAGGTTGACCGAAGTACACTGCTGAGGGGAGCAGGCAGAACAGGCAGGTTGACCTAAGTACACTGCTGAGTGGAGCAGCGGGCAAGCCAGAAGAATTCTGCTGCACCATGTGGCCATGGGCTGCTCTGGGGTCAGGGATTAAGCTCTTGCTGCAGTGACTGTAGATAGCTTCGTTGGTTGTATCTAAACCCCTTGCACCACCAGGGAGGCCCCATCCCTCATTCTCTTAGTAGTTAAATCAAGAGCCTGATTTTGTTGTTGCATTGTTAAATTAAGAGCCTGAATTTGTTGTTGCATGGTCCTAATAGGTGGAGTGCAGCATCTAGCTCTCAGAGAAGCAACAATGTAGCCAATGGTGTGCACACACACACACACACACACATACACACACACACATACATACACACACTACCAGAAAAACAGCCAGAAGCACAGATTGCAAAGCAGGGATGGCTTGCAAGCCACATAAGTATATAAAAGCAAAATCATGTGCCACAGCCCTGGTTTAACCACATTATTTACGTTTATAAAGCTGGTAGTGATGTTGAATGAAAAAAAGAGTACTTAAAGTCAAGGCTGGAATAAAACTGAAAGAACTGAAGCTGGGGTGAGTTTGCTTAAGCTCATGGTTGAAAGACCAGACAGAGCATTATGCAAGAGTTAAAAAAAAAAAAAAACTGTTCAAGACCTGGGACAAAGACTTTTACCAGAGTTCTGCAGATCTAGTGCTCTTAAGGTAACCAACGCAAGGAGTTACTTTGGACTGGTCAACCACCGGTGTAACTTGAAAACTACAGTTGGGTGCCAAACTGTTATAGGACAACCCCAATATAAAACAGGTTGCCTGACTGTGGGTCCTTACCTGCCTGCTTAAAAGGGACTTATTAATACTCCACTGCAGGCACACACAAAAGGTTAATAAAAGGTTTATTTACAAAAGAAAGGGGAAATGAAGAAATGAATAACTCAGGGAGAGAAAAGAGGGAGATAAACTCATGAATGCGTCCTACCCTTTCCGCTATCCTGGAATCCCAATGGCACGCTGAGAGCTGGTGAAGAGCCAAGAGCCGTGAGGCCAAGAGAGTGACCCAAGGTCAATGTGTCTGCTTTTATACCAAACCTGGACCACCCTCAGGTCCCAGCAACCCTCCCTTTGGTGATGATGGGATTTGTCAGTTCCAGTGTCTTGATGGCTTTGGTCTGGAGTGGTCAGGCTTTCCATACACAAAGCCTTATGGAATTAGCTCAGGACATCCTTTCCCCCTAACACTCTCACTCCCACACCTCTGGCCTATACCCCAGTTCTTGTATGTATAAATAAATTTTTTTTTTTAATTTTAATTTAAAATTTTTTTAAAGATTTAGTTTTTTAGGGCCTCCCTGGTGGCACAAGGGGTTAAGCATGGCACTATGAAGCACTCCACAGCCTCTGCAGCATGAGTTTGATCCCCGGCCAGGGAGCAACCCACATGGTACAGCAGACCTCTCCTGACCCGCCCGCTGCTCCCCTCAGCAGTGTATTTCAGTCAATCTGCTGATCTGCCTGTTCTGTTCCCCACTATGTCTCTGGTGAGTCCTCTCACTTCCCCACATATCAGGCCTCTACCCCAGCTCTTGTATGCTTAAATAAATAAAATCTTTTTAAAAAAAGAATTTATTATTTATTTATACAAGAGCTGGGGTACAGGCCAGATGCACAGGAGGCTGAGAGGATTAACCAGAGACAGAGTGGGGAACAGAACAGGCAGACTGAAGAAACACACTGCTGAGGGGAGCAACGGGCATGACAGGAGAGGTCTGCCGCGCCAGATGGGACCCTCACAGGCCGACTGTAATTGAACTGGCACTGCAGAGGCTGGGGACAGCTTCACAGCTGGCGCTCAACTGCCTGCGCCACCAGGGGAGGCCCAATAAATAAATCTTTAAAAAAAAAAAAAGGGATATAGAGAGCACACATTTTAGCTCTATCCAGGAAATCTGTTTGTTCTATGTTTGTCTGACTCAGAATGAGCAGATAACCTTGGACATTTTTGTGGTCTCGAAAAGGCTGGGGCTTTGCTCAAGCTGTTATGAAATCTTGTGAGATTAGCACAGAGGATGTGTCTGATGACTCAGTCTTTTTCTCACACCAAGTATCTTCATTTTGGCTGGGGAAATTCCTAGAATATGTACACCATTTAGAAGAAGTAGAGAGATGAAATAATATTTAAGGCTAAATTAAAGAGGAACAAGAGAACAAATTTTTGCAAATGAATTTGTGTTGTTTTCAATAGAAGTGAACAAAACTAATTTGATTTGCAGATATAAAAAAATATAAAATTTTAACAAGAAAGATAGGACAAAACAGTTCCATTTTTCTTCATTTGTATACTAGAAAGGTGTCGACTTAAGATTTTATTGAGCATCTAAATTCAGTAGTTCAAACATTCTACTATAAATATTTCATCTAGAAAATTTTCTGAAGAGGGTCCCCCCATAATCTTCATTTCTTCCTTTACAATGTACTGCAATTCACAAATTTTACTCTAAAATTCTTAAGTCACATCTGTTGCCTTATGTCTATCTGTGCTACTAATGAGGAGTTAAGAGCTTTGTATAGACATAAAATCCTAGGATTCTCTCATATCCATGATTTTTCCAGTGGTGCTTAAAGTTTTGTTCAACTGAAGGAAAAGTCATTTTCTAAAAACTGAATGATAGTAGAATTTTTTAAAATTGCATCAAGTTTCTGTGAAGTGGCAGAATGAAACTGATAAGGGAGAAAATAGTGATAATTTCACATTGTTAGCTTTGATTTTAGACTGTTTAAATTAAAAATGTCCTTATTTTCATAAGGAATAGAATCAAAGAAAAAAATAGAAAATAAAATGGGTTTACAACATTGTATGTGATTCAAAGGCATATACCCCCCTCCTCAGATGCACGTCTGCCCCACACCCATCACAATGGTAACTTTAGTCCTCACCATTTTTATTTTACGTTTTGGTTATAATTATGAAAATATTTTTAGAAGGTAAAAAACAGAGTGTAGATTCATCTAACGATGGAAAATATATACTGAATTTACCAAAGAAAACACAGAGTTGAAAGTAATTTAAAAAAAAAAAGGAAGTAAATGCTGACAGTGAATTTCAAGTGGGTTCTTTTGTTTTGAAAAAGGTTTATACTGTTTTTTCCCCAGATTAAATAATTTCTAATTTTACACAAAAAAGACACTTGCTGAAAAAGTTACTTGCCTTGAGCTTGAGTGTCAGGAGCTTCCTTTCTAAACTCTACTGTCTCTCAGGCCAGTCAGATGGGGGATTACCTTTTAGGTCTTCCTGTGTTGGTGAACTTCAGGAAGTCTGCCTTTTGTAAAGGGTCTTGCCCAACCAAGGCCCAGGTGGGTGGAAGAAAGAAACCACCTCAGGCGCACCACAGCAAACAAGTTGAAAGCAGTTTTATTTAAAGGAACAAGCCAGCTCCTAGCAGCAGTGGGCAGGCCTGAGAAGATTTATGCAGGGACAGATAAAGAAGCAGAACAGCTCCCCCAAGAGTGTGGTCCCAAAAGGGTGGGTGAAAACATCACGGGGGCTTTATAGTTGTGCTCAGGAGTTTGATCTAGGGGATGTGGTATGGTGATCTCAGCTTCTTGATTTGTCAACCTTGGTCCATGTCCAACTATAGATTAATGTGATAGCGTTTTGAGCTTTTTTTTCTTCTTTTGTGATGTTTTGAATTTTCCCTCCTGTTATGTCTCCTGGGGTCCCAGTCCCTATTCCTCCTGTTTTGTCTCCCAAGACCCCAATCCCTAACTTCCTGTCAAGGTCTAACTCCTCACTTGGACACAAAACTCAGATATGACAAAGTGGTACCCCCTGCGCCCAGAGAACACCACTCCCAGTATGACGGAGGGGTAGTATTATTTGTTGCACCTACAAAACTACTTTTAGACAGAAATGCAAAGCAAGCCACTATTTTGCACGACTCAATTTTATTTCATTGCACAACTCAGCCTCTGTCTTAGGCACCTAGCTGTCTCTCCAATTAAATGTTACTCTAGTCTTAAGTCTTATTTTTTTGTCTAATAGTCTCCTCTATTACATCTATATATTCTAGTTCAAATGTTCTTTTCTTGAGATGAATTGTCATCTAAATAATTGGGCCAAGTGTAGTATGCTTAATAGCTAGTATTAGAAAATAGATACAGTATTGCTATGACTGAAGAAAATACACCTGTTTCTGAGTTTATCTATATTACATATATAATAGGTGTTCATATATCATATATACATAGATCTGAATATATTATATATAATGTTTATATATAAAATACAGGACATGTGTATGTCATGTACATGTATGTTTCTAAATATATATAGTATATGTATGTGCATCATGTACAAATACATTTTTAACAATAGAAAGTTTTTATGCACAAAACTAATCAAATGTTTTCATCTGTACTTAGGAGGAAACAAGTAGACTGAAAAAAATTAATTAAAACCTGAGTTGAAAGGAAGTTCCAATATCAAGATCACCCACAGAGAGTAACTTTTCTCAGAAACAAACTCTATCAAGAAACCATGGAAACAGGAGAACTGAAAATGGCCCTTTTCATTCAGTAAATTTACAAATAAAAAATATTGCTTCCTTAGAATTTCCAGGCTTTTAGCAATCTGAAAGATAAAAGGGTCTGGACATGAGCCTTGGCTTCCTCAGTTCCAGCCTCATCAGACCAGATAGAGAAAGCACAAAATGAATCCCGGGAAATGCCTATCTCAGCTCATTACCCAGGTGGCCTTCTGCCTCTGTTAGCCCATTGCTCCCCGCTCTGTTTCCTGGTGAGCTGGTGCTTGGCTGTGTGCACTAGATTTCATCCTATTTGTATGAAAAAGTTGCCTTCTGTTGCACCAAGATAAATTTCCCTATTTGCCTAAAAAGCCAGCAATGTGCTTGAACCCTACGAACTCGCCTTTCAGGTAGATGCAGGAATCTTAACTGTAATATTGCTGCTCTTCACTGCACTATCAACATATTCTTTATTTCTCCATAGAAATCACAGGGAGTTATTTTTGTCACCTTGTGCTGTTGATGAAACAAGATTTGGGAGTTTAAGAATCCTACCTGAGTATATAAAGCCCTTAAAAGGAGCATAGGAACATAAAGCTACGTTTGCCTGACTTCAAATATATATTGTCTTAAGCATAAGCATCAAATTTTACTCTCCCCCCGAAAAAGGCTGGGTCACTTCTGTATCTCTAAAGATAAGACATATTTTTTTGACTTTTTTTTATTTTTAAATAAATTTTATTTTTATATTCCCCATACAATTGCAACCCCCTTATTTTGACCCCAATCCCTCCCCGCCCCGCCCCCACCCCCCATAGAGTGTCTCTGGTTCATAGTTTTTTGTTGATTTTGATTTTCACTTTCTTATAGTTATTCATTTTCCTGGTCCCTTATTTAAGTTTTCTAGATTCCTGCTATGAGTGAGACCATCCGGTATTTTTCTTTTTCTTTCTGGCTTATTTTGCTGAGCATGATCCCTTCCAGCACCATCCATGTTGCTGCAAATTGCATGTGTTTATCTTTTTTGAATGCTGAGTAATATTCCATGGTGTATATGTACCACATCTTCTTGATCCAGTCATCTATTTTTGGGCATTTGGGTTGTTTCCAAAGCTTAGCTATTGTAAATAGTGCTGCTATAAACATAGGGGTGCAGGTGTTCTTTGGAATTGATGTTTCTGTGTCCTTTGGGTAAATCCCTAGGAGTGGAATTGCTGGATCATATGGAAGCTCTATGTTTAGTAGGTCCAGAAATCTCCACACAGCTCTCCATAATGGTTGGACCAGTTTACACTCCCACCAAGAGTGCAGAAGAGTTCCTTTTTCTCCACATTCTCGCCAACATTTGTTGTTGCTAGTTTTTTTTTTTAATATGTGCCATTCTCACTGGTGTAAGATGGTATCTCATGGTAGTTTTAATTTGCATTTCCCTGATTACAAGTGATGTTGAACATTTTTTCATATGCCTGTTGGCCATTTGCATTTCCTCTTCAGAGAAGTTTCTATTTAGCTCTTCTGTCCATTTTTTGACTGGATTATTTTCTTTGTTTGTGTTGAGTCTCATCAGCTCTTTGCAGATTTTTGTGATCAGTCCTTTATCATTAGTGTTGGGTGCAAAAATGTTCTCCCAGTTGGTGGGGTTTCTCTTTGTTTTTGTTATTGTCTCTTTTGCTGTGCAGAAGCTCTTTAATTTGATGTAGTCCCAGCTGTTTATCTTTGCCTTCACTATCACTGCTTTGGGTGATGTGTCTGTAAAGATGTCTTTGATGTGCATATCATGTAGTGTTTCGCCTATATTTCCTTCTATGTATTTTATGGTTTCAGGTCTTATGTCTAGTTAAAGACATATTTTGAGAGAACTAAGGGGTAATGCAGTTTATTACATTTATATTATTATATATCATGAAGGACAGATTTAAAAAAGTTCATGTGGTTTCTTGAAGTTACTTGTTCAACAAGACAAGTCACACGGAGGTCAAAATCAAATGTCCCTTTTAGTGAGTATGAAAGTCAGGGTGCAAAGGTCAGAATAAAATACAAGATACCAGGGAAATTGTGTGTAGGATTTTTATAGGAACAAAATAATCAATAAAAAATCTTAATTATTAATGGCAGATCTTTTTTATGGCTAAAATAGAAGGAAGAAATCCTCTCCCAGGGGAATAAAGAAGATCCTAAATGTGGGGGAGTGAGGTGTAGAGTTCTTGACCTTATGAACAATTTTATCTATGTGAGAAGGACAATGATAGCTATTTAAGAGAAATGAAGGAATAAAGTTGCTTTTTAAAATCCCTGTAACTTGTGTTTCAGTCCCATGTGAGAACTGATAAAACATATTCACTTAAAGTATGATAAAAGAGTTATCTACATTTAAAATTTTGTACTTAAATATATTTCTGTTGGTCCATCTCTAAAATGTTGAGTAGCTCAGAATTATAGAATTATAATCTTTAGAGAATAACAGGATGGTATAATGGAGATATCTTTTCAAAGAACTGTAAAGCGTCTGATGCAACCAACTTTGAAAATCGGATCCTATCAGTTTTTCTGGTAAACTCTAGATCTCTGTTGCAGTCAAATCAGTGTCACAAGTTTGTTTATCATTTCTTTTAGCTCTATTCAGCTATGAAATTATATGGGCAGAAAATGAAAACGGTATGATTTACACCATTTTTCAATCAGCAGTTTTGTCCCAGAAAAACTCTAAAGTTAGACAGCTTAGCATCTAACATTCAGGGACATTAACAAACTATGTTTAAAACATTTTGAATAGTAATGGTTCTAATCTCTTAATGTTTTCACACAATTTATTTGCAGCAGCTGCCTGCCTTGCAGGTCCCGGGCTTCAGGTTGCCACTCCCTCCTCGGCACCAGGATGATGTGCCAGAAGAAGCTGTAGCAATTTCACCATGGGGCACCAGCGTGGCAGTGGTAACTGAGGAGAGCAGGGATGGGGCAGCCAGCCCGGCCAAGAAAACCCAGGTGGCGCAGGAAAAGCAAAGTGCCGGTGGGCCTGCGCAAGAGCTGGAAGCAGCAGCTCAGCGGAGAGTTCCAGCAGCCGTACTTTATCAGGCTCATGGAATTTGTTGCAGAAGAAAGAAGGCACCACACTGTGTATCCACCCCACAAACAAGTCTTCACCTGGACTCAGATGTGTGACATAAGAGATGTAAAAGTTGTCATCCTGGGACAGGATCCCTATCATGGACCCAAGCAAGCTCATGGGCTTTGCTTTAGTGTTCAAAGACCTGTTCGACCTCCACCCAGTCTGAAAAACATTTATAAAGAACTGTCTACAGACATAGATGGTTTCGTTCATCCTGATCACGGAGATTTATCTGGGTGGGCCAAGCAAGGTGTTCTCCTACTCAACGCTGTCCTCACGGTGCGGGCACATCAAGCCAACTCTCATAAGAGCAGAGGCTGGGAGGAGTTTACTGATGCAGTTGTGTCCTGGCTGAATCAGAACTCCAGTGGCCTCGTTTTTTTGCTCTGGGGCTCATATGCGCAGAAGAAGGGCTGTGTCATCGATAGGACGCGGCACCACGTGCTGCAGACAGCTCATCCCTCCCCATTGTCGGCATACAGGGGGTTTTTTGGGTGTAAACATTTCTCTAAGACCAATGAGCTGCTGGTCTGGCAAGGAACCTATCAACTGGAAGGATCTGTGACCATGCACCAAGTCGGGGCCTCCACTGGCGTCAAGTATTTGCCAGTTAAGATGTTGAGTTGAAAAAATAATTTCCCTGATAATTCTTAAGCACTCTTGTATAAAAGGGAAAGCTTTAGTTCTGCAGCCGTGAGCCAGGCTGCCCAGGAGCAGCGGCTTCAGCCAGCCAGAAAAAACAAAGATGGCAGCATGAGCCCATGTCTGTGCAGCATGCCGTTGGCCTAAAAAAGCTGTCAAGGGAGACTCCTCAGAAAGGAGGTGAGGTCAGGTGCTCTTTCTCCCCTCTGTTAGCCTGCATAATAGCAGAAGTGGGGAGAGGCTAGCCCCTTTCGGTGCCTGTTGCTACTCATTTTTACCTGTTAGGTCAGACTTAGATTATAAGGTGCTAAGTTTTTTTTTTTTTTTTTTTGGAAAGGCTTCCCTTGGCCCCGGGGTTGGCCTTTGAGGCCAGCCAAGTCCACAGCTTCCCTTGGTCTTCCACACAGCCACAGGCCTCCAGAAGGAAGCATCATAGGGGCTTTTTTTTTTTTTTTTGCAAGCTTCAAAAAATCTAGCCCTGATATTAAGGATCAGCTGCCTGGTTGTAGTCTAGAATAACATTCCAGAGGAATGATCCTCAAGGATGAGCAGGAGACACAGGTGAGCTGGCTCATGTTTATGCCTTACTGTGGGTGTTTCTAGGAATAATTTGTGAACGTTTAACAGGAATGAGAAAGGGTTTTATTGTTTTTGTTTTTGTTTTTTAAGAGGAAATGTTTTCTCAAGGGTTTATCCTGACTTGGAGTTTTTAAGGCAGTGTTGATTCACTGCAAAATGTTTTATAGACTGAAATTGCTTTTGGAACACTGGAGAATTTTTTTCCCTTTAATTAGATGTATATATGTGTTTAATCCCTTGTTTGAGAGACAATCTTTATTCAGTACCTCTGTACTAGATCCTGTTAGAAATAGTTTTTGCTCTTAGCTGGGTGAGAGTTTGGTAATAAAGATTGCTGAAGTTTCACAAAAAATAAAATAAAATAAAGTAGATTAAACTTTTAATAATACACAGATTGCTAAATCAACAACCTCAACATTACTAATTTAAATAAATGAGAATATAAGTACTAAATGATATACCTGGTTACACATAACTGGAATACACCTGGATTACAAATATTTAAATTTTAAAGAGCAATTAAAATGCATTTTCATGGGGAGGTGGAGGAGGAAGTTATTTTACACTCACAGGTTGCTACTTAGCATGTACACAGTGGTAAAGACAGGCCATTTGCTTAGATACTTGGGAATTTCCAAATCATTTAGTATAGCACTGCACTCCATCAAAACTCCTACCTGCGATCCCCCAAATCACAACAGGATCCAGCAAAATCAAATCAAGTCCTCCTGGACCTTGCTCCAGAGCTGTGGCCTGTGTCAGTTCTGGTTAAATATTTAAATATCACCCTGTGCACTTGTGATTTGTAGTGACAGAGCAAGAAAAGAGTCTTTTACTTGAGAGAGAGGGAGTTCAGTGAAATGATTGTGAAATAGAATAAAAGGGCTATGCAACAGCTATTTCCCTTCGGCTTCAGCAATAATTGTAAGGCTGAAAAACAAGAACATCAGATGAGAAGTTAGCAAAGGATGCACCTATAAAGAAATCTTATTTGCCTGACGATTTAAATGCTGTCATTTTTTAATCTGTTTTTGCCTCTATTGGTGTAGCCTTCTCCTTCCTCATGTAAGTTTAAGAGCAAGTGCCTTACTTCTTAGTGAATTTAGAAGAAGCATTTTAATCTAAATCTTCGATCTTCACTAATGCAGCTGCCTTTTCGCAAATCCAGGAGATTTCAGCACTGCAGCGGGAAGTATAAATATTTCCATTTTGATAGTAGGCACATTCTTTGGATCCATTGATCTGGGCATATTCTGTAGTACTAAGTCTGAAAGTGAATCAATCTAAAGTTAGTTATTAATTGCATACTTGAAATTCGATCATAATTCCATATTCTCAGCTACCCTTACAACCAAATATCTTGTATCTGAGTGTTGGCAGGCTTCTGTTTCCACAATACACTCAAATCCTTAAAGCTAGCATGTATAGGTCTTTGTTTCAGGTTAATCAGGTAAAATTTTTAAGATATATAAATTCTGAGTTGAGAATACCAACAACATGATCAAAACCACAAATTGAGATTATATTAGAAGTAGTAAAGTTACTTTCCCTTGAAACCTTATGAAGAAAATCAGAAAAGCGAAAACATAGGCTGCGTGAAAAATTATTACATTTTTCTTTGCAAAAATATAATTGTGATATATTTATACATTTATGAGGCGTGAAGCAGAGGTTAAGAGAGAAAATGAATGAATGTGTAGATATGACTCCAGTGTCACATTCCCTTGTTACTCTGCTCAGGAATTGTTGGTACCTTATCTAATGTCAGAAGAAAGGTACACTCAGCTGGTCTCCATCTTCTGTGTATTCCCAGGTTTTTTTGTCAAAGGGTCTGCATTGCACTCAATATTCTCTCGCTTCAGGATTGGTTTGCTAAATCCTATTCTTAGTAAATGCACTTATTCAGAGTAACCTTTATCCAGTAGGAACTGGCTGTGTGATCCTCAAGTTCAGCCTTTCTAATCTGAAGGTGACAGCTCAGGGCATGAGTATCTGCAGACTCTGAACCTCACATGATGGCTACCTCCTCCATGTTTTCATTGGGAGTGGGTGGAGGCCAGGCATGATAAAAGTTCTTTGGTAGAAGGGGCACCTCTTCATACAATCTCAAATGGAAACAACTGCACTTAGATGTTGTGATGGTACCACCCGTGGAAGCCCAGTCTAGCAGGAATACTGCAGATGGATCATATCATGATAAACGTTGCTCTGGTTGCAAATCATTTTTTTCTTTATTAATCTGCTTACGCATTCTGACCTTTGATTTGTGTGAAACTCGACCAATAGCCTTGCTATGACTGGTAAGCGTGTAGGAGACTGGTGTTGAGTAGAAAAAGCCATGGCAAAATAATGGGTCACGAATGAAGATAAAGTATAAGTAGGCAGAAAAGTATAGACATATCATTGTTATTTAAGGAAATGATTGGGTCACAGGGGAAGCACAGTATTTTTGCTAGAAAATAAACATAATTTAGATTAAGAACACCTTGATAGCATGATTAAAGAGTAAAACAGGAATGAATTAGATGATTAATAACTTGATGGCATAAGAAGCAGGGGAAAAACCTGCTACACCCAGAAAGATGCCAGTGATTTTAAATTTCATTTAACATGCAAATACCATATTTTATGTTAAAATAAGATTATTATTGTATCATTTTAATATATAGCTATGATGAGGGATTTTCCAGGAAATATTTGATTTTGTAGTTGTTAGAAGAATTTTGCATTTTTTAAGTTGGAATATATTTTTTTCATAACTTTAAATAGCTGCAAACAATGCAATTTCTTTGTAGTCTATATATTCTATAAGCACTGTAAATTTTTCATCAAAATCTTGAAGTGGCAGATTTAACTCATCTTAATTCATAAACACTTGCCATATAATGTAATTGATTTGCCATATAATCGTAAACCTGATTATTAAACAGATCTGTTAATTCAGATACTTTCTGATAGAAAATGTTTGAGAATTCTTCAATTTAAATCAGTGTGTTAATGTGTGTTTTATGATAAACACCATCCTTCTGGATTGTAAGTTTGGGGAACCACATAACTGAGAAACAGAGGTCATGGAGCCTAAATCACTCAGTCCTGATTTTGCCACATATGAGCTAAATGACCACAAACAAATTATAAAATCTTTCCATGATCATTTTTTTCCTCTATAAAATGAGAAAGTAACAATGCTTTTCTAATAGGGTTAATATTCATAAAATACATTGAACATTGTATTATTTATGTTTGTTAAATAAAGAGGTGAATGTAAATTAGTAGATGAGGTTCAATGTCGCATGATGAGTTTGTCTCATGATGAAATTAGGTACATCCTCTGCATTACTGTTATTGAAGCTCTCTTGTCTTATAAGTTGTGCTCACTTCAATATCTAAATATATATAGAAACTTATAATTCTTACACTTAACACCCATTATCTTAGTATCCCCTGGAAAGCTTGGTTTCCCTCAAATAACTAAAGACTTACAAGGATGGGGAGAGGGTAGACCCATCCTCCCATAGCCAACTTCTGCTGGGTGGATCCCACGATAATCCCAACCAGAAGAAAGAAAATTTGTGTATTGGATGCGATTTGAGAAAATCCTGAGAGAGAAAACAGGTTAAAAAAAACTATGTTAGAGTCATATTCTAATGAGCAAAATGGGAAACACGTGTGAAATTTATTTATTAATTCTCATTCAAAAGTCAATGTAGTCCTACTGTGTGAATCAGAAATTCTGTCATGGGTAATTTCTACAACCAGAGAAGGAGATTCCACTGACCTTTTCTTCCCAGCTGTTGATCTTCACCAATGTGGAGTTCTTGTCCATGCAGTCTTGTCTACTGTTAACCCAGGTTTTCTCCTCCTTTATTATGAAATAATAGCAGCTGTTTTGGTACCATTGCCACATCTTAGGACAAGGATTACATTTGTGGTCTGCAAAAGAAATTACACCTATTATTACAAACAAAATAACTCCAGAGTGATTGGAGAAGGTTTTGGAAACTAAATCATTTGACAGTAGGAGCCTCTGAAAATGAAGTCACTCCTGATTATGGGTTCAGGCAATAGCGATTGAAATTCTCTTTTCACAGCTCAAGTTTCTGCCCTCTGAAATACCAGGTATGCTGCTAACTTCTTCTAACAAGAGGATCTCCTGAACAGCAGTTTGTGAAGGGAGGAAATGAAGAATCAGATTGAAATCATAACAAATTGTTTCCCAAATCTGCCTCTGTGTCTTTAAAAACATTAAACAAATTGGTAGCTTCCCTGGCCTTTTATGCATTCAGCATGACATCATTTAGAGGTTGTTGGATAACATAAACGTTTCATTCTCTAAGGGGAGGGGAGCTCATGATCGACCTCAACTGTGGCAATTGAGTTGATCTGACTAGTCAGCAGGTCCTGGTTACCTGAAATGTGAGTGATTAATTCTTGGCAAAGTTTGATGGCCATTCGCCCCTGCCTTTTCAACAGGTTGGAAATCTGGGACTTGAGAAATTGCTCCTCCGTGGGCAAGTTCAGCAGTTTGGATTCGTTATCTTGCTGCTGGTGGATGACTTTCTGCAGTTGACTCACCTTCTCTGAATCTGAGTTAATTTTGTGAGACATCTGCAAAACTCCAGGACACAACAGGAGACAAGTTCAGTTATTCTTCCTTGCTCATGATAGCCAGAGATTATTCTCTTAATCCAGAAATATTTCTTGGATCGTTTAATATTTATTAACAGCTGCTAAAGTTTGAAATACCATGGAAGAAACATAACAGATGTCTGTTTCAAATGATTTAGATATCATCCTTATTGTTTTATTCATATTTTAATATGATTATAGTTGTATTAAAATAAAAATTAATGATTATACGTCTCCAACATTTATCCACAAATCTGCAATTTAAATAAACACTTTGGTGATTCATCTGCTTAAATCTAAGACCCATTTAAGAACTTTAGAAAAATTAAGGAACTTTGGGTAAAAAAATGGTCTGCCTTTCCTTGAACCAACCAGCACATATTAATGCATCTTCATTTTTTAAAATATGTATTATAGAAAATCAAACTAATAATCCTTATAATAATTGGCTATCAAATATCTGTTTCTGCTGTAGGACCATTATATTTCTTTTCACAAGGGTGAGACACATCATTAGCCTTTATAAGCCCAAATATTTAGGTATGTCTAAAGCTTAATTACCCAGAGATCTTGTATATACAAAAAGAAAAGAAAGTAGCAAAGATATAAACATTCATGGGAAAATATTTGATTGCAAGCCCTTTGAAAGTGAACATTGCCATTTCCCTACTCTAAATAGCATATATTTAGCACCCCACAAAGTGTGTATTCTCAGGATATTTTTCCACGTACCGTTAGTACAGGATTCCCTATCCTGCTCACCCCAGATTGCCCAATGGCAAGTCAAAATCAAAGGAATATTCCTTTTTGCCTGTGATGCATGGAGGTGGGGTTTCCATGGTTACGTGGACATGGTTCAACTTCCTTCTTACTGAGTAAGTTGTATCAAGCAATTCTTCCTCCTTGTTTTGTATCTATTTTTTGTTTATAGCCATCAGGCTGTTGCTATTGCTTAGAGGTATTCCCTACTCTAGAAAGTTCTTAGGTGAGTAGATTGTCAGTTTTGTACTGTTTTAGAGGTAAGTGAAATGGCATGCTGGTCCTTGAGTCCTCATTTGCCCCCCTGTTTCCCAACATTGGAATAATGTGTTTCTAAGCAAAAAGAGGCTCCTTATTCCAACCTACAACTAGAAAAATAAAAGTCTACATAGTGCATTCTAGTTTGTCAAAGAAAAACAGTGAATTCAGTTTAAAATCTTTGTAGCAATAAAGGATGCCCCCTAGTGGCTGATCTTAGAGATACAGACAATGAGAGAGATGAATTGATTGAAAATTTAACAGGATTCAGAATGCTTACCCCGTCATGAAATCTAACCTGAATTTCCATAGTTTAAAATATTTTTTCTGATTACCTTTCTTGGGTTTGATGCAAATATACTTACACACAGTCCCCAAGGTCACCAGTGCTATCAACAGCATCAGGCAGAGCATTAGCAGGCCCAGGGCAGTCTGACGCCATATGGGGGATAGAGCTGGATACCCTGAAGAGAGCCAGCAGACACATTAGCAAACAGAATTGCCTGTGGTTGTTAGGCTTTGGGTTACTTTTTCCACTTGGAAAGCTTTCTATCTAAATCTCCTAAAATTTCCCTCTTGTTTCCTCCATGCCCTCATCTAAAATAATAATAATAATAATAATAAAATAAAAAGTATATGTAGTAAATGCCTTGCTAAGATTTCTCCACTTATCTCCTCCACTATTCTCCTGTTCCTTAAGATTAAATATCTCCTAATTGTTTAAGTTTGTATTTTCCTCATCATATTCTTTCTTTTAGTGTTCTGAGTGCATGAAGAGATGTGGAAACTATCTCTGGATGATTTTGACAATACAGTGGACCCCACATTTTTGAGATTGCAAATTTCAAGGAGGCAGGTGTTCTTTTGGATTCTATTTTGACTTTTCATCCAGACTATTTATCATCTAGCAACAGGAATGAATGAATGTTGAATGAAGAATGTGCAATCTAACCTAAAGAAACAGAATAGACTAGAAAGCTAGTGGGTAACTCTTTAGGATTTAGTATGCGACCTTTTAAAAATATATTCACATACAAATGACTCTCACATGCACTTGACCTTCCTGTTTCTTAATTCGGGATCTAATGGCATCTAGTCCAGTGTTTCTGATAGATGCATGCCTTCTTCAAGCAACTGTTGGGGGTGCCATATCCTCAGCTCCTTTTTCCTCAGGGGTTACAGTTAGATTTTATATTAGACACATATAAAGTCTACCCCCAACCCCTTTTTGTAAAACATCTCCCCTAAACCACATACAGGTGGGTTTAAACTAAAAAAAAAATTTAAAAAGAAGGACAACGCAGTTCATATGTTTTAGGTGATTCAGAGTAATAACCTTGAACCATTAACAGAAGGTAAAGGACATAATCTGATATATTAAATTGGATTCTTGACCACAGAGACTGCTGTTTCTTCCAAGTATCAGAGACTGAGACTAGAACTGAGCCTGGCTCTGCCACATATCTGTTGTATGAACTTAGTTAAATCTTTAATTTATTTCACTTAAGTTTTCTCATTAGTACATTGGAGAAAGGATTACTATTATTCTGTCTACTTCAAAATTATGTTCTGATAACAATGTGATTCACTTATATAAACCACTATAGAGATAGTATAGTAGTTGGGTATTTCAACTCCTAGAAAAAGTTTCTAGGTTTTTTTTTATTTTTCCCCATCCCTTACCCCTAGTTCTAGAAAAAGTTTTAAATAGTTATAAGGCAGAAATTGGTTTTTGTCCATTTCTGACAACTCTCCCCTCCAACTTTTTTCTTCATTTATTTATACATTTGAAAAGAAAAATTCTTCCACTTCTCCATTTTAAAGACTTCTAATCTGGCTTCTAAAATAATATCCCCTGTGCATCTTTTTGCAAGGTGTAAATATCAAGGACTTGTAAAAAGAAACCCTAGTTCCCAAACTCATTTAAAGTGTTTCACTGTAACACAGAACTTCATGGAACTTAGTGACATCACACAATTTAGAGAAGTTCTGGAAGCCACATATTTTCTACAAAAATTAGGGATACTCTGCTAATAGATCATGTAATTTTTGTCTCCATTTTGGAGAATCCATAGTGTGCCTCCTTTACCATCAGTTCCAAAGTCAGCACCTCGACACATTCACACCTGTCCATCCCCCAGGTCACATCTTACGTCCTCTGAGCTCCTACCTCTTTTCCTTAGGTTATTTCTATCCCGGTTATTTCTTGCTCCAGCAGAATCTTGAAATGTGAGTGTCGCGTAGGTCACGTCTTCAGACATTGTAGAAGAAAGCACTACTACAAATTATGTAATGTGTCGATATCTTCAGGCCCAGAAACAAGATGTTCTTTTCAAGGCTGGGAACTTTTATTTAGATAGTCAGTTGACACAAGACAGTCCCTGCTCTCCCTCTTGGAGGACAGAATGACAGTCGGCTTTTCTTCAGAGAAAGAGGAGTCAACTCTTCTCCTCAGACATCAGACTATCATAGATCTAAGCGGGTCTGCTCTTCTAGCATTGTTTCTTGTTGTGAAAACAAAGATCAGAACAGTGTTCCATGGAGGAATTCCCATGCTCCTCCACATAAAGCCTGCTGTGAATATTTTAATAAAGTGTCAACTTGCTGTCTTTATGTGTCAAAGGTCAGCTAAAGCTATATGAAGACATCAGAGCGGGTACATACTCACCATATCAGATATCAAACAGATACAAAGAAAAGAAGAGCTGTGTAGTTACACATTGTGCATGACTATTTCAACTTAAATGAATTAAATTAAAAATCCTTTTCTGTAGTCACAGTAGTTATTTTTCAAGGGATCAATAACCACAATGGTTATTGACCGCAGACCTGCCTTCCTACAGTTACAGAACATTCTCCTGGACAACACTGCCCCAGAGTCTTGACAAATCCATCCCTAATGAAAGAAACTGCTCTGTGACCTCAGTCCCAGAGTACCGGCTTCTGTTTTTCCAGCTCATTCCCTATAGTGATTCAATGACCCATAGTTCTGTGATGCCCACAGGGATACCATACTTGGTGACCATGCCACCTTTTCACTGCCATAAATTCTTCATGTCTCATTTTCTATTTTACCTGACTTAAACATTTTACTAGGGCCAACTCTAACAATCACTTCCTTACATACCCTTACAAATTCATTACCTACCCCATCATTCAGATGTATTTGTAAAATGCTATCTGAGTAAATACAATTGTACTTACTCCACACTGTTACAAGCAGCTGAATGTTGTAACCATATTAACTCATTTTGGTTTTTTTTCAATACAACTTTCCAATACTCTTGCTAATTATTCTGTTCTTCACTAACTCGTACACTTTCACATTATTACTTTTTCAGAGAACACTTTTGAAGTGGTGCCCATGTTAGAAAGTATCCAGGGAATGGACAAAATGGAAATTAAGCAAAATTATTTACAAAAGAGAATGGAATACGAAGACATGAAGAAAATAAAAAAAAATTTTAAAAAGCAGAACAAAAAGGTGACCACAAGGGGGAGCCAGAGTAGGACTAGTAGATCGGAATTTATTTTGAAACAAAATTCATCCAATTAGGATAATAAAATATCCTTATTAAAACAAAAAGCAGTGGGGCCTCCCCGGTGGCGCAGCAGTTGAGCGCTGGGTTGCGAACCTGCCCGAGGCCTCCGCGGCGCTGGTTCGATCCCCGGCTGCTCCCCAGCCACCGGAGGAGGGTCCCATATGGCCCGCAGACCTCTCCTGCCGCCCGCTGCTCCCCTCAGCAGTGTACTTCGGTCCTTCTGCCTGCTCTGCTCCCCGCTCTGGCTCTGGTGAATTCTCTCACCCTCCCGCTCTTCTGACTCTACCCAGTGCTTGTATAAATAAAAAAAAAAAAAAAAAAAAAAAAAAAAGCAATGAAGACAGCTTGATTGACTCAAACCCCAAATCAATATTTACTTTTCCTATGCCTTTTTCCAAGTTACTTAACCTCTATGATTTGTTTTTATTAGTCAAATTACACAAACGTAATGCTTATCACAAAAGTCATTGCTACAAGTACAAGGAAGCAAATAAATGGTACCTCTCCCTGTTATTAACAGAAGTAAATTTCAATTATTCTACATGATATTAAAAAGAAAGAAAGCTTTGCAGTTGCACAAATACTTTTAGCAAAGCTTAAATAAATCAATCTAAATGAGCACAGTTAGGGTTGCCCAAGCCTGGTAACACTTACCATGGTCTGAAATTATCACGCTGAAATTATCTCTTCTTTACCCTCTGCGTTCACCATCCTCTACTGGCATAATAAGCACAACAAGAGCACAACTCTTGTGTGTTTTGTTCACCACTTGACCTCCAGAAAATAGAGTAGTATACCAGATGGTCTCACTCATAGCAGAAACTTAGAAAACCTAAATAAGTAACCAGGAAAAAGACTAATTATAATTAAGTTACAATCAAAATCAAAATCAACAAGCAACTATAAACCAGAGACACACTACAGTCGGGGGGAGAAGGGAGTAGGATCAAAACAATGGGGGTGGGAATGGTATGGGGACTATAACTAAGATGAAGATGTATACATTGTGCAAAATTGAAAAATGATGTAAAAATATATAAAATTTAAAAAATTTAAAAAGAAAAAAAAAAGAAAATAGAATAGAATAGTCCTTGGGACTTCCCAGTGGTTAATAATTATATGTTCAAGTAATTTACTAATGAATTCTCCCTCCAAGTGTATTTTATAGTGATTTCAACAGAATAACTTATATTCCACTATCCTGTGCCTGAATCCTCAGCTCAAACATGCTTAATCAATTTGCTTTCCCATGATCCACCACACTCATGCAAACTTCCATAGCTTTGCCCTGCCTGGTAAACATCACCTTCTCATCTCACCTTATTCACATTTTGCCTTTTCTTCAAATCTTTATTTTAAAAGATTTATTTATTCATGCATACAAGAACTGGGGTACAGACCAGTCTTAATATATGTCATACTTATTCTGTTTGGCTATTCTGTATAACTTTTATTTGCAGATGTTTTATATGCATGTGTGTGATAAATTTTCAGTGGTATGGGTGCAGGTTGACACTTTTTCCCCCTTCATTTTCTCTACTGTGTAAAACAAAATCCTCCACCACAATGAATAACAAAGAGTTATTCATTGTTTAGATCACTAACTTTTAATAAATTTCAGTCTCTAAGCTTCAGCTTTCTGAAAATGAAAGAGAAAATATCAATTATGGTTTTGTTTTGTGGCAGGAAATTCTACCTCTTTCCAAAAATTAATAGTAATTTACAGATGTGCAGCTGGCTAGTCATTCATGACAAAGCAATAAGCTGAATGCAGAGGACCAAGAGAGAATAGGGCATCACCCACGAACGTACCTAAGGGTTAGCTTGAAGGTGATGTACCTTAAAGAGTCTGTCCAAAGCTGTCACCAACTGCAAAAATGCTTACTTCCTTTATAATTTTTCAATTTTGAGAAGTTATTGTAACACTCGTGATAGTCAACATCATTTTCCTTTTGTCTTTGCATATCCATTAGTTATCATTATATATTGATCAGTCTTACCCACTAAATTCCTTTCTACCCTTATACCTAGTCACTTATTCTTATGTCTTTCACTCATTCTTTAGCTGGAAACATAGATAATGGGGTCTGGACTATACTTAAATTTGAAAGACATCATCAAGTAGTGGAAAGAATTTGGAAATTAGGTAGATGGTACTGCTTTATACAAGTATGATCAAGAGACTCAATATTCCTTAAACTTCTCTTTCTATATGTATGGTATATAGTATATCTACCACAATATATAGTGTATATATACATACTAGTATGATAATGCCCATTGACAGGTATCCATTCACCAAGTAGTTTATCAACAAAGATCTATTGACTACCCACTTTCTACCAGTCATTATTTTAGAGCAACAGAATACATTCTTTTGGGAATAAGAGACAAAAATTATACATATGAGAAGACTCTATGTGTGTCAAATAATGGTAAGTGTTATGTAAAAGAATGAAGCAAAGCTAGGAGACAAAATTGTGTGCCGTTGTGTGGTAGGGTCGAGGAGGTTATTCTAAATACACAAAAAAAGGTCAAAGAGTTAAAGTCTAAGGCTCCGTCCCATGAGGACTGATACCATGACTTTCTCCAAGAATATTCACCATCAATTTCAGTATCTGAAATAAACATTAATGAAATATTTGGCCTAAAATAAATAGGATAATTTATAAATTTATGTAAAATGCTTATTAAACTATAAAATATTCAACAAGTAAAGGTTTTTATTCAAAATTCAAATTCAGGTCCTCCCCTGGTGGCGCAGCTGTTGAGCGCTGGGCTGCGAAGCTGCCTGCAGCCTCTGCAGCACCGGTTCAATCCCCGGCCCCAGGAGAGGGTCCCACATGGCATGCAGATCTGTCCTGCCGTGCCTGCTGCTCCCCTCAACAGTGTGTTTCATCCGTCTGCCTATTCTGTTCCTGACTCTGGCTCTGGTGAATTCTCTCACCCTCCTGTGCTTCTGACTGTACCCAGTGCTTGTATAAATAAATAAATAAATAAATAAATAAATAAATAAATAAATAAATCTTTTAAAAAAATACAAATTCATCAGAATCAGATGTACTTTCAGTTGTACGTCTCGGATCCCTGAGAAGAGGGAGCTATAAAACATGCAAGCAGAAATAAACTATGTCGTAATGTGTCTTGCAAGGTAGTCAAAAAATATCTAGCAAAGCCCTTGGGCTTTGAAAGAGGGAAAAGCTTGTTATCTCTATCTTTCTTCCTGCAATTCTCTGCTTATCTTTGCTGAGTAACTCAACTTTTATTTATAGAATGTGTTGAAGGAGAAAACAGAATTTAGACTAATGTATCGCTGACCTGACAGTTTGCTTCACCCAGTGAGTACTCACTTCTCATACTACAAAGCCACATTTAGGGGGGCCTGTAATGTTTGGGGTACAAATAAAAGCAAATTTATTTCTATGGCACATAGATCTAGCCTGTGCTAGAATTACCAAAGATCCAGAAACCAAACTTAATTGCAGTTGGAAAGAGGAAGCAACCAAAGGAAAACCCAGAGGCTGAGCTATATGTGAGGATATATAGACATTTTGTGATAAATGTGAAGAACGTCATCTTTGAGGCTTATGTCACCCATTTCAGTTTTGTCTACTTTTGGTGTTCAATGCACAGTGTAAGCATTCTTTAATACGTAACTGCTTCATGAATCAAGATGTAAGCCCAGCACATTGTTGGTGGTTGACAAGAAAAATAAATGGGATTATTTTCATACTAATTAAACCAATTGCTGAAGACGTAGAAAATGTAGAAAACCCCTAAAGCAAATCAATTATTATATTTCATACCTTAACATTTCTGTTCCTCAAATAAGAAAAATGTTTACAATAACTATAAAAACATCTAAATGTCCACAGATCTTGTATTTGTTTTATTAACTGTTTTATTAACTGTAATTTTTCTGAAATTAAATATTTTCACTAGGAGAACAGAGTAAAAATCTTTCTTGAAAAAGCTCCACTTGACCATATGAACTATAGCTTACCCAATTTTTTTCTCTGTCACTAAGTCACAATTATTTCTTGGTGTTTAATCATCACCATAGTCCCTGTGCTCTTCCTGCCCCTGTTTTGATTCCTCTACTTCCCCCTCCCTTGCAGAATGTTTGGTTCTCCTGTGTTCCTCCTATAAGTGAAACCATCTGATATTTTTCTCTTTCCTCCGGGTTTATTTCACTGAACAGAATCCCTTCTAGCTCCATCCATGTTACTGCAAATGGGATGAGTTTATCTTCTTTGATTGCTGAATAATATTCCATTGTGTATATATACCGCATCTTCTTGATCCAGTCATCTATTTTGGGACATTTGTGTTGTTTCCATATTTTGCCTATGTAAACAGTGCTGCAATAAACATAGGGGTGCAGGTAGCCTTTTGAATTGTTTTTGTGACTTTGGGTAGATTCCTAGGAGTGAAATTGCTGGGTCATATGGGAGCTCTATTTTTAGTAGTTTGAGGAACCTCCACACAGCTTTCCATAGGGTTGGACAAGTTTGCATTCCCACCAGCAGTAAGTACTAGTAGCTTCTGTTTCAGCCAATGTGGGCTCTTTGCTCCTAGCCGCCCATGATAACCCCGACCTTCCAGTGCAGTCCAGGACCTGTTCCATCACATCCCGCCATCTCCTGCTGTCCCTCATATGCCCAGTACTGCTGGTCTTCTTTTCCCATTACCCATCATTTTGGCTCTTTCTTCCTGCCTCATTTTAGTGTCTTTTTTCTAAAATGTGCAGAAATAGGGCCTCCCTGGTGGCGCAGGCAATTGAGTGCCACACTGTGAAGCTGTCCGCAGCCTCTGCAGCATGGGTTTGATCCCAGCTGGCCAGCGAGACTCCCATATGGTGCAGCAGACCTCTCCTGTCTCGCCCGCTGCTCCCCTCAGCAGTGTATTTCATCAGTCTGTCTGTTCTGTTCCCCACTCTGTCTCTGGTGAATCCTCACCCTCCTGCAGATCTGGCCTGTACCCCAGTTCTTGTATAAATAAATAAAATCTTTAAAAAAAAAAAGTGCAGAAGTTAATTTCTCAGAAGAAAGGAAGCTTTTCTGGCCATGGAGATTTCTAAAAATATCTGCTATAAAACTCCTATGACAATAGACAGTACTATCTCAAATAGTCCTCCAGTAAGTACAGCAGCCAACTTCCTATGACTGTTCTTATAACTACATTCACTGTAAACCAAAATGACAGTTTAAAAACCCTTTTCAAAAAGTTAAATGTGTGAACTGTATATTATAATGTGATGTAGGAAATATCCCTCCCACAAAGAGCTCTTCACCCAAGTACCATCATGATTAAAATTCCACGATTTCATTAAATGAAGATTTTTTCATTTTTGAAAATTCACTATAAGGGGAAAGCATGACTTAAAGGCAATACATGAGTCTGAGCTGTATTATTTCACTTTGATTGGTTTCCTTCAATGACTAAACCTAAGCAATATGAAGTCTGTCTTATATGGAATCTCAAATTTTTGAAAATTTGATTTGGGAAAGAAATAAGAATTTGGATGAATGGCAGGTTGTAATTACAAATGGTTTCTTCTAACACAAGACCATGTAGCATCTAATTGAGCCTGTATTAAAAAATATTATCCTTGGTCCTTACAGTGGGGCCATCTATAGTTCTGCTGATGTTTTATCCATGTCTTTTCATTGGAAATCAGTTCACTTAAACAATGATTTAGACTCTGTTAGGGTTCAGATGGAGCCTGAACTCTTGTTCTTTGAGAGGATACACAGGATAGAATATTCTTTCATTCAGAGTTGAAGACAAGGAAACAGGAAACAAATGCCATATCTACTCCTTTACCACAAGTTATTATTATTTTCATGTCTTGTGTTCAAGGTTTATGTATCTCTGAACAGCTATGAAAGAGCTTCCTCTTTCATAGGAAAGGAGGGGGGAGAAGCAAAAAAACAAAACAAAAAACATATGCCCCAACTGATAGTATGGTCACGGGCTGCAGACACTGAAATCCTGAGTGGGCAGTACATTTTGCAAAGCCGTTGCATCCTCAGCTCACTTGCAGTCTTCGGAAAGCCATGCAGGATGAAGATGGGTATATCACCTTAAACATTAAAAGTCGAAAGCCAGCTCTCACCTCAGGTAAGAATATCCAGAACCAGAAATTTAGAAATGAATTTTAGAAATGGGTCCTATGACCCATGTAATGGCACATATAGTTTTACTTTCCTGAATGATCTCTTGTCCCTCAGCATTTGAATAGCATGCACATAGGCTCAGGTGACTTATTTTGAATATAAACAAGAAAATATACCAGCAGGGAACCTTACATTAAGGCTTATAGAACTTAGTGCTGGAAGGAATAAAAAGCAAAGGAATATAAGGAAAACCTCTTAGGAGACCCCATTTTGTAGGGTATCAGCTAATGGGTGTGCTCCTCCACTTGTTGCCTATGAAAGCAATTATTTATGGAAGGTGGATGCAAAGCAAAACAAACACAAATAACAAGACATTAATAGTTGGTTAGATTTTGATTAAGAGAGAAGTCCATTTGGGATGGGGGTAGATGTGGGATATGGGAGTGGGTTGAACTTCTTGTTGATGTTCACCGAGGGAACAGAGTCAAGATTTGCCAAAGAGCTGTTTATGTCACTTGGGAAATTCTGAGAGGGCAGTGTCACAGAGAGGGGTGACACTGCTCCATAGCCGTGGCATGCTGCCTGCCCTTGACATGTTTATTGTATGCCCACAGCTGACACTGGTTCTTCCTCCGTATGGCGTGTGATGACTTTGGTTCTGCTGGTCGTATGCATGGGAATGGTCATTGGGCTGGTGGCCCTGGGGATTATGAGTAAGTATAGACTCATTGTCAAAGATTTCATCTGAGAAAGCTAATACTTAAGGGGCTGGGTATACCCCTGCCAAGCTTCCAGGTTCTATTCATTGTTAATTCAATTCTATTCATTGTTAATCCAATAATCTGTACTTACAGTTGCCAAAATATTCTTAATAAAGGAAAATCATGATTTTTTCCTTTTGATTAAAATCCACTTTGAGATTTTTTTATTAATTAAAAATTACTTTCAGGAGTTTTAAGCTGATAGTGGATCCACATTCTCTTTTGCATTTTTTTCTCCCTATCCTTCATCTTTTAGATCCAGACAATGTGGAATTTTTCATGTCCAGGTCCCTGTTTGAGATTTTGTGTTTGAGATTTTATTCCCTCTTCCAAAAATCTTCTCCTTCCCATTTTGTTTCATGAATGTATTTCCTTCCAGAATGACACAATTCATAGTCCACTTAATTTAGAAATTATTTTTATTCCTTTAAGCCTAAGAGCCCTTCAGTGTCACATTATCATCTGTGTAGTTGTTACTTGTTTGTATATTTCTTTATTTTTTCACAAATACTTTATAACCATTAACTATCTTTTATTTACCTAAATATTGCAATAATATTACATGAAAGCAATCCAAGTAACAGAGGTCATTCTCTTCTGTGAAACTGCTTAGAAATCTGTATTTAAGGGAAACATCCAAACAAGCACTTTGGCACTTTCTTATTGCTTCCTGCAAACAATTCACTTTTTCTTTTGGATTACTGTCAAGTCTTAGTTTAGCATAGCTCTTGCTTTGTTCTTATTTTTTTTTTTTTTTGAGGAGGGGGCGCTGGAGGGGCTTAAGCGAGTTTTCGATATGCAACATAGAATTCCTTTAGTGATTTGAAAACTTATGAAACATGTCAGCAAATTATGTATAATTTGTCCCTTATACTCCTGTTACTGTGATCCCTTTCAACTCTCACTTACCCAAGCATATTACTCAATGACTGATAATTCTACTGAAATTAAAATTTACGGAGAGTTCTTTGTGCCCCCCTTATTATCATGATAACAAATAATCTAATTTTTACACCTAGCTGTCACACAGCAAATTCACCTACAAGCAGAGAATGAAAATCCCTCAGAAACTTTGATACAACTAACAAAGAAGGTCTGTCAAGATTTCCTACAACTGTTAACACAATTCGAACCAAAAGGTGTTCTCTGTAAGTATGGCTTTATAATCTCTACATCTCCCCTCTCCTGGAGTAATTTTATGGTGCTATCAATAGAGAACCTTGCGATCTGAATGCGAAGAAAAGCGATCTGAATGTGGGGAAAATGTAAGTCAGCCCGATTTAGAATGAAAGATTCCTGTGTTCACTTTCTTTCTCCCCCAGCTCATCCCTGCAGCCCCTGTGAGAAATCCTGGCGATACTATGGAGATAGTTGCTATGGATTTTTCAAGCACAACTTGACTTGGGCCGGGGGTAAGCAGTACTGTGCTGACAGGAATGCCACTCTTGTGAAGATCACCGACCAGAACATTCAGGTAAGAACACTGCCATGTCAAATATTTTTGGAATGAGAAATAGTGAAGTATTAGATTTTGCCTTTAACATTTTTCTCCTGTCTCCCAGAGGGTGCTAATCTTCAAGCTTTATAAAGCACAGCATGTATTACATTTGAGAATAGAACGTGCTAAAGTAGGACTAATCACATTTTGAGTTCTGGTCTTGTCTGTGCAGCAAGTCATCTAGCCTTTCTTAGTGTTCTTAATTCCATTTCCTGATTTACAAAAGAACCTGAAAATATAAGAAAGTCCTTATGATTGTAAAATATAAATAATAATCTTATCTAAATATTAAATGTCTTATCAGTTCCTGCTCAACTGTGGACAACTTGAACAAACCAGAATGCATACTATCTTTGCGTAAACTCTCCCAAACATAGTTTTGGGAGAATTCTTATTTACAGAACACAAGAATTACAGATTTCAAAATTTTTCTGTTGAGTTTGTTTTCTCTTCCAAATTTCCTTCTTGACAGCTTGAAACAAAAACTCTATATTCAATCCAATATGTCCACACCCCCTCACACATTCTCCCTTTATTATTTCATGTAGTTTCTCTTCATGAATTCTGGGATCGAGTCAGAAACCAAGCCTTGGAGTCTTCCTTCTGCCCAATTAGAGATTTATTAAAACATAATATTAAGGCAGAAATTCTGTTTATCTATTCCACAAATTCTAACATAGAAATTATTCATGGGCCTCCCTGGTGGCGCAGACGCTTGAGCGCCGCACTGTGAAGCTGTCCCTAGCCTCTGCAGCACCGGTTTCATCCTGGCCAGCCAGCGAGGGTTCCACATGGCGCAGCAGACCTCTCCTGTCTTGCCCGCTGTTCCCCTCAGCAGTGTATTTCATCAGTCTGCCTGTTCTGTTCCCCACTCTGTCTCTGGTGAATCCTTTCACCCTCCCGCGCATCTGGCCTGTACCCCGGTTCTTGTATAAAAATAAATAAATCTTTAAAAAAAAGAAAGAAATTATTCATATTTTTGCATATTTAAAAATGAAGGTGACTATAAACTGTAACAATAATAGCAGTATTGAGGTTATGTGGAGAGAGAGATTTAACTGAACTCAAATATTCAAGCCAGTCATATTTGACAGAGTTGCTGCAGTTGATCAGCAAAATTGACTGAGACCTTCCTGAGATCCAATGAACATAGTTGTATTCTGTAAATAAAGAGAGGCACCCATGATCATTTGTGTGTCTTGTTAATTAACTTGTCATCTCCTTGTTGTATGGGTACAAACTCACAGGGAAGATATTCAGACAAGTAAATTGACTTTTCTCTCCAATCAGACAAAATATAAGAGTATCCTAAAATCTCAACTCCAATAAAAGAGATTAGTTGGAGACATATAAACATGCTTTCAATTTTATTTTTCTAGGCTGATGCCAGTTGGGGATTTATGATTAAGAGAGAAAAAGTAATGTAATTTTTTTTTTAAGGTTTATTTATACAAGCTCTGGGTACAGTCAGAAGCGCGGGAGGGTGAGAGAATTCACCAGAGCCAGAGCGGGGAGCAGAGCAAGCAGAAGGACCGAAGTACACTGCTGAGGGGAGCAGCGGGCAGCAGGAGAGGTCTGCGCCATGTGGGACCCTCCTCCCGTGGCCGGGGTTCAAACCGGAGCTGCAGAGGCCGCTGGCAGCTTCGCAACCCAGCGCTCAACCGCTGCGCCACCGGGGAGGCCCAAAATAATGTAATTTTTGAGAAATAAAGAATAGTTGAATTTTAGGCAAAATTTCTGGTAGACTATACTTCATAAAATGAAGTATATAATGTGGATGTATTTAAAAGAAAAGAATAGGAAGTAACAGAAGTGACAGTGGTTCAAACTCTTAGAAATGAGCAGTCAAAAGTGACTTTCACACTTTACCATTCTATATCTTACATGTCTGTCAAGAAAGTCAAGTCATTTTTGTATGCCAATAACATAGTCTCACCTGTTTTTTCTGAGAGGTATGAGAATTATAAACACTTGACTTCCTTTTAATTTTGTTACCCATAGGTTGATTGACTAATTAATTCATCCATTAATCCAAAAAATATATGCTGGAATAATTTGAGGGCATAATCTATGCAGTTATTAAAACAAACAAAAATCCCTAACCTCGTTCCTTGCCTTTCCTAATTGGAAAGGCAATAAACAAAATAAACAAGCACAGTACATAGTATAACTGATAAGGATAATTGCTAAGTAGAAAAAAGGCAAACCAGGAAAAGGTAGTGTATGTTATTTCTAAATTGCTTAGAGAAAGACATCACATAATTCTTTTTTAGCCCATAAGCTAAAATAAATTAATACTTCTGTATGTTGATTTTGTAGGCAACCAATCAATGAAACCAAAGAAAATAGAACTTAAATCTAGGGAATATGAAGTTTCACCAACAGTATATTTCTTTTTTGTTTTCCTCTCTAGTTGGTTACCATTTATCTCATTTAAGAGTCATGTTTGGTACTCAACTTGGGACTCTAATCTTCAATTGAAAACAAACACATAGAAAGATTAGCGTATCCGCTAGCTTGGGTACAATGCTTTTTCCTTATCCCACAAGTATTTTTTTTTTCCTAATGTAATGAACTTGGCACAACTCTAAATACCAAATATAATTAACATTAATAGAAACTGTATTGTAACTTTTTTCTTGTCCAGGGTCTCATCAATCAGTTTTTGTCTTTATGTCATTACAAGTATGGGAGCATTCTCATCATTGTCCTTGTGTTGACAACAGGAATACATCAGAAGCAGGACTAGCCTCATCCGGTGGGTTGGATTATCCCGCCAGAAATCTAATGGGAATTGGACATGGGAAGACGGCTCAGTCCCCTCCAGGAGCATGTAAGTCACTAGACGCTCAGAAGGCAAGACTTAACTAGTGACTTTTATTCCTGAGATCCTTTATCCTCTGTCAGTGCAAGTTACTTCAATGTTGGCAGGTGGCGCCATTCCCTGTGGTGGGTTATATGAGCTTCAAGAAACATCAGTGAGAAAACAATTCTACATTCCTGAGTTCCCATTCCTCTACTCTAAGTCAGAGCTCACCTCTATTCCCAAAGTTTTCCCTATTCATTTCTATCCTCAAATTTACACTTGTAAAATTATATATAGATAGATAGATATGCAGTCCTCCCTGGTGGCGCAAGGGCTTAAGACGAAACCTATGAAACTGTCCGCAGTCACTGCAGCATGAGTTCCATCCCTGGCCAGGGAGCTACCCACATGATGCAGAAGACCTCTCCTGACTTGCCTGCTGCTCCCCTCAGCAGTGTATTTCAGTCAGTCTGCCTGTTCTGTTTCCCACTCTTCTCTGGTGAGTATACCTCTGGCCTGTACCCCAGTTCTTGTATGCATAAATAAATAAATCTTTAAACAAAAAAAAAGATAGATACGTGTATCTATTTTTAACTTGATCTGATTCTTCCCACATAGTTTTAGAGCAAAATTACCATCCTCATTTTATGGCTAAAAGTTATTATTGTGAGGATCCTTTTGAGTTTTCAGTGTCATTTTGCCTACTTTTCTACCCCAAGGGTTATCATCACCCCCAAGGTGGCTCTTACATCACCACAGGAGGATCTGTCTTTCTGCAGATGATCCCCACAAAGGGGGCAATAGTGTTAAATTCCTTAATGTGACTTTCCAGTCTTCTGCCTCAGCACCTTTTGTTCATCTTGTCTACCAAAATTTCAGTGTCTCTCCAGTTAAAATTTAAACTGATAGCCCAAAATTTGTACCATCTGATCGTTACCCAGATTTTTAATTAGTTTACTCAACAGATATTAAATATTTCCTATAAATAGGAGTCAAGTTTGCGTACAAGCAAGCTTCTTTATAGAATTTGGGCTTTGTCTCCTCTAACTTGCTGCCTCATTCACAATATTATAGTCAAACCATTCTCCCAATTCAATTAACAAATCAAACTTATTTTGTTGTCTTAGGGTTTCTCTGCCCTATGAATCAAATACCAAGATGTCTCTTGGATATCAGCAAAATCAAAATTTTATTCACTTACGGGCCTCCCCCGTGGCGCAGCGGTTGAGCGCTGGGTTGCGAAGCTGCCAGCGGCCTCTGCAGCTCCGGTTTGAACCCCGGCCACGGGAGGAGGATCCCACATGGCGCAGACCTCTCCTGCTGCCCGCTGCTCCCCTCAGCAGTGTACTTCGGTCCTTCTGCTTGCTCTGCTCCCCGCTCTGGCTCTGGTGAATTCTCTCACTCTCCCGCGCTTCTGACTGTACCCAGTGCTTGTATAAATAAATAAAAATAAATGTTTAAAAAAAATTTTTATTCACTTACAAGTTGTTATTAATTGATATTGCCTTATGACATCATCTAAGTTTCAGATATGCATCATTATAAATTAGTATCTCACCAATGAATTTTTGTCTTTGTGGCATTACAAGAAGTTAGGCAGCGTCTGATCATTACATATTAAGTACACCACTAAAAGCCCAGTTCTACCCTTCCATACAGTTGAGGGCTTTGTCCTTGCTGTTTCCTTCTAGATTGCTCTGCCACAAGAACTCCCTGACAGGCTTCCTTTACTGGCACAATTCTCTGTTTCAACATCCCTTCAGCTATGAGACCAGCTTTAATGACCCAAACTAATTAGCCCTCTTCCACCCACACCCACTGAAGACCATACTACCACCCTATTTCTTCATAACTCTTAGCACTCTGAAATTTTCTCGACCATTTTTTTATTGGCTTCTTACCAATTTCCGACTGTAATTTAAGTGCCCAGTAAATGGGACCTTATCTTTGCTTACTCTATCACCAATATATATATGGGCAAACAATAGACATTCAACAGAGAGCTGGCTTTAGAGGCAGTTACAATACAGAATGCTGTGTTGTTGCTACTCCACAGCATAAACCCTCAGCTCAGAAACAATTTAACTTTCCTTAAACTCATTCCCATTCTGCATAGCTGCTTGCCCTATAGGACTGTCCTATCACCTCTCTGTTTATGTAAATCCTACCTTTCCTTCAAGTCAGAACTAAACTCTAATCTTCTATAAAAAGGTAAAACCGGGCCTCCCTGGTGGCGCAAAGGATTAAGACGCAACCTATGGAGCTAGCCTCAGCCACTGCAGCACTAGTTCAATTCCCAGCTGGGAGCTACCCACATAGTGCAGCAGACCTCTCCTGGCTCGCCCGCTGCTCCCCTCAGCAGTGCATTTCAGTCAATCTGCCTGTTCTGTTCCTCACTCTGTCTCTGGTGAATCCTCTTTACCCCCCACACCTCTGGCCTGTACCTCAGTTCTTGTATGCATAAATTAATAAATCTTTAAAAAAAAAAGATAAAGCCTTTCCCATCATTTCAGATCTTCCTCCAGCTCTTCCTCTGGACTCCTGTCACTTACTGTCCACATACTGCTTAATCTTATGCTAAGTTAAATTGCCTTTGAGCTATTCATATAAACACACTTTTTATTTCCAAGCAGACTGGAAGTTTCTCAATGACCTAAATATTGTTTCTTACTCTTTTCCCCATACTTTTGTTTCCATCTGGTGCAGCAGATTACTACAGTTTGATTGTGGATTGTTAATTAATTTTTCAAGGGGCTCATTCTACCTTTTCTATTCACAGATTTGAGCTTTCTGGAGATACAAGAGAAAATATGAATTGTGCTTATTTTCATAGTGGGAAAATTCACCCAACCTACTGTGAGAAAAAGCATTATTTAATGTGTGAGAGGAAGGCTGGCATGGCAAAGATGGACAAACTACTTGACTACAAAGTGACGAAGGGGATGCGACAGACAAATGCCTGCCTGCAATAAAAGATCTGGACGAAGGAATAACTAGCCATCAAATTGCTTACTCCTCCCTTTATTTCCTTTGGAGTCATTTTTGAATTATCTTTCCTACCAATACCATTTAGTCCCATCTTTCTATATCCCTTTATACTAAAGGTGAGCTTATGTCTACTTTAAACATTCAGAAATCAATCTGTGAGATGATCATTTGCTTCCTAATTATTCTATTTCCAAGATTTTCATTCTTCTTGTTTTCTACTCTTAGATATCTCAACATAGTAGGATATAAAGATAAACATTTATTTTATTGGAACAGAAAAACTTGTGGTTTAATTAGCTTCAACTGTGCAAAATATATAAGTTTGAAAGACATTATAAGGTAAGGGAAAAATATTGAACTTGGAATCATTTGGAATAATTTAGATAGTGTGGTCATTTAAAGTGCAGTCATGGACCAGTGTGTGTGTGTGTGTGTGTGTGTGTGTGTGTGTGTGTGTGTGTGTGTATCTTGCAGATTTTGACTAGAAGAGACAGTGAGTGATGGAGACAGAGAAATCAAAATTCCCAGGCTATGCCATGTCTCATAACCCACTTTATCAAAAAGCCAAAAGGGACACCTCTCTAACTTCCATGTTCTTATATTTAAAAGTACCGATCTTGTATACCTTAGAGTTTTATACCTTAAAAATAAAACAAACTTCAGAGTATTAACTAAAATTGAGGAGAGACCCTATTACTTTTCTCTTCACTGTTGTATGCCCAACCACAGTTCCTGGCTCACAGGAAACAGAAATATATTTGCTTCTCATTTTATGAAACAGTTCACTAGAAAGACTCACAATTGGTTAAACAAATACAAATAAAATTTCTATTCCAAATCCATCTCTGGTCAGACTCAACTTCAGCACTTTTCTGTGCAAAAGAAGGAAAATAAAGCTTACGAGCATCCTAATATGATCTAAAAATGAGTAAGTGCTTCTTAGCCTAAGCTAGTAGGCAGAACAGCAAATAAAAATGTTTTATCTCTGTCTTTTCCTGACAGTTCTTATGCTTGGTTTTAGCCGAGTAACTCAGGAAGTATTTATAGAATGTGTGGAGAGGACCCTTCAAGAGGATAACAGAAAGGGATTCCGTTCTTTTCCACAGCTTCCCTAAAGGTATTCTTTCTTCTCATATTAGTAGTAGTAAAATGTACATACATGATTCTCAAAACATCTCAACTGAGGTGTTTGTTAAAACATGAAGATGATTCAACCACAAATAGTCTGTTTCTCAGTTGGAATCTGAGGAGACACAGAGATCTTTCATTCTAACAAGCTCCCCCACTTGATTGTAACACAGTAGTGGAGAAAGGTTACCTGAGAACTGGCTCCGGCTTTTTGTCTTAAGTTAGTCTCTTTAAGGCTAGTTTCCCTGGGCCTCCCTGGTGGCACAAAGGGTTAAGCAAGCTATCTGTAGCTTCTGTAGCACAAGTTCGATCCCCAGCCGGCCAGGGAGCTACCCACAAGGCGCAGCAGACCTCTCCTGTCTTGCCTGCTGCTCCCCTTAGCAGTGTATTTCAGTCAATCTGCCTGTTCTGCTCCCCACTCTGTCTCTGGTGAATCCTCTCACCCCCCCCCAACACTTCTGGACTGTACCCCAGCTCTTGTATGCATAAATAAATAAATCTTTTAAAAAAAAAAGACTAGTTTTCCTCATCTATTATTACCATATCATAAGGCATTTGTGAGAATTATTTAATAAAACTATATAAAACATTAAGCGGAATACTAAGTCTGTGATCTCAATGAGTGTTATTTTTATAGCTTTGTGAAGCCAAAGACACTTGAATCTTTATCTAACATTAGACAATCCATTAACAGATAGATTTAAGCAAACATTGTTTAAAAATGAACAATGATGTAAAATATATATATATATATATAAATAAAAAAAACAAGTAGATTTGGGGAACTGAGGGAAAGTGAAAAAAAAATCTCAGTTTCTGCTTCCACTTCAAAAGTTTCAAGAGCTGGACTTTGGAGGAAGTAGGGTATCATTATTTTGTTTGTTTATTCACAGAAACCACGCAGGAATTAGTAATCCAGAAAACTATCCAGAAATCAGTCTTATCTCTGGATTTTAGTGCGTCATCTCCTGCAAAGGGAAAAGAATATACTTACAAATCACTATGGCACAACAAAATTTAGAATACCTTAGAAAGAATACCTTAGACAAAAATGCAATTAAAAGCATAAATTAATCAAACTGTGCATACTAAGATTCTGTTTTCTGGTATCTGGTATATCAAAGTCATCTTGTATATGAAATCATAACAGCACAGATATTAATAGCATAAGTTCTGTGAGCAGACCTCTAAAATGGTTCCCCCCAAAGAAATCTATTAGATGATATACTATATTTGGGAAAACTAGGTCTTATAGAGCTTGATATTTAGGGCTGGCAAATCTGATAGGACCTGGAATTAATGACACCTCATTGAACTTCCACTCTTGCATTCCTGACAGTCTTAATGCGTATTTGGTATGTTTATGTCTTCCTCTTTTTCTCAAAATAGAAATATTTTATTATAAAGGCTCTAGGGAGTTAAACTCACATTATCTTTCAGGTCAGAATCTCAGGTTACATGAAAATCATATGAAACATTTGGAGAATTTGCTGGATATTCTCTGTTTGCTTCTTGAGATCTTCTCAGTATCTCCTTATGCCTTGGGAGGTACAACTCAAATGAACAGCATTATCTGAGCCAATCTGACATTTTCGTGGGCACTGGTGGTGATCACAGGGTGAACCAGGGAAGAATGGGCAGGGTATTTAATCCCCAGACTCTCTCCCTGCCATGCTTTGTTTTGGAAAAGACTAGACATTCCTCATTGCAGGCCCTGTCAGGTCACAGATTTCCAATAAAACCCTCCCCTTAATCGTTTAGACCTAAGGGTGATATAATAGCTTCCAGTGCACTTTTCACTCTGCACTAAGAATTTCCTTGAATCCTTCCCCAAATTTTATAAAGTGTCTTTTTAAAAATGCCTTTAGCTCACCCCTGGAGGGTGCCATTTGTTTTATTCTGTTACAGATCCTGTGAAACGCTGAAACAAAAGAGAACATTGCACTTTTGCAGACTATTGGAATTTGCATTCCAAGACATCACCTTTGGCCACAAGAACAAAAGGCCAATATATGAATGATAATTAAAGTATCACATTTCTAAATTCCAATGCTGTAGTCACAGGATGTGGCAGAAATGGTTGTGTGCCCTCTAAATAATTCATGTTTCCTATCAAAAGATCTCATCTAAAGTTTGCTCACCAGGCAAAAATCATATTTATCAAGGACAACCTTTCCACTCAAATATTGGCATTTCATTGGTGGATATGGATATGCTTTTCAAAAAGCAGATGTGGATTTGCCACTTTAGCTTTTCCTTTCCAATGGTTCCACACACAGGACACTGATCTCTCACAAGGTAGAAGAAGCAGTCTACCTGGAGGAGAAAACTACCCACTAACCAAGATTGCTGCAAGTAAAGGCTTGGTGGACAAGAAACAAAGCTTTATTTTAGGAAGGACTGATATTATGAGTTTACTTATCACAACAACTGAATTACCTAAACCAAATAGTGTGTGAATTTCTTTTAGTAGTGATCTCCCTTCCTAGCTTTCTTGTTTGTTACATGGTAACCTATAATTCCTTACACCCTGGCTAGTACAATGTGAGTGTTCCTTATATATCTAGGCCATGCCCACACTTCATGTCCTGCTCCAAATCTAAGTGCATTCATTGTGCTTCTATCCTTTTCATCTTAACTGCCCACCCAGTGCTAACACCTTCCACATCTTCTACACTCTGCAAGTCAGAACTGTAACATGTTCTATTACTGCCATTTTGAGTTCAGTATCTTTTTCAATTCCTCCTTTGACAGATTGTGCTTTGGTTTAAATTTCATAAACTTCTACTTTCTAGATGACATGCTTCTATTCTATTCCTTAAACCCAAACATGTTTTCCTCTGCATTTGAGATGGTAGCCAATTTCAGTTCTACCTCCACCTTTCTCCTAATCACAAAAGGAGCTGCTTCTCTCAGTCTTCAGTGTGGTGGCCTCACTTACCAAAGCATGTCAGACATGCAGGAGGAAGAAACATACACTTCTCTTCAGTGGGATAATCCCTCGCCAAACCTGTGTCAGGATCGACTGATTTCTACCAAATCCTCAGGTAACCAGTTCCAATTATTTAGTCCAAGATGGTGCAGTTTTGTTTTGTTTCCAGTTCTTTGAAGAGCCCAAGGTGATATTTCTGATCAGAAATAACCCACTTAAGGTCCTCCCTGGTGGCGCAAGGGGTTAAGATGCAACCTTTGAAGCTGTCTGCAGCCATTGCAGGGTGAGTTCTATCCCAGGATGACCAGGGAGCAACACACATGGCACAGCAGACCTCTCCTGACTCACCCAGTGCTCCCCTCAGCAGTGTATTTCAATCAATCTGCCTGTTCTGTTCCCCACTCTGTCTCTGGTGAATCCTCTCACCACCCCACACCTCTGGCCTGTACCCCAGTTCTTTAAATCTTTAAAACAACAACAACAACAAAGTCTATGAAATTCTAACAACCATCCCACAAGACTTTAAAAAAAAAAATAACCCACTTAAGATGATTATAATATGCGTGATATGCTCACATTAAAAAATGAAATGGAATGGAAGGTGAAAGGAAGAACAATGTGCTTGACATAGATGTAGTACTCTTCTCCCAAAAAGAAAAAGATTCCTGAGTTTGGAAAACAAGTGAAATAAATCGGATGTTTCAGTTCCTTCACAAGACACCTTGCAAATTTTCTGTTAACTAATAAGAATTAAGGAGAAAACATGAGTTGAAAAACTGACCAAATCTCAACCTGGAGCTGTCTGCTGTCAGCATCAGTTTTGTCTTTATTATTTAATGTTTGTGTTAGTTTGCTATTGCTTCAGTAACAGATTATCATAGTCTTAAGGGTTTAATTCAACAAAAATTTATTATCTTTGTTTTAGAGATCAGAAATCCAAAATGTTTCACCGGGCTGAGGTAAAGGCACTGGCAGAGCTACCTTCCCTCAAGAGGCCCTCAAGAAGAATGCATTCCCTTGACTTTTCTAGTTTCTAGAACTGTGCTTCTTGCCTTGGCTTATGGCCTCTTCCTCCATCTTCAAAGCCAGGGCCTTAATACCTTCCTTTGTCTCTCTGGTTCTGTCATCATTTTAAACTGCGTCCCCCTGCTCTCCTACTTCTCATAAATTCCCAGGTAAACAAAGGGTTTTTCGAGAAACTTAACTTGATTGCATCTTTAAAGTCTCTTTGATAACATAAGGCAACATTTACAGGCTCCAGGAATTAGGACCTGGGCATCTTGGACAGGTACATTACTCCTATCACACTATGCCAAGTTAAATTTGATGTGTTTTCTCTGGTTAACGTTAAGAATATAAGAATATAACAAGTCACAAGAGTCTTCAGTTCTCAATCCTGAATAGTTACAAATTTACCTGGAAAAAAAATGTTCATCACCCAAAACTGTATGTTTAAAAAAAATACTTTGAATCAATCATATTCAAGTGACAAGGGAAAGAGATTGGGGCATGCCAGCCAGCAGTTTTGCCTCCCCAAATTAAAGTTTGTTACCTGGTTTTCTACAATGTCTAAAAGATTATTGGAAAAGACTATAACTAATTAGCAAGGTTGTGGAATCATACAAGAAAAAGAGAAATTATTAAATCTATTCGGTTTGGCTTTCTTGCAAATCAGATGTATTCCACATTATAACCTGCATTTCAAAAAGTTCTCTTTTTCCTGTTTGACATGTTTATAAGACCTCAGTGATTCTCCAGTAGGAATGGTTATTATTAACTCCTTTTACTCAGTTGAGCCTAGTCCTGGCTCATGTCTTTCATCTTCTTTCTCTAACTCAATTTTATCATTTCTCTTTCTTATTTAGGAGTATATTGGCTGGTGGTGGCAATTTCATTTGTTTTCTGGGTCGGCTCATTGATGGCTTCCATTTTCTTGGGCTTTGTGTGTAAGTACAAAAGAATATCTTCAAAATATTTATATATATACACACACATAAGAATATATATGCGCAATGTATATATACATATATATATACATATATATGCCCATATATATACACAAAAGAATATCTTCAAAATATTTATATATATACATAAAAGAATATATACACAAAAGAATATATATAAAATATATATACATATATACACAAAAGAATATGTTCAAAATGTTTATATATACATAAAAAAGAATACATATACAAAAGAATATATATACACAAAATATATACATACATATATACACACAGAAATATTTTCAAAATGTTTATATATATATATACAAAAGAATATATATACAAAATATATATATACACAAATATATATATACATATGCACACACAAAGAATATCTTCAAACTATTAACATATATACACAAAAGAATATATATACACAAAATATATATATACATATATATACACAAAAGAATATCTTCAAAATATTTATATATATACACCAAAGAATATATAAATATACAAAAGGATACATACACACTATATATATACACATATATACACACAAAAGAATATCTTCAAAATATTTATATATATAACATATTACATGTAACTTTAATGTCAATATAAATAAACTGTATAATTTATAACTGGATAAATAAATTAGGGACAATTAAATGTATATAAATAATATAAAATAAAGGCATTTTAATTTCAGTTATCTAACATTTATTTGCTATAAGCTTCTAAATCTTTGGATGCTACTGATAAATCTTAGTGTTCATTTGCATGTTTAATTCATGCTGTTGATCCCTTTGAGAAAAAAATTAGATTATATACATTATAATATCTTATTATATTATATGCATTACAATCAATGTGTGAGTCATGCTAACAGGATAAAGCATGCAGCATGAAAGATTTTAGTTAATCCTCTTCGCTTTCTAATATGCATTTATTCTAAACTTGATTTTATAAATTCTCATACTAAGAGTTTTTCATTTTACACTAGGCAAAGAATAATTGTTTAATGCAAACTTGAGAACTTTCTTTAGACCATAGTTAGCTATACTTCTTTATTCCCTTTAATTCAATTTTGAAAAATATTTCCACATTTGGCAAGTGAAGTTTTATAAAATAAAATAACACAGTTGCAGATTCTAATAAAATAATTAAAAACTCTTATTAACCCTTATGCTACCACTAAAAAAATATACTTAGAAGGAAGTATAATGGACTTTGGTGGCTGGTGCACTACATGTGATGATATCTGATGGGGGGGGTACTTAATGTTACTTCAATTTAAAAAAATAAGCAGGGCCTCCCCGGTGGCGCAGCGGGTTGAGCACTGCGCTGTGAAGCTGTCCGCAGCCTCTGCAGAGTGGGTTTGATTCCTGGCCAGCCAGGGAGAAACCCATATGGCATAGCAGATCTTTCCTGCCTCGCCTGCTGCTCCCCTCAGCAATGTCTTCGGTCCGTCTGCCTGTTCTGCTCCCCACTCTGTCTCTGGTGAATTCTCTCACCTTCCTGCACCTCTGACTTGTACCCCAGATCTTGTATATATAAACAAATCTTTAAAAAATTTTAAAAAAGCAGATTTATTTTTTTTTAAAAGTCAAAGAAAATATAAAAGATAAAAAAATAGGTTCAGAAAGACAAAGATAGAGCTATGATCTGGATAAATCCTTTTCCTTTGTTTTGGCAAATCATTTTTCAATTTAAAAGGCATTACCTGGAGAAAAAGAATTATAAATTCTGAGAATGAGGAAGAGACAGGTTCAGATTTGCTGCCACAAAGTATAGGAAACTTGACCTTATTCATGTTAGCTCTGGGCTTAATTTTCTGACCGTTCTTAGAGGAATGCTTTAAGAATTTCTAGGAGCTCAGAAAATAATTGTGAACTCCATCAACTCCAATAAAATAGCACAGAACAGGTGCTTCCCGGTGGCGCAAGGGGTTAAGATGCAACCTATGAAGCTATCCACAGCCACTGCAGCATGAGTTCGATCCCCAGGCCGGCCAGGGAGCTACCCACAAGGTGCAGCAGACCTCTCCTGCCTCCCCACTGCTCCCCTCAACAGTGTATTTCAGTCCATCCACCTGTTCTGCTCCCCACTCTGTCTCTGGTGAATCCTCTCACCCCACACCTATGGCATGTACCTCAGTTCTTGTAAGCATAAATAAATAAATCTTAAAAAAAAAAAAAGACCCACATAAATGTCAGAACTTCCAGAAAGTTTTCCTTATCTCATGCAATCGTATTTCTATTCTTTATCAAAAAAAGTCAATCAAATACCAGTTCATTTTTTAAAGAAATTTATTTTGAAATACACGCTTACAAGTAGACGCACTGGAAGAAGATTGCAGAAGTGAAAAAGACCATTAAGTATCAAACAATATTGTGCAGTTCTTCCATAAAAACCATAAAAGTTTAGAGGAGCAATGACAAGCTCAATTCTAACTACAAGATTGTCTATTTAACAGGCATAGTAAATATCAAAAAATATGGTTTAAATATCAATTCTGTATAATTGGTTTTAATGTTATTTTGTAAATTCTATTTGGGGTGAGAAGATAAAGGAAACTTGAAGTATGAAGAACACTTGCAATTAAAAATAACATTAACTTATGATGCAATATTTAAGGTATTATTGTCAAGTGAATGGGATATAGGATTTGTTTCTTATATAAAAATAAATAAACCTATAGTCTCAATCACCCATTATTATATAGTTAAAAGCATATAGTTCATATTAAGATGTTTATTAAAAGCATGCTGTGCATTTTTCAAGTCCTCAAAAGCTTGCTCTCCATTGGGTACTAAATTTTGTCTCCCCTGATAGTTCATGAAATCTGTTTACATAAACCATGACAATCATATTCTTTTTTTAAAAGCAAGCATATGCCTTTTTAAAAATGCATTTATTTATGCATTCAAGAACTGGGGTACAGGCCAGAGGTGTGGGGGGTGAGAGGATTCACCAGAGACAGCGTGGGGAACAGAACAGGCAGACTGACTGAAATACACTGCTGAGGGGAGCAGCGGGTGAGTCAGGAGAGGTCTGCTGCTCCATGTGGGTTGCTCTCTGGCCAACAAGGGGATCGAACTCGTGTTTCAGAAGCCAGGGACAGCTCCACAGTGCTGTGCTCAACCCCTTGCGCTTAATGAACTCTGGATTATCTAAATTCTATTGGACACATACATTCCATTTTTGGATAATTTTCCTATAAATAAACCTGAACATGTAGCAATGGGGGAAGGGGGAGAAGATTGGGAAAAACTTAAGTGCAAATCATTAAGGAACAATTTAAGCAATGGGACATCCCTGTGTGGAATGCCAATGAGCCGAAAGAGAAGGAAAGGGGTGGGGACTGGAGGAAGGGAGGTAGGGAAACAACAACAGCGAGTTGCTCTCTATAAATAAACATTCACAACATGTTAAGTGAAAAAAAAAAAAGGCATTTAAAATAATGAGTATAACTACTCTGCAATTTGATTGACAAAGGACATTTAACAAAGTGACACTGAAAGGATATATGAGCATACCCAACACTGGAAGCAGGAAGAGTAAAATAAATGGTGACAATTGTGAAACAAGGTATTTCAATGTTTACTATTTAATGGTTTTTGAAATGCTTTAACATCATGGATGCAGTATGTATTAAAACACCTTTTTAAACTCTTCAAACAAAAATTGGATGAAGGAAATGTTACTTTAAGGAGGTTAAGAAAAGCTAGCTAGAAAATAAAATATTCAAACTTTCAGTAATTGATGGAAAATTCTTACACATAAAAGTTTTTTTCTTTTGTTTTGTTTTACTTAGAAAACCTATTACTAAACAAATATAAACTATTTTTACCTTTAGTTTTTATGCAAGGGTAGTGGTTTTTATTTTTTTCTATCAACTGCTTCCAGATATTGCTGCAAAATCTGCCTGAATTCTGAGTTGTTGTTGTTGTTTTCTTTTAAAGATTTATTTTCTTTATGCAAGAACCGGGGTACAGGCAGATGCACAGGAGGGTAAGAGGATTCACCAGATACAGAGCAGGGAACAGAACAGGTAGAAGAACCAAAATACACTGCTGAGGGAAGCAGCGGGCGAGACAGGAGAGGTCTGCCTCGCCATGTGGGTTGCTCCGAGGCTGGCGGGGATCGAACCAGCACTGCAGAGGCTACAGAGAGCATCACAGCGCTGCGCTCAACCGCCTGTGCCACTAGGGAGGCCCTGAATTCTGAGTTTTTTGATGAGGTTTATCTACAGTTATTTCAAGGACATTTGTAGAAACAAAGAAAATTGGGGTAGTGGTCCAATTAATGTACTTATCTGATGTTTCTTATACCTCGAGGAAAACAGAAAGATTTGTTAAAATTTACCTTATCTATTTAGAGCCTTACTTTCTGGGAACTTGGAGTTTTAGCAACATCATAAACCTTGAAGTCTGTCTTTTCAGTTACTGATTTGCCAGGAGGCAGCATTTTTTAATTCACAGCTGTCTCTCCTTGTGCCCCTTAGTTCAAACCAAGGAGAGGGGTACCCAGTCAGCTGTTGGTTTTAGTTAACACTGGTTTGTGGGAGTGCAATTGGGTGAGTAAGAAGACAGGGAAGTAAACTTTTCACTGTGTATCCTTTGTAGCTTTTGATTCTTGAAAAATTTAAATATTAAACAAAAATTTAAAACTCAAATAATGGATTGTAAATAATGTCAATTATAGTCAAACATAATCAGTTATTTGTATTTCTTTTTAGTCCATGTTGAAAGATCACTTTTGATACTATGTCAGCATTTTATTAGGGATTATTGCTATTGTTTGAAGGGTTCCAAGTGTCTGCTATTGTAAGCGAGCAGCAGGAGAAACTCATCCAACATGAAAAAGAACTGCAGAACTTTACACAGTGGAGGAAAAACCATGAACGCCAGATGACAAATTGCCAAACCTTCGTGCAAAGCACTATCAGTCCAGGTAACTGATAAAAAAATCAGTTTCTACTCTGCAGGTACAAATGTATGTATGAATTTCTCACAAGAAACTGACACATTGTAGTTTATGCAACATGGCAGTCAGGATTTTATAATGAGGGAGACATAATTTTGATCTATTCTTCAGTTCAATCTCATTTATATATTTTGGTGGTGGAAAAGTGAGACATGCGCGTATGAAAAAGCTAAAAATGGAACTTTAAAAGTTAAAATAAATTTTTTTAAAATGACAAAATTTAAAACTAAATTGGTTCAGTACAATTAACAAACAAGAAGTAACAAACAAACAAGGTAAGACTATATATTACACAAACTTAAAGGAAAGATTTATAAAACTAGAATGATCAGATTAGTTATTACAGAAGAGGAATGAGTTGGGAGAAGATATTTCCAAAATAATTGTATCTGTAGATACCTACTGCAGTTGAATATAATTATATAAATCTTAACATAGTCAGAGTCAGAGAAGCTGCAACCAGTAAATACTACATCATGTGAGCCATCTGGTTAGACTATTCGTTTCATTGGGAGGTGTCTTGGGGGTTCTTGTGAAGAAATGTGCTATTAATCTTTTACAATGACAATAATAAAGTAAAATGTTTATATTGAAAGCCTTTAACCACAGCCCTTGCCCAGATACTTGGATTCATAATAGAGAAAGTTGTTACCGTGTCTTTGAAAAACATCAAGAATGGAATAGCAGTAAAGAGGAATGTCAGAAAATGGGAAGTGAGCTTCTGCAAATAGAGAACAAGAAAGAAATGGTAAACACTGTTCATGGTTTGTTATCATTCTGAAAATATCTCATTATATGTTAAAAGAATAGAATAAATCAAGAAGAATATATTTGTCTCCTTTATGCTAATCAAAAGAGGGAGAAGTTTAGTAAAATAGCATCTTGTGACATTCTAACTGATTCCAAGGTATATATTATAAATGTATATATGTTTTCAATATATTATTTTCAGTTTGTTGTAGGGAATTCTCATAACTTTTAGTTATTTTGTAATCCTCAAGGAGAAGCAGAAATATAAAAAGTTGATGTCATGAAGTGAAAAGGTCTATAAAAATAAGTGTTTACAAATGAAATGCTTAATTGACATTAAACCTAATTTACTGATATCTGAACAAGTCAATAATAAGATATTTCCCTGAAATCTTTTGTACCCTTAAACGTGTATAAAGAGAATGCATAATTATTAAAATTTTAAAAATGTGACCTTATTAAAAATGCACCTTATTTTCATTATTTGAAGTTCATTTTTATAAGAATAATGTTGAAACAATTTGTTAATTGCAATAAAGTAAGGCAACTTGTACTAACCTATTACAATTATGGGTTTACACTATTCTTTCTGTGCAAATTTGGTGATGAAAGTTAGAAATATATCTTCCAAAAAATATTACTACAGTTAAGTTGCTTCTGGAATCTCCTAAGCTATTTATCATTTTGAAATATACTGTGAAAATGATATAGATGGCCTATGACATCAGAGATATTTTTACTTTTCACAAGAATGAGGGTTCAACATAACACTTCCTTTTTTGACATACACTTCTGCCAAACTCTGAATCTGTTAAAACTATTTTAATACCACATAACAATTTTTCCCATAGGACCATGGGAAATGACTACATTGGTTGTTTAGCAACAGGAAAAAAAAATCTATAAAATGTACCGCTTTGTAAACATACCCTCTCTCTTCAACACTCAAGTTCACATTAATTTCTGTCTAGACAAAATGCTAAACTTCACATTTCCCAATAGTTTGTGGTTATTGTTTGTCCTCCTTTCACCCTCAGGTTTTATTTCTTATAGGATTTTGTCACTGGCAGACTGAAGATCAGAAGTGACTTAGATTACTGGGTTGGACTATTTCAGAATGAACTCAACCAAACTTGGGTTTGGCTAGATGGCTCCTCTCCTTCCCCTGACCTGTAAGTCACTGAAGGGAATGTTACATGAAAAATTAGAAACATGAAGGAACACAAAAGTCCATTTTATTCCATACCTTAGATTTCTCCCAGGAGTATTACCAGTGTGATAATTTCACAGGCTCTGAATTATAATCAAAGCTGACATCTTTGCACAGTAGATGAGCATTTGAATAATAAAAAGGGCCAATCTGTTGGTTGGCGGTTGATGGTGATTAGATTTTGGTAGTGGGTGTGGCAAGAAAATGTAATATTGGAACCTACACAGTCTTGTAAACTAATGTCACTTTAAAGGAGAGAGTATCTTCATGGCTACTCACACTTCCTCCTTCACAGTCTTCCTTCCATTCACCTCTAGCATAGTCTCGTCAAAATTTGAGTCTGAATGATCACTATTATGAAATTATTAAGTACATTTCCTTTGCATCATTTAATGGCTAGAAAATGTCACAGCAAAGAGAGTATACTAATTTTAAGCAATTTTAAGCACATTAAGCTTTTCAGATAGAAATGGGGAGGTTGATAAGCAGGTTCAGATGACTTAGTACTTAGAGAATTAAGAGTCAGTAAAAAAATATCCAATTTAGAGCCCATATTTGTGTATCCTTGTATTTTTAAAAATTATAGTATTTGCCGAAATTATGTTAAAATATTTTTATTGAGACACAACAGCTCTTGGGGATGAAGTAGATCTACCACCAGAGGGTGCCATATTAAAACAAAGCAAAACAAAACAAAAAACCTCACACCTCGGTTTAGCAACCCCACAAGAACATCATCATAACCCACACCTAACCTCAGATCCATTGAACTGCCTCCTAGGTTACCAGAAAGGAAACCCCAATCAGCTGACCAGGTTTGTGGGTACCTCAAAGGCAAGTTACTCCTTTTCAGTAAATGCACCTCCATCTGGAAATATTTTGTCTGTGAGAAGAAGTATGCTCCAAGACCTGGTGTCTGAAAGAAATGGTGCTCAAAGGGCCTCCCTGGTGGCGCAGGGATTAAGACGCAACCTATGAAGCAATCTGCAGCCACTGCAGCATGAGTTCTATTCCCGGCCGGCCAGAGAGAAACCCACATGGCGGGACAGACCTCTCCTGTCTCGCCCGCTGCTCCCCTCAACAGTGACTTCGGTCAGTCTGCCTGTTCTGTTTCCCACTCTGTCTCTGGTGAATCCTCTCACCTCCACATCTCTGGCCTGTACCCCAATTCTTGTATATAAATAAATAAATCTTTCAAAAAAAAAGAAAAAAAGAAATGGTGCTCAAAGCCATCTGTGTTACAATGGTATCTGGAAGAGGCCGCTGGAAAACCTGTCGCAAATGCCAACCAGCAAGTGTGGACGGAAGCTAACGTGTGCTGTGAAACCGGTTTCCTGCAGCTCAGAACTTAACTTTTGCGTATATGCTTGGGAATATTCTTCAGTACTTTCTAGATACTCATTTGACTTCGTTCAAATTGCCAAAAATAACAATGATTTAGAGCCACAGATGACAACATCCTGAAGAATTGAGAACTGAAGAAAAAATATTTCTACTTGCCCTTCCTCCCTCTCCTGTTCCTCCTCCTCCTTCATCTCCCAGAATGCCTATAAATCCCCACAGGACTCTCTAGGTTACTGGGCAAATGATGCACAGCTGTATGTGATGCTATTTTTTTTTAATAAATAAATGTTACCTTTTCAATGCACTCCCTGAATTGAATTTTATTTTATTTCAATCTTTCATTTCTCTCAAGGAGTAATCCTTCTCTCGAGGAGAAGGATTCAGGTCCTTCTCTCCTTATAATGAAGACCCCACTTAAATAAATAGAGTTCAATAAAATCTAATTCACCCAGACAATGGAAGTCACTTAAATGAACCTAACAATCTATTGTAAAAGGTGACCTTTGCAGCATAAAGTTCTTTAAAAATGGGAAGAGTGTTTTTTTTTTTTTTTTTTTAACTTTGAGCTTCAATGTTGGGAATTTCAGTATAAGGGATTTTCTCTAGTTTTCTGCTGCCCCTCGACTTGGAGAACAGTGCCTGTACCTGTCTCCTGCATTTGTTTTTCACAGCTGGCAGCTGGCAGCTGGCAGCTGAATATAATAACCTGGAATAAAGGAGAAACAATAGCAATTTTTGGTAGTAAAGACTGTTTGTCTTCATGATTCCTCAAAGTATTGTCATGGAGCTATGTTTAGAGAGAGAATAGGAAGCATATAATAACTCTTTTTAGAAAAACACAATGAAGCAAAAAGCAAACATCCTCCCGCTGAGGTCACTCCACCATTACACTACGCAGTATTTACAAATCAGAATTTTATCTACACAGCAGCTGGGCTAAGCTCCAGTGAATTTCCTCAATGGCAATGTTGCTTTCCATATAGAAATTTGGAGTGTAAGATTTTTTTTTCTGCAGGTTGCACTTGACCTAGAATATTAGGGTCTTTTCAAGGTTCAAGGCAGTGGTGAGAGATTGGGCCTTACCACTAGGGTCACCAGTTTTACATCTTAGTCTCACCAACAATGAATTGGGTATCTGATATAACTCACTCACCCAGTCCCAAGTCAGCTTTGCAAAATGGAAAGGAAAGGAAAGCTCTGTTCTTTAAATGTGAAGACACGTTGTTATATGGAACAGTCAAAGTGCATTAAACGTATAAAAAGAAAAACAAAGAATAGTGATATGAATCAAATGCTAATATTAACAGAGTCTAAACATTTTTCATACCATGAACCTTATAAAGGAAGCCATGGACACTTTAAATCAGGTGATGTGGCTTTTTGCATACTTGAAAAGTTACAGGAATCTATTCACAAAATATCTGATGCCCAAATATTAAGACCATGGCTGAGACAACCTACTACAAGACTCTTCTCCTTACTTCGTGATCTGCTGCTATCCCCCAAGTGAAAGCCCCCATTGCATTTCTCACACTTCCTGCTGTTAAGAGCTCATGACCTGCTTCCTGTTGATAAGTTTTAAGAGCTGATCCAATATCCTCAGGAAAAGAAGTAGCTCATTGTGTGCCCTGCGGAGCTGGCTCCACCAGGAAAGACCATGTTCCTCACTTGACTTTTCCTGCAGTTTCTTCAGAATTACTTAAGCACACAAGAACCTAAAAGAAAAAAAAATTCTTCTCATGCAGAAAACCAATGCCAGGGGTGGTGCCCTCTGATTCTCCATGGAAAATTCTTCTCAGCAAATCATATTTTCAGGTACATCTTATGATTATTCCCTATTTCTAAAATTAAAAAAATGTCTGTGGAGAAAATGTTGAGTCCCACTGCCTCTGTTCTTTTAAGTGTTTACTCATATTGTGACGAAGATGGTGGGTTTCATTATGCAGGCTTGGAGTTGGGGACAAAGATGGAGACGCATATTTTCGAGAAGAGCAAACACATCAAGTAAATGCAAAGTTTTGCTTTTCACCATCTAAAGCAACATTTTCCTTTGGTTGTAGATTAGGAGAGAATATTATTGAACACCCTCTCTCCAGGTGGCTAGGATCTTTAAAGCAATGGCATTTAAAGAGACCCTTATCATCCATTCCTGAACTAGGTTGCAATTATGTAGGATGCCGGGGGTCAAAATAGAATGTGTGTTGGGTCCCTATGTTACAGGGCAGGATGAGGGGCACCCAGGGACCCCCAAACTTGTGCACTCTAAATGGGGTCTGCCATCCGCTGCAACAACACAAAACATACTCTAGTACATAAGACTTTCATTGGAAGGAAACTTTAATACAATTAGTGTGCAATGAAGAGTAGAGAAGAGAAAGAATACAGTTTCCAAATCAAGCACCCAAAGTTACCCATTCTATCATGGGGTGGGTAAATGTCCAGCCAAATGGGATTGTTGAGGCCCAAAAGCTTGCCACAAGTCTAAGGCATCTTCTGGTGGAGACACATAGAAATGAGGCAGAAGGGGCCAGGCAAATCTGGAAGGAAAGGAGAAAAATCAAAACCCAAGTCAAGATAAAGTTTGCCATTGTCAGCCTCACCATGGGTCTCTCATTCACATCTCTGTCTCTTTCAAGTGTCCCTGGCACAAGCCCAAGGCTGAGAAGCAAGTGCTTCTTCTTCACATATCTCTGCTCCAGGTGTCTCCTCCAGGTCTTCCTCTTGATCTCGTCTTACCTCGTCTCTCTCCACTTCTCCTCAGCCAGGTCTTCTCCCTTCTTCAGTCTTTTCTCTCAGTCTTCTAGGTTCACCTCCCTGACCACTTCTACCCTTCCTTAGGGTGGGGCAAAGGATACTCCCCTTTCCCTGGGGATTACCCTGTTACACCTATTTTGCAATTTATTCTGCAAAGTCATTTGACTTTTTCATAGTAGTCATATTTTCTTTCTGAAAAAAAAAAAAAAAAAAAGCTTAAATAACCATTGCTTAGCTAAAGGCCTAATTCATTTCTTGTGTGCTTATTTTATTAGCCATGTTTGTTAAATATTTGTACCTATTATGGGAAATATTTGGTAAAATCCATGATTCCCTAATGTTGCTGGCATTCTACAATTTGTTTATAAATACAGGCTTCCAAATTAGACTGTTTACACCTGTTGATGCTTCTCTAATTTTAAAACTGAATCACCAAGTCCCTTCGCCACCCCCCTTTTTTACATATTTTCAATATCCTTGATATTGCGATTTAAGTTATAAAATTTCACATTTACCTTATTTCAACCAACAGTAGAATCATGAGGAAATTATAAATATTTCTACTTTACATTTCACAAAATACATGTGCAATAAAGTGATTTTCCCAATACTGTGTCAAAATAAGGGCTCTAAAACTCTCATGAAGCAATTCAGTTTTCTTCATATGACAAAATAAATTAGCCCTAAGTTTGTTCAATACTTAAGACATTTCCTAGCTAGTCAACAGAAAATTTAAAGTTCTTAAGAAATCTTCCAGTGGTGATTGGTAAGTGAGTATTAAGAAAATGATTACGTTCTATTTATCATTTTGACTAACTTAATGAAATAGATAGATGTTTACTGGAAATGAAACTGAACCACCTGAGTTTCCACTGTTGAAATACAAAGATTTATAATACACTGTCCATTCTAGAGTATTACTTATTGATTTATCTATAAGCCAATGAAGTCAGGTGCTGTTACGGTGTTGTTTGCAATGACCTCTGTTGTGTTTGTGCATATTGTCATCCTTAGAAAGGCGTGTCTAGACACCAGCTTTATACTTGGATGTCATAGTCTTTCTCTTCTCCACAGGCCGATTGGATAACTTGCCCAATTGCAAATCGGTTTACTCATCCTTAGCCATGTGTTGATGACAAACTTGTCTCAAAGGATTTTATTTTAGGAAATTATTACAAACCCAGCTTTGAGTATACCTCTCAAAGACTTCTTATTTTATAAACAATCAGTACTCTCGTACTGCCATCAAAACTCGTAGAGCCATCAAAACTCGTAGGGCTCAAATAATTAAAACTCTTATTGTTATATTTTGAAGCACATCATGCTAAATTTTTCCCAAAACCAAAAATCCATTCTAAAATCACATAATTTATATTATTTATTCATATTTATTATTATTAAATCTTTAGTACCTGAAAAATATAAAATTGATCAGATGGAAGAAAATAAGAACTGAAACCATATACGTGTGCATAAAGAGATTGACTTTGTTCTTCTTATTCTGAGAGAAACATGAGGGACATTAATTCTGATATGGAACTGAGTTGAGAAAATTTCTTTTCTGGGAGAAATTCCTAGGCAATGGAGAAACTATTGCAGTCTTAAATTGACAGTGAAGAAGTATACTGTAAGAAGTTCAGAATGTAATAAAGGGGACTATTTCAGTAGGAAGTAGGCCATGAACATAGCAGACAGGAGCTATCTTGAGAGTCTGGGAAGGAAAAAGTATGCACTGAAGCAGGCAAAAAGAAATAGTTGTGTATTTCACAGCACAGTGTGGGGAATGATTGCTCAATTCTCATGAACTATTTGGGTATTGACACAAAAGTTGTTACTTACTTTTATTGCCTCTATTTTAGTAAGTTTCTCACATCTCTAAATATTAAAGGAGACATGGAAACAGGGAGGTCATAATATATGCTGAGGAAGACACTAGAAAGTTTTCTCTAAGTCAAGAAGGTGGATTATAAATTTACAGGTTTCTGAGGTTGGTTAGGGGTACATAAATAAGACTTCCTTATGACTGGTAAATATATGCAGGCATTCAAGCTCAGAAGGAGTTTTGATCCTGTACACGAAACATGGAAAGTCTTCTTGTAGCAGTCAGAGACTTTGCCTTTCTGGATTATTTTTCCATTTCCCACTGTCTCAAATGTCCTTTGCATTGACCTCTGAGTTGCTGTATAAGCATAGCTCAAATGGAAGACAATGGAACTGAAACCAAACCATTGCAGGTGCAAATAAGAGACTGACTAGTTTCAGTCTTCAGTTTCCTCTGAAGGGAGCTTGAAGTTATTGTTGCAGCTGCAGAGTGGGTCACTTCATGGGATGGCTCAGATGGACTAATGGAGCATTTCAAGCTTCACCATGGCTGCTGTCCTCTCACACGCACATCGCCTCAACTCTTTGCAGTCTTTTGAGAAAGCCTTTCCATTGAGGATGGTCACACAGTCTCTGTTTCTCAGGCTGGTGAAATCTATTATAATTTCAAACCTTAAAAAAGGAGAAAAGTTAATTTAGTCACTGATTATTTTTAAAATGAAAATTTAAGTACACAAAAAGTATGGGGGCAAGGGTGAGAGGGGATACCTAACTTGGTAAAATTATAGAATAGACACCCAAAATGAGTTTTCTAGAAAGATGAAGCCACCAAATTCATTCAATCCCTCAAATTCCATACTCATTCTTAGACGAAGTAGCAGGTCAACCAAAATAACACAAACTATTCTTAATACAAACTAAAACACTAATTATAATCCAATTTTATCATGATTTCACTGAAAACTTATGTACCTTCCTTATGACTCAGATTATTTAAGTATAAAATTTAACATTATTACACTGAACATGGGAATAAATCCTACATGGCATATAGAGAATGGTCTTGGCAAATTAAGTTATAATCTATTTTTGTATAGAATTCACATGACCTTTTTCAAAGGAGTATGACCATGCATACTCCTATATAAATGCTCACATGATACTAACTTGTGGTAATATTACTGTTTATATCATCAACAAATGTATTCTCAGAGGCTGTATTTTTAAAGATATGTTCCCCATCTCACTGCAGAGAAAGCCAAGAAATATGAAACACTATATACTATCTCAGGGTATTGACAGATTGTGGTGGGACATTAAACAAGTCAACAACACAAGTCAACAACAACCTGGCCCTCCATCTCAGTCAGTTTCTCTCCCCCTGCCCTTTCTGACAATTATGCTCTGAGAGACGTCAGGCCCTTCAATAAATCAAAATTTCAGAAAGCAACCCAAAACAGAGAACTATTCCTGCATATCAAGCTAACTTTCTGTATCTGTTCTTCTCATTGGTTCATAAGTCACTCCATATTTTACCCATCTTAGATGGATCTCCTTCTACAGAGTATCCAATACAAAGTAGTTATTTGATCAATGCTTTGTGGAACCAAATTGTTGAAGTCTGTCAATCAAGCAAAACCTCTCTGTTAAATGTCCTTCCCATAAAATGTTCTGAAGGCTTACAGTTCAGGGGAGTATGGGGCTCCATCCATCCATAGCCAGTCCTTGCCACTGCCATTGCGGGATAGCCCCGTCCAGTAAGAGTAGAAAAACTCAGAGTAGCTCTGAGGTAGGGCAAGGTCCTGTGAAAGGCACATAAGAAAATCTTTAGCTTTAGAGCTGTTATAACAACCTAATCACACACACACACACACACACACACACACAAAGAGGAATGAGGCGGACTAGTGCTTATAACATGAGAGCAACTACATGAGTTCTGCTTCCATCCATGACTGTAGTTAAGAGAAAAGGCACTAACACTGAGCTCAGCTAATTTGTCCCAGTTAAAGAATCTATATTATTTTAGTAAGTATGGACTAGATATTGATATTCTGAAACCAAGTGCCACATTACACATACTTGAAACTTATTTTATAATGCAATGTTACTTCAACTTTAAAAAATTGCATTTACTTTAAAAAAAAAGACCACATCAACCAAGATTTATATATAGCCCATTATTTTAAAGTCACAATATTAAACACAAAGATTGATATAAAAAGTTTGGGAGTCAGATTTACAAAGAGATATGAAGTGATGCTGGAAAATGAAAGCATAGAAAAGTGAAGAAATGGGGATATAACCTCTATAAGTATATGTGAAATGACAGACAAGAAAAGGAGAAGATAATAAGAGTGTACTTTAATAATGCAACAAAGAGGCAAAAGAAAAATGTGCAAGAATGATTTTTGTCCCAGACTAGGAAAATGAGAGACATTTTTCATATTTATTTTGTATATATATATTGTTATATATGTGACATAACTTTTTCTAATAATCTGTGAAAATGAATGTACAGAAACCTGACTTAAATGAGATCAGGAGACTAGAAAAGTGATCTCATATATATGCAATCAGTGTACACAGGGAACCCACCCAGAAGAGCAATACCCCATCTCAAACTGGAGGGAGGATGCAACTCCTTCTTGTCTAGCAACAGCTCAGCCAATGAGAAACCACCATACTTCAAACTTCCAGTTTCCTCCAATGGACACTTTTTTGAGGATAGCCCCTCTAAAACCTATATTAGAGTTTCCTCTTTTGTTCTGGGTTAAGTGTGTGTGCTTTCACCGTGAGACTGCAATTCATAAGTGCTTTTAGTTGTTGTTGTTTCTGAATGAATCCATTTTGCTAGTGTAAAAACTGGCTGCCTATTTAAGGTCAAAAATGGTATTGAAAATTTAAAAGCTATTTCCTTATATTTAATTTCATCCTCATTAACAGAGAAATTGAATTTATTGTAATAATCCATTTTTATGTCTTTCCATTGTACTGAGTTCCTAAAGAACATACACATTCTTTCACTCATTTTTATATTTTCAACTCTGTAATTATTGGTATATATTGGTTTAATAACAGATTACTGGAAATATAAATGAAATGATCGCTGCAGTCATGCAGTAGACAGGTCAAAACAAATAGTTGAAAATATTGTTTCTAATTGAATAGTGGACTTTCAAATGAAAAATTCAGATGAAAATGAATCATATGAAGATGTTTTAAATAAATACAAACATATGAAGTGCATGAGTATAGTTATGTAGCTTATCTTTTAAAGATTTATTTATTTATACAAGATTTATTTATGCAAATATTTATTTGTTTATTTATTTATTTATACAGGCCAGATGTGTGGGAGGGTAAGAGGATTCACCAGAGACAGAGTGGGGAACAGAACTGACGAAATACACTGCTGAGGGGAGCAGCGGGCGAGACAGGAGAGGTCTGCCAAGCCATGTAGGTTGCTCCATGGCTGGTGGGGATGGAACCAGCACTGCAGAGGCTGTGGAGAGCTTCACAGCGCTGTGCTCAACCACCTGTGCCACCTTGTTATGTAACTTTTATAATAATATTTCTTGCAATTTAATGTAGTATAGTTGAATTATAAATCTGAGCCGTCAAGAATTAGAGGAAACACAAAAACATCGAGAAGGACTTATGCTAGAATACATTTTTATAGTTAAAAAAAATACCTCCCTTTCTGTCTAAATTGATTCTTTAGGAAAGGATGAAAAAATATTATTTTAATAGATGAGAGAGATTGCAAAGGCTATTCATCACAGATTTCAGAAAGTGGATAGGAATTAAGATGTAACTAGAAGAATGTTAAGCATTTTCATAATTAACTGGACATATATTTCAATTAAATAATCTTCTGCTGATAACCTACTCTGTGCCAAGACCTCTACTAAAACAATAATAAAGAAATAATAGTCATATTGCTTGAGAAACAATAGATGCAAGAGAAAGGGGAACACTTTCACAGTGTATTTTAATTGTATGTACTTATGCAATTCATGTCGATTTATAGTTTTAGTCTCATATTTGCCTTGACCAATCTATTCTAGGTTGTAAATTTCTGGAAGGTAAGTTATTTATTTGTTGATATAACAATTTAATTAAATGTTAATCTTTGTCACTTTCACAATGAAATAGCAGGAAGTGATATTTTTGTCTTTCTGATATTGTATCAATATTGTTCCTTTCTTACCTAAACCAAAAGAGGTAAGAAATGAAGACATTCTATATTTGATTCCTGATTGATGGTGTGTTTGAAGAGTTTTTCTCATGTTTCTATGGGGTTAGCATTTATGGAGAACAGAACTCGGTATATATCAGGGGCCCCTTCAAAACAATAGGACTAACACTTAAGTCTTGATTGCAGTAAGTGGGAGACTGGAGCTTGACTGCTTAGAATCTTCTTGCATAACTCTTTCAAAGACCTGTTTGTGAGAGGACTTTGACCAAGCTTCAGAATCTTACCAGCACTTCTTGTGTATTTATCTTCAGCATGGTCGAGTTCGCAGCAAAACAGAAGTATTCACAGCCTTGCCAACTCTTGCTCTCTTTAGAGAATTGGTAGCATTTGTCCCCATGCCATTTCCATGAATCTGGGCAAGGGCTGCATTTGTGTTCTTGGAAAGAAACCAATTTTAATGTTATTTTCTATGAAAGTCTACTGTTTCCCCTCTCTTAAAATTTATATAGTATTTGATGATCCAAGAAATAATTGATTCCTTTTCTTGTAGCTATTTAATTGTCTCAGCAATGATAGCTACAAATGTCTGCTGAATAACTACCATATGCCAGGAATTGTAATTGGTACTGAATATACATTGGAAATTAAAACAGATACTACCCCTTTCATGGACATTGGAATGTAGTAATGAATGATTAGAACATCCCTGCTCCTCACCTATATAATTCAGCATATAGAAAGAAATTCAGTTTCATAAAGAAATTTCATTTGTTCAGAAACTCAATATGCATTTTATTTAAGAAACAATAATTTTCTTTATCAAATGCCTCTTACATAACACTGAAAAGATTTTTAAAAGGTAATGATGCCGGAATTGTCAGGTCTAGTCTCCCAGCCAGGAACGGATCCCAGGCTGCAGGGCAGCACTGAGTCCCAGCCACTAGACCCCCCATGGTTGGTGTCTCACGAAGCCGCAGCAGCAACTTCGCAGACGCTCAGGCAAGCAAGCGAGAAGAGGCAGGTTCATTTATAGAAAGAAAAAGTTTATTGAGGAGGAAAAGAGCAGAAATAAAGTGGGACTCCCAGGCCAGGGAACCAGGCCTGGGAGGGGCAAGGAAGCCAAAGTGGAGTCGTGTTTTAGGGAATATAGACCTTTTTTCCCTCATTATTCTAAAGCTGCCCCAGTTTCTTTGTGATTGGTTAGTTCTCGGCTGTCTCACTTAATTTGCTACTGAGTAGGGGGATCTTTACGTTCCTTATCTAACAGCTTTTTCTTTCCCCATTTGTTGCATCTTTAAATTTATGGCCCAGTCCTCTGGATGGACATCCCTGCATTGAAGTTAAACAGCTGCCCTTCTAATGTGACCATAAATTAAACCACTCTCCATTTCTCCAATCTCCGCCTCCCTTTACCACCTGAAGGAAACCAGGACCAGCATTAACAATGTTGTCCTTGGTCCTGGCATGTTTGTTTTTCCTAATGGAATGGGTTATTTTCCCTTGCTTGTCCTTATCTCTGAAGCCTCCCTAAATTTTTCAGAGGTCCCCTCCTGCACTATCCCTAAAACTGCATAATAACCCTAGCTTGCCCTGTTTCAGTAATATATACCAACAGTATATGAACTGTTCTCATTCTAAATGCAAGTAGATAAATTTTAGAAAAAAATTACATAACTACTAAATCAAGCATGGATTGGAATGGTAAATCTCTATGTATTAGAAATGAAGATGGATGTCAAAGTAAGAGAAGTGCACAGACAAGGATGAGACTGACTGTGTAGGTAATGGTTATAAATATAGGAACTAAGTGTCATATGACATTAAATTAACTGGAATTTAATTCAGTTTACCTACATTTTAACATGATACCTATTCGATTCTTAAAATTTTAGAAACTTAGTTATGCTTTCATTCACCTTTTTTTTTTAAGATTTATTTATTTAATTATTTTTATAAAAGAATCGGGGTACAGACCAGATACGCGGAAGGGTAAGAGGATTCACCGGAGACAGAGCGGGAAACAGAACAGGGAGACAGACGAAATACTCTGCTGAGGGGAGCAGCGGGTGAGACAGGAGAGGTCTGCTTCACAATGTGGGATTCTCTCCAGTTAGCCGGGATCGATCCCGCACTGCAGGGGCTGTGGGCAGCTTCACAGTGCAGCGCTCAACTGCCTGCACCACCAGGGAGGCCCTGCTTTCATTCACTCTTAATGGGGAAAAATTTGTAAAAAAAATTTTGAAATGTATGCTACTCCTAGGTCTTTGTGTGCCAAAGTAAATTGGCCAATAACCCTGCATTTTATTTACCAGTACTATTCTTTTGGTTATTCAAAGTTAATTGTTTTTATAGTTTAAAATATCTGAATCGGGACTCCCTGGTGGTGCAAGGGGTTAAGATACAACCTATAATGCTATCCACAGCCACTGCAGAACAAGTTAGATCCCCAGCCAGGGAGCTACCCACATGGCACAGCAGACCTCTCCTGACTCATCCATTGCTCCCCTCAGCAGTGTATTTCAGTCAATCTGCCTGTTCTGTTCCCCAGTCTGTCTCTGGTGAATCCTCTTACCAGCCCCCACACCTCTGGCTTGTACCCCAGTTCTTGTGCACATAAATAAATAAATCTTTAAAAAAATAAACTCTATGAATCTCAAGAAATTCTTTTTTTTTTTTTTTGCATAAACAAACTGGGGTGTAGGCCAGAGGTGCAGGGGGTGGTGGTGAGAGGATTCACTGGAGACAGAGTAGGGGCAGAACAAGCAGGTTTATTGAAATACGCTATTGGGGGGAGCAGCAGGTAAGACAGGAGAGGTCTGCTGCATCATATGTGGGTTAACCCCTGGTCAGGGATCAAACTCAGGCCACAGCAGTAATAATGCTGAAACTTAACACCTAGGCCATCAGGGAGGTCCTCAAGAAATTCTTGATGTTGGACCCGATCATTGGTGATAATCTGGATACACAAACCACTAAATTTGCCAGACAGCCAGTTAAATAGTAGAGTTCCCTGGTAAACTGATAGGGAGTCAGCACTATATTGGCAGTGTCCTGAGGCAAAGGAGAGCTCTGCAGAGAGGAGTCACTTACCTCCAGTTTTGTTATAGAGCTCACGACACAGTTTTTCAGCTACACGCTGCAGAGTTTCTACAAGCTTCCTGTTCTGGATTTGGAGGGATTGCAGCTGTCTGGAGAGATTCCCCAATCTTTCTTCCTTTTGAGAAATGCTTTCTTTCTGAGTATTGGAGAGCTGGTAGAACTGAAAAACTAACCCAAGTTACCAAATCAGACTGGACAGATTTTTTAAATTTCCATTTCTATTTGTGTTTTTGCATATAATGAAGACAAAACAGCCTATTGTTTAAGATCGCAGGTCTGAGATATCATAATGCTTATATTAGGTTTAGAATCTAGTACATAATAAGTTGTATTGCTTTGAACAAATTAATTTCTATAAATCTGTTTCCTTAGCTGAAAATGTGGAGTTATGCACTTTCTATTGGCAAAGGCAACTCCTTAACCATATTTACTCAATGTAAGTTTTTGTATTTACTTCCAATTATTCAACCTAAAACCATAAATCCATTTATCTATAGATCATTTTAAGTATCAAAAGTGTACCATATTTTGTTTGCTTCTATCATTGAAATAATCATATTATCATTTTTATGTTTGTATTTGTACATATTTTCAATTGTGCTCAGTGAGGAAAATTAACTTCCTTAGTATCAGTTGGCTAAAAAATTTCAACACTTGGGTTTAAACAACAGGTTTCTAAATCTAAAAGAGAAATCCTGCATGAATCATGAGAGTTGCCTTATATGCCAAAAAAATTGTCATTGCTAAACAATAGTTATACCAAAATGAAGTAACAGTTTTGGGGTTAGGGTAAAACACTAAGGAATATATACATATTTTTTAATTTTAAGATCACAAAATTTCTAAAATTTTCTAAAAAAATCCAATTTATAAAGTTTAAAATCCCATCTATGTGACATTTTACCTTAATCCACCTTCTTCAATATTCAGGAAAGATTACAATAGGAGCTCCATCTGATCAACAGTGGGGTCACTCTCCCTAAAAGAGTCAGATAGGCCCTCTTACACCTTACTTTGGAAATTAGTTTGGGCCAGTCCATACTCTGTGAGTTTCAGGAGGACTTTAATCATCATTTAAGAATACAGATTGTTTTAAGTTGAGATTGTAACAGGGTGGTCCCCAGGAAAGGGGGAGGTTCCCTGCCCCACCCAAGGGAGGGTGGAGCTGAGCAGGAAGAGGAGAAGCTGCAGAAGAGACTGAGGAAGGAAGCAGGATGGAGCCAGGAGACCTGGAGGAGGCGCATGGAGCCTAGAGACACGTGAAGAAACTGCGCTTGTCTTTTGGTCGTGGACTGGGTGACACAGATGTGGGTGAGACCCGTGGGGAGGTGACAATGGCAGCTTTTATCTTGATGTTGATTTTGCTCTTTTCCTTCCGGACTTGTCCGGTTGTTTGTGACCCTTTTCTGTGGGTCCCCACTGGAAGATGCTTTAGACTTTTAGCAGGCTTTGGGGCCTTGTTCTGGGCCGATCCCATATGGATGGACTTTTACCCACGAGGAGATGGGTAACTTTGGGTGCTTCATTTAGAAACTAGATTCTTTGCCTTTCCTGTATTGTTTCCTAATTAAAGTTCCTTCCCATTAAAGTCTCATATGTTTTGTGTTGATGCGGCGGATGGCAGAACCCATTTAGAATAGGCAGGTTTGCGGGGCTTGGGCTGCCCCTCTCCCTGTCCTATAACAAGATCAGTGAGGCTCCTAAAACCCAGGAGAAGCTGCTGTTCTTGCCTAAGTCCTTCATTTCCACCTTCTGATCGAAGAGATGATCTTGTCTTAAGTGCTTGTCCTTTTCCTAATTGAAGAAGCAACCACTGCTTCCTCTTTTATGACCTGGAAGAAGGCTGTTTGGGAGTCTCATCCAGGTTTATCAGTAAACATGTTCTCTCTATCTAAGAATCTTATCTTTCCTCTCGTGGTAAGGATGAGGTCACCCCCTTCTTGCATGTCCCGTGAGGTGTCTCCCTGTCTGTCTTCGAAGCCCCAGGTTCCCAAAGGCAGGACAAATATTTCTAGTCTCCTTTATTCTTTAGAATTTACAGTCATATAAATCCTCCATATGTTTGTCATTAAATCGACTGTTTTCCCATTGCTAACCTGTCTGATACTGAGAAGATCCCAGGGGGCTATGGGGTGACTTCTTTTGCACCCTAAGAGAAGTAAGTTTGCCCACTCCCAAGTGAAGTTGGGACTTCTGCATATGCATTCTTCCTCTTGTGATTTACACAAGTTTTGCAAAATGATTCTGTAATTTCCTGGGCTTTTTAAACATATCGTAGTGATTGAGGACCTGACCTGCTTTTCTACTGAAAGGGTAGAATATAAATGAAATCTCTTCCCTCTATATTATCCCACTGACTCAGACATACTAAGCAAAAACCACTGCAGCTGTAACACGTTTGTGGAATGGAAGCAGGCTAAAGTGCACTTTTACTAAAAAGTGCTGATTTTAAATATTGACATAAAAGACAAAAACTTCTTATCTCAAACAGAATGTTAAAATCTAGTGGGATTGATTTTTGAATCTCCTTCCAGGACTCATCATTCAAATGGGTGCATCAGAATTAAACACACTGAATTATCTAAAGGCTCCAGAATAAAAGTTAGAAAAAGAATCCATAACAAATATTTCTTAGCCTAGACAAACCTTGGAACCAGGATCCTCCCCCAAGTCAGAGCGCGGACTTACACACAAACCCCAGGGCTGCCAGGCCAATCAGCAGCACCAAGCACAAGGTCAGCAAGGTCAGGGCCGCTGGACGCCACACTGAAGAGGGAGGCCTGGGCTCTGAGGGAACAACAACAAAAAAATAGGCAGGGTTTGGTTGCTTCTTCCTCTTGGAATTATGTCAGCAGCCAGTGAGAGGAGCTGGTTCTGGGAAAGAACAAATTATGCAGGACAATGGTAATCAGGGGACAGATAACCTCCCTCTTCCTCAGAAACATCGCCACAGGGCACAAGGCCAAGTCTCACTGAGTTCAGTTAGATTCTTTCTCAAGCCCCACCCATTCTATCACCCCCTCCACTCTCCCTTTGCCCTGAATCAAATTCTATATCACCACATATTGATATGGTTGTTTGTATTCCTTTTTTGGTGGAAGTCCACATTATAAAAGACTCATGAAAATGTCTTAACAAGAAGTTATCTTTCACCTCATCAGAGAGGATAGGTAATTAATTTGTTACTTTTGAAAACAGGGATTCCCCCATAATCCTCCCCCACCACAGCCTACTTCCATGTACAGACTTTTTCTAAATGGGATTAACTCAGAACACCATTTCCCCCTAACAAAATCTGTTAGCAATAATGAGAAATGATCATTTTGCTGTTTCTTTTTTGAGAATTTCTTGGTTGAAAGTCACTCTTTGCTAAGGATTTTGTGAGTGCATTCGATTTCTATCTCTTCAAAAACAGATGATAAAGAAACCATGATCATCAGTTTCTCAAGGATGGATCTATGCTATCTCACTTCTGCACCAGTTCAGTAATTTAAAATAAAACTGTAAAGCTGTAGCCAGCATTCTCCTCTTGCCCACGCCCTCAGGTCTGCCTTGTGTAATTGCAGAGATTCTGCTGAGTCATGAGCAAACCCATCACCTAGAGAAAGCGCATCTATCGATCTAGATGACCTGTTTTATCTGCCAAGGCGGACCCTCCTTCCCTGCCAGGCACAGGAAGCATCTAGAAACAGGGCAAAATGCTCAAACAAGTTTTGATCCCTTTGTGACCTGTGATTTCCATTTTACTTGGGAACCCAAGGAAGTTCTAAAACAGAAAGGTTGAAAACACGCAAATTCATTTCCTTTCTTGCAAAGTCCTCTGCATGATATATTCTAGGCACAGAGGTTTGTGCTTGACATTCCTTCCAAATGGGGGATAGGAAGTGACAAAAAAGGTACAGAAATAGGATGATTATCCTCTGAAACAATATAATATGGAAAGCAAGTTAAAATCATGGCACTGACATTGATCCCTTTTCAGAAGTCAATTTTTTTTTGCTTAATCTTTCCTACACAAAATTGCCAATGGGCTGCCTTGCATGAAGAATAAAATTCAAGATTTTCACCAAAAAATCGCTTTTTAAAAAATTGTATACTTGATGTTGCTTCTTCCCACCTTGAAAACCCCCATTAACTTTATTGCACTTAGACTAAAATTCTACACATAGTTTTCATCTTGACTCAACCTAGTTGATGCATCCCTTGATGACCTGAGAAGGGGTGGGGAGGGTGAAAGGGCACTGTGCATCATGCCCACACACACTGTTTGACCTGTGACCTGTTTGCTCTGAGTTAACTTCCCAGAACATGAGGTGCCAGGAAGAGTGATGGACACCGTTTCTGTCAGAGATTGAGTGGTTCCAAACTGAGGAGGGGGAGCTACCAAGGAGACAGAACTCCATAAAACTCCCTGAAGTTAACCAGTTGGAGTGAAACTCCCATCACTGATAATGAACTGTCTTTGTTTAACTCGCTATAAAATAGCCAGTTAGAACCTTTTCTTTCTGGCATGATGCTCGACTTTCTCAGATTAGCTGGCTGATCTAATAAAAGTGCATTTTAAAGTAACAATTCTTGTCCTCTACCTTTTTCAGCTTCCTGGTGTGTGGCAGGGGAAGAACCGGAATTTACTCTCCTCTCACTCCGATGATCTCCTCACAGTGGTTTCTTTCTTTCTTTTTTTTTTAAGATTTATTTCTTTATGCATACAAGAGCTGGGGTACAGGCCAGAGATGCGGGGGTGAGAGGATTCACCAAAGACAGAGTGGGGAGCAGAACAGCAGATGTAATGAAATATACTGGTGAGGGGAGCAGCGGGCCAACAGGAAAGGTCTGTTGCACCATGAGGGTCTCCTCCCTGAATGGGGATGGAGCTCTCTTGTGCTGCAGTGGCTGCGGATAGCTTCACAATGCTGTGCTTAACCCCTTGCACCACTAGGGAGACCCCTCCTCACAGTGGTTTCTGTTTGTCTTTGATCAGGAGTGACCCTGTAGTGTCAGCTCTGCCTGTGCTGGTGTGTCAGGTGAGGTCAGTGCAGGTAGTGTATGGGTGTTCCCCCCCCACAGCTTTAAGCTGCAACCCACGTCCTTGGGGGTGTCCATGGGTCATCTTCAGCAGGTCCTTCCATTAAGAAGTTTTTTAAAAATAAGATTATTGAGTAACATTTTCACAGATTTTTGTTTCTTTTTGTCTATCTCCTTTCCCTTGAGTATCCATTGCACTAGAACAGCGATCTTGTCTATTTTGTTCACTCTTACATTTTTAATACTGAAAATAGTGCCTGGCATGTAAGTGCTGAATACATATTTGAACGAATGAAGAATGAAATTATGACAAATTAATATTACCTAAAACAATGTGATATTTAGAGGCACAGAAGGTTATCTAAAACTAAACTTTATAGGTCAGTTTTTAAAAATCTATGGACTTTCCTGCAATATTTCTGTCAGCAGAGGGCAGGCTTAGCTTAACACAGCTCCTCTTCCTCCTGCCTCTCTCCTTTCCCCAACCCTTTCTTTCCTCCTCCATCCCTCATTCCTCAATATTCACAATCTCACCTGTTTTATTTAAGATCCAGGGAACCAGAACCCCAGGGCATAGTCAGTCCCTAGGACACCAGGCTTCCAGGATGCAAAGACTATAGAATTAAACATTTCACAGTTTCTTTCTCTTTGATGCTATTTTCCCCTGTAGTTATTTTTCTTTCTAACTGTGGGTTTAATGTTCCTGAATTTTATTCCAAGTGCCCCTGATCATAATGAGGTCTCTCTCTAGGGACTGCCCCTGACCTAAAATAAGAAAAATAAGATGCCTGGGAGGGTCTTCAGCTTGGCTCAGCTTTCTTAGGGTTTTACTTTTTGGAGAACTCCTGTCTCCTGAGGCATGCTTAGAAAAAGGTGTGCACAGGCCAAGGAATGAGCTAAACATCCCCAGGAATAATGAGATATACATAGAAAAAAACACCACTTTCCTGTATCCTCTTCCTAAAACCATATGATAAAAGGCTACACAGGCTGCATCTCTTACGTGTGCACCAGGCTAGCTCTTACTGCTCTGATCTTATCTTTCCACACATGGTCCTCACCATGGGAAATTCCCCCCAGAATCCCCATCATCTGCCTGGAAAACTTCCTCCCTGCCTTATAGAGTCAGAGACAATGTCACTTTGTTCAAAACTATGCAGGTGAATAAACACAGTAACATTTTTAATCCTACTTCCATCTGTGATTTCTGACATATAGTCAATATTACCACATAACATTTTCTTCTTTTTTTTTAAAGATTTATTTTTATTTATTTATACATGCACTTGGTATAGTCAGAAGCGCGGGAGGGTGAGAGAATTCACCAGAGCCAGAGCGGGGAGCAGAGCAGGCAGAAGGACCGAAGTACACTGCTGAGGGGAGCAGCGGGCGGCAGGAGAGGTCTGCGCGCCATGTGGGACCCTCCTCCGGTGGCTGGGGAGCAGCCGGGGATCGAACCGGCGCTGCAGAGGCTTCGGGCAGCTTTGCAACCCTGCGCTCAACCGCTGCATCACCGGGGAAGCCCCACATAACATTTTCTTGTGTCTGTTCAAACTATTCCTTCTACTTCTCTGCTTGCCTAAAACCAGTCTCCTCAGTGTCTGCCTCATAATGCTGATGTCTCTGAGTGTGCTCAGAGACACACGTGGAATCCACTATAAGTGATTTATGCCATGACTCTGCAATAAAGGTTTAGCTACAGTTGAGAAAATGAAGCTAAAAATTTAGGGAAAATTCAAGAACATTATAATGGATGTGAGTAGGGAGAAAGTGGAACTTGAATTTATCATTCAACGGGTTTTTTTTAAAGCAAGCAATTTTCTGTATTGTGTTGTTAGGATTGCACTTAGTCTCCAGCAGGAATTTTGACCTATCCGTCAACCCATTCTTGCTCTCTAGGTGCATTATTATTGTAAAGTGCTCTCCAGGTACTTCTTTTCAAACTATAATTGAGTTTCAATCTCCTACACCTTAAAAATAATTAAAAAGCACTCAACCCCATAGTAAGTCATGCTTTTTATTTTTTCCTTTTACAGCTAGTCTCCTCAAAAGAAGAGAGGAAGAAAATAAAATGATTTAAATTGTTTATTTTCGTGCTTAACTATTAGTTCCTTTCAAAAATTACCAGTAATCTGTTTTCCTCCTTACTGCTAAAAGTGTAAATTTTTATCCAGCTTCTAACTTGAGCTCTCTGAAACATGTATTGCTTTTTATTTTAGAAATTCACTGTTTATTAGCATTTGAATTTCTCTTGAAGCTGTTATGTCTTGGTATTCTAGATGCCTTTTCCTCCTGGTCCTACTTCGGCCACTCTCAACTTTTCAATCTTGGTAGCTCTTTCTGGAATCTCTTACTCCTAAGATTTGATCCTTGGCACACTTCTCTGTTTTTTTTTTTTTTAAGATTTATTTATTTATGCATATAAGAACTGGGGTACTGGCCAGAGGGGTTGGGTGGTGGTGGTGAAAGGATTCACCAGAGAGAGACTGGGGAGTAGAACCAGCAGACTGACTGAAATACACTGCTGACAGAAGCAGCGTGTGAGACAGGAGAGGTCTGCTATGCCATGTGGGTAGCTCCCTGGCTAGGGATCTAACTTGTGCTGCAGTGGCGACCCATAGCTTCATAGGTTGCATCTTAACCCTTTGTACCACCAGGGAGGCCCTTTTCTGTTCTTTCGTTATTTCATTTTATCTTCTCTTCAGAGAATTCACTCATTCTCAAAAAGTTTAATTCCTACCTGAATGCTGATAATTCCCCTATATCTGTGCAGCTCAGAATCCTTACCCCAACCCACAGTCTGGATATAACAGATGTCTTTGGGCAACTCCAACTGCCTGTTCCTTCTCTTACAAGCATCTTAAACTCAAATACACTTTATCATCTTTCCCATTCCTCCTGTCCTTTCTATCTCGGTACACGGCAGCACCCTCCACATAACTTCAGAGGGAACCTCATCCACTAGTGTTCTCCTTTTCCTTGTCCTTGACAAAGGACACCAAATCTTTAAATTCTGTCCTATGACACCCTTCATATCTGATGCCTCCTCCTCATCCCCATACTACTTTGGTTCAGTTCTCCTAATCTCATGCTTAGACTAGAGCCAAATCTGGGGATAGTGTTCACCTATAACACTCTTTTACTCTTTCAATTGCACTCTTTCAATCCAGCCTCCTCACTGCAGTCTAAATTATCTTCCCTTAATACAAGCTCGATCATGTTACTGTTCAAATCCTTCATTGACCTTATTTTACCTACTGAATAGAACCAAGATAGAATAGAATCAAAACAGCCCAATATAACACAGTAGATCCTCAATGACCAGACTTACTCTTGTCAAGCTCTGTCCCTCCATCATAACATGACTTAACTTTGCGTTGTCAGACAACTTTATTTAAAGCCATCATGACTATCCTCTCACAGATCCATCTGCTTGTGATGCCCCTTAAACACACCCCAATCCTGATTCCATATCACGTGGAGCATATTCAAGTCAACTCAAATCAATAGTCATTCTGTTTCTCCAAACTTTCCCGAACTCCTCTGCCCCTAACCAGTAGAAGTACCCAAGCTCTCCATGGTGCCACACACATGTTTCCACCATGAAACCTTACCACAAGTATTGCTTGTTAACAATTCTACTAGAATTAAAGTATCCTGATAAACAAGGGTCATATTATAGTTGGCACTGTGTCCTCACACTTTGTGACAACACTTGATGTAGTGTGGCTCTGAGCACAAGGTTGTGAAAAGAAGATGTCAGGGTATTGCCTTTCATTTTCACTTTTTATTCTAAATTGTTTGGCATTTTTTAACATAGACAAAGCTTTTATACTGAATATAAAGTCTTAAAAAAGAATGCATATCATTTATTTTTGTTGTTTCTAAAATAAAAAAAATAATAATTTCCTCCCACAATCATGCTATATTAGGTTGAATCTTAATGGTCTATATGGCCCAAAACCAGCATGATTATTGTTCTATTGTTTTTAACAGTAAAATTATACCAGATCTATTTTCCTAAGAAATAACTGGACTTCTGTAGAAAAATTCCTCTAAATATTTGCATTATCAAAAGATGAAAGCAAGAGGTCTTACATAGAGGGGAAGATAACTATTTTCAGATGTTTGCCTCTATGACACTTCTTTGTAACCTCCACTCCTACTTGTTCAAATTCCTTCTCTTTCAGAAAGGTTGCCAGATGTTTCAGTTAGTATTTTATCGTGTTCCACTTCCTCTCCACCCTTCAATCTCAGCAGAATGTACTTGTACAGTCTGTTCCTGATGATACTAGTCTCCAATCCTGGTGAGAATTCCTGGCTCTAGTCAAAGGTGAAAAATGAAGTTTATACACAAGCCATATAAGACCACAGCCCTACTAGCTGACTCTTCTCAAGATATTTTGGAAGAAAAAGTATCATCTCCCTTTATAAAAGTCAAGTAGCTACTGAAACTGACACTTTATCACTTTGCTTGGAATCAAGGAGGCTGGAAATCCTATTCCCTAATAGCTTACAAAATAGTACATTTTTTGATATGATATGCAAGTTCTTTACATAGTATATCAACTTTAATGCTCATAACCATCATATAGGAGAGGTTTTATTCCCTTGAAAGTTGAAAGCTTACCTTAGATCTAAGGCATCCAAAGAGGGGTGGGGAGGGAAAAGGAGAGGTATGAGAAGTGGGGGAGAGAGGTGTGGGGGCAGGGAGAGCACAGTGGACTCTGGGAGAGGACTGTGGGTGCTTTGGTAGTGGGAGAGCAACCTGGACCACACCTGAGGGGAGACATCCTATACTGTCAAAAAAGCTAACAAGGATATAAAATAATGGTACTTTACTATAAAATAAATATATAGAATAAAATATAGAATATATATAGAGAGATTTCAGACGTCAGAATTAATAGATAAGTCATGTTTATAGATATGTCAACATACCTGTTAAATATTTATTATTGTTATTTTTCATTACATATATGCAATAAAATTAATCAATAAAAATAAAATTAAAATGTATAATGTTCTGACTACAAAAAACAAGGTTTGTTACTTTCATTTAACATTACTTCAAGTTGATATGAATTAATATGCATGAAGTGTTTAAAACATATAAAAAGCTCAATATACTGATTACTCTCCATATTTTATCAAAGCTGGAGGCCCCACAATACTTAACTAACATGCCAAATATCACACAGTAAAGATATGTTTGGTATTAGAACCTGGTCTTACTTCTATCACAATGGGATTTCTTTTCACTACAACTCAAGTCATATTTCTGGCTTATATTGATTGAATCACCCAGGAAACAAGTTCCTTCTCTGAGTGTGTGAGTTCTCTCTTCTATGACTGAAAAAAAAAAATATTACTATGCCATCAGGTGAATAATTGGAAATAAAATTGTAAGATGGAAGCTAACTGGAACTAAAATTAATATTTTTAAGTTTTTATTGTCATCTCAATGAAATTCTTGGAATCAACAGTAGCACAAGGACTAGGAATGGTATCTAACTGTGACTGAGGCCACTACTTAGGTCATCAAATCAGGATTTCAGAGCTGAAGGGAACTTAGAAAACATTTGCTTTTATCCCTTTCAGTTCACAGTTGATGAAACCAAATCCCTGATGTTGACAGGACTCTGCAAGGCCTCACAACTTCAAGATGCAAAAATACAGGGCTGATGTAGCTCCTTGGAAGACTTCCTTAAAAGCCCTGAGTTCAATACTAGCAAAAAGACAGTTTCCAGAAATCTGAATTCGTACATGCAATCTCACCTCTGTGCTAACCTTACTTGGTAAAAACAACACACTTTCAACTGCAAACCATTATGCCAGCTACAGGCGGATTTCAGAAAAGCAAACATTGGCGTATATACTGAGTTTATATTTTAGTATCATATAGATAAATGTTCCTTTATGCAACGCACCTGCCTTAAAAAGTACAGTTGCACGTTATTGTAAATCGTAAGCCCTTTCTCTTCTTTCTCTAGTTCCTGCATTTTGCATATTCCCAGGAGACAAAGGTCATTCGAGCATTTCTCAAGGGCTCTATTTGCACCCCGGGAGACGAGTACCTGTGTGCCCACGCTCTGGCCGCTGGCTCGTAGTAGAGGCGTGAGAGTACAAGCTCATCGTGGTGTCCCCATCGGCATCCAGCATGTCCCGCGTGCTGCTGTACTTGGCCTGCATCCCGACTCCTGCAGGGGCGAGGCTGAGAGGTGGTGGGATCGCCCGGAGCCGCCTGGCTACCGTGACACCAATCCAGCACGGAGCCACTGACAGGCATTCCTAGTGCCCTTCTCTCTCAGCAAGCAGCAGGGGAAGCCTCTGACTCCAGTTCCTGACTGGAGAGGCCCGGCCCTCCTCTGGGAGCCTGTTCTCTGAATGCCAACTGGTCAGGCGGAGGGGAAATCACATGTGTTTTCTGTTTGGGTTGTTTCTGCCTGAATAATTATCAGAGAGGTCCTGGAATCTTTTTTGTTCATCTGTTTGTACTTCCTGTGTAGTAACTACAGTGCCAAGAAGGCAAGACTGAACAATTGCTCAGTGGTTCTTTCAGACTGTGAAGCGCAGAACCTGGTAGGCAGGAGGAATGTGGCAGGTCCTTACCCATTCAGCACTGGCTGAGTCACTCAGCTTGTGTGCAAGTCTCTGCTGCTTTTTGAAAAGAGAAGACACTGCTAGATGAGCCCCTTCCTCTCTCCAGGGCACAGTACAAGGCTTCGTATTCTTGGAATGACAGCTGAAGCGTCCTTTGGTGGATATCCAACTGATTCTACTCTCATTTTGTTGAGAAACAGGTGGAAGTCCAGCCAGATGAAGTGACTGGACCAAAGGCACTTGGTCTTGGGTGACAGATCAGCCTCAAAAATGCTCACCTGGGGCCTCCCTGTTGGCGCAAGGGGTTAAGACGCAACCTATGAAGCTCTCTGCAGCCACTGCAGTGAGTTCAGCTGACCCACATGGCACAGTAGACCTCTCCTGTCCGGCCTGCTGCTCCCTTCAGCAGTATATTTCAGTCAATACTCTGGTTCTGCTCCCTACTCTGTCTCTGGTGAATCCTCTTACCCCTCACACCTCTGGCCTATACCCCAGCTCTTGTATGCGTAAGTAAAAAACACTTAAAAAACATTTCTCAGCCCCAAGTTTATTGTTCAACACAAAAAAAGCTACTGTACCTGCTTCTTGTTCATGCATCATCATTTTGAAGCAAGAGGTCAAATTGTGGGAGTTTGTTATACACAACACATAATTTGGAGGCTAAATGTTCTTTGATAAACTTTTTTCTTTATTAAAGTGAACTCATGTGAAAACTCATTTAAAAGTGTACAAGCCAGGGACCTCAATACAATTTCTGTTCATATATTAATAAGCTTGGGAAGGCTGTGAATGCCTTTCCAATGGAAATCTCCATTGGAAATAATAACAGCACCAATGGGAAAGTTTGAGAAAATAAGAAGCAAATCATGACATGAGGAAAGAGTTAGGTTACCATAATACATTTTTACAGAAATTACTGACTGAAGAATTATTAAAATTGCCAAAAGGTAATCATAAAAATCAATAAATTCAAAATGTTAGTACTTCTGTCAATAGACTTGGTTACTTTTTTACACTCATTACCAGATCTCCTTTTGATGGACAACATATTCAAAATAAAATCTTTCTTCCAAGAGTGGTTTCTCTACAATATCACATTTTACCAGATCCTATTATGGAAGGCACTGATACTTTTTGGATTACTTAATTGAGAAAACAAGATAGAGTTGCTACTTTTTAATGAAATTTTGAACACAACCATGGTTGCCCCGATTAAAAAAAATAAAAACTATGATTTCATGAAGTTTTTTTTTCATTCTTCATTTAGTTATTCAGACATATATTTTGCTTTTTGCCTGTGTCTGACTTACTGCTGGAAACAGAGAAACTACATTCCAGTGACATGATTTGAAGACAAAAAAATAACCAAACATTAAGATCCCTCTGAATACCAAGGATTTGTGGTTAATCCCAGGTAAACACGTAAGGGCATTTACTCAAGGGTAGAATGGAAATTCAAGTACAGCCCCCTGGTTCCATATGTAGACCTACCAGTAGAGTCGATAGATGCAAAAATCACAGTCTTTGCATCTTGTGTCTCAGTGAAGATTAAAGCTGACTGAGTTTTCTTGATATTTTCAGAACCTATTTTGGCCACTAATGTGAATCTTTTCTGTTTTGTTTTCTACCCTCTCTTCTATCTTACATACTTGTCTGTTCCTCTAGGCCAGCCTCCTCCCCTACGTACACATCAATATTTTGATAGTCGCTTTTCACAAATACTGTGTGAGGACACATTGCAGAGTTGGTCATAAAAGATTGATGTGTGAATCCATACACAGTTGTGAGAGATATTTTCCTGGGTCTCTGTACTTGTGACTTGAAACCTGTTAAAATAAAATACAGTGAGGTGATTATAACAAATATAAGGACTATTATCTACTATCTATGCAATGCTGAAACACATTGGTAAGAATTTTAGTGAAGAGTTACTGAAGTGTCTCTATTTTTTGAAATGTCTATATTATGGGAAAAGAAGCCTTGAATTTAGGACACAATGGTCAAATGGTCAACAAAATAGCCTATTAATCAAGACAGAAAAATGACTCATATTTTTAAAAGATATATTACTATTAGCATAAAATTAACTAGAGCTTCTGAGAAAAAATAAAAACCATGTAATATTCAGTAGAAAATTCTTTACTTAATTTTCAACCTCTTACCTAAGAGGTATATTTATCAAATAAAGCAACAGTTTAATGAAATTATGTGTGTGTATAATGAATAGAAGAAATAAAATTATTAAAAGTGAACTAGAACAAAATGAAAAATTGCACAAGCTGTGGCCATTTAATGATGGGGGGAATCCTATATATTGTAATGCTTTGCAAAGCAGAATTATGTTACAAAACAATGATAGAAATTATGATATTGTCATGGGTAAGTGAAAGTGTGACTGTTCTATTTGCTCTTGAGTTTCTTGAAGGAATGGTGCTAATTAGCTAAGTTCAAATGTCATCACTGAACTTCAGTGCTAAAGCTATGGGCAGGTACTCTTCTTAGATAGCTCTCTCTTCTTGACCCTAAGGTTGGAAGATTGAAAATTCCTCTGTAGAAATGACTAGACTAAGAGCATGAAAGCTTTGAACAAGGCCTCAGAAAGAATCTGACAAGTGTTCTGCAAAACTTTTTCTTGATGCCCAAAAGTTTTGGGGTATGGATACTACATGAAGTTACTGCCAACCAGAAAACCAAGAAGTAGCAATATAACTAAATATTTATCTGGACCTACTCTTGTAATTTTAGAAAGAGTCCACTAGTTACATGTTTAAAAGGAAACAAAAGAATACTTGAGACAAATAAGAACTATAAAAAGATAAGAAATAGGGACCTCCCTGGTGGCACAAGGGGTTAAGCACCGCACTACTAAGCAATCTGCAGCCTTTGCAGCATAAGTTCGATTCCAGGCTGGCCAGGACCAGCCAGGGAGCAACCCACATGGTGCAGCAGACCTCTCCTGATTCGCCCGCTGCTCCCCTCAGCAGTGTATTTCAGTTATTCTGCCTGTTCTGTTCCCCACTTTGTCTCTGGTGAATCCTCTCATCCCCCTGCGTCTCTGGCTTGTACCCCAGCTCTTATCTGTATAAATAAATAAATCTTTAAAAAAAAAAAGCTAAGAAATATATCTTATCAAGGTGGTTAAATAAAATCTCTGTGCTTGGACTAGTGGAAGTGAAGTAGTTAAATGTTAAGTACGTGATAATATTCACCTTATACTATTTATTCACAATGGTGTCTGCTAGAAACATGTAAACTTTAAATTAATTCTCAAACATTTATGATCCAATATTAAGCGCACTGAAACATAATCAAGCATGTAAATAAATCAATATGAATGAAAAATAGAAAAATATGGTATGAACAGATATGCATGAGTATAAAACTAGAATTATCAAGCACAAATATTAGAATAACTACTTATTTCGTCTAGGAGTTAAAAGACAATATTGAGAATGTGGAGGAAAGTTGGGGATTATAAATAGTGGCAGGGTAGATTACAGAAAACACCAAATTGAAATTATATAATAGGGCCTCCCTGGTGGTGCAAGGAGTTAAGACACAACCTATGAAGCTATTTGCAGCCACTGCAGCACGAGTTCGATTCCCGGCCAGGGAGGTGGTACACATGGCGTAGCAGACCTCTCCTGACTTGCTGGCTGCTCCCCTCAGCAGTGTATTTCAGTTGATCTGCCTGTTCTGCTCCCCACTCTGTCTGTGGTGAATCCTCTCACCCCCACCCCCGCATCTCTGGCCTGTACCCCAGTTCTTGTATGCATAAATAAATAAATCTTTAAAAAAAAAAAAAGATAAGCCTGTGGAAACTGAGAAAGGGTTGCTCTGAAACAGATATAAGAAAAACAAAACTGCCAAGCAGAAAAGTTAACTTTGATAAGTGCATTTCTCAATATTGCCAGCAGGGGGAAGATGGGAGCAAAAAGTATCTCCCAGAAATGTTGAATCACACGCTGGGACTCAAACAGTTCTTTTATCTTAACCCATAATACTAATATTTTTTTAAAAATGCCCAAGTGTATTATTTCATTTAAGCAGTCTCAGGTTTATGGTACCTTTCTTTGAATGGTAGAAACAAATGCTAATCCTACTGAGTTCAATTTCTAATTCAGGCCCACAGTGATTATAAAAGGCCATCAATTGTTAGATATCTGCCAGTTTTAGAGATATTAAAATGTGTGAGGGGATTATAAAATTTTTAAATGTGTAAAAATATGTCTTCATTAAAATACTCAAAAATAATAGCATGCAAATTGGGGAGTAAACAGAGTAAAGGAATATTCTGGTTTTTTATAGAAATAATTATAAAGGCCAATTAATATTCAATTTTGATGAATGAAGAATACACATGATAATCTCTACAGTAATCAGTCAAAGGTTAGGAAAGGAATTAAGCTTCAAATTAACAGTGAGAAATGTAATATTAAAAAGAGTAGCATGGAATAGACTGTATGCCTATAATATACACTTCCAAATCTGTATGTTTAATACCATAGCTTCCATACATCAAATAAAACATTTGCAGAGTTGTAAATGTAAATTAACAGTGGTAGATTTAATACAATTCTCTCAACTGGGAAGAAAAACATAAAGCTTAGAGAATTGCAATCTCACTGAGTATGTTCTCTGACCACAGTAGAATGAAACTGAAACCTGAAAGGAAGGGATAGAAGCAAACATATATTTATAAATTAAAATACACATTTCTAAGTAATTTGTGGGTTAAATAGCAACTCACAATGGAAATTAGAAAATACTTTAAGCTGAACGGCAATAAATTTACATTGAAATTATAGCCTAAATGCACACATTTGAAAAAAAGAATGACCTTCACAAGTCAAGCATCTGTAGAAGAAATTACAGAAGGAATCACAAACTCAACACACAATATTGCCAGCAGGGGGAAGATGGGAGCAAAAAGTATCTCCCCCCCCCAAAAAAAAAAAAAAATGAACGGAAATAATAAAAGTTAGAACCAAAATTAATGAAAGAAATTAAGTTTTAAAAAGACACTGAGAGAAAAAGAGATTGAGAACCAACAAAGCTTAGAGTTCTTTCTTTGAGAAGACTAATTAAATTGAAAAGCGCACCTGCTAAAATTTTTTTAAAAAGCACACACACAAATAGTAGAAAGTTAAAAGGGTAGTATAATTCCCTATTGTAGCAATATTAAAAAGAAAATAATGGCAGTTGCAGTGAAAAGGCTTCAGCACTTTGTAATGGTTAATTGCATGTGTCCACTTAATTGCCCACACCTGGATAGAACTTGATTTCTTACTGTGTTTGTGAGAGAGTTTGTGGACAAAATTAGCTTTTGAGGGTCAAACAAAACAAAAAAGAGGAGGAAGGGGGAATTCTTGCCTCCCTGCTTGAGCTGAGACAGCTCAGTTCAGCTTGTCTCCTGCCCCAGGAGAGAGTGTTACACCATCATCTCTCCAGCCTTCACACTTGGACTGGATTACAGTTTGTATATGCACCTTGTGGGACTTTTCAGTTTCCCTAATCACATGAGCCAAGTCCTCAAAATAAGTCTCCATCTACAAACTCTTCCTCATTGTCTATCTATCTGTCAGGGTTCTTCAGAGAAACAGAATAACAGGAAATCTATATAGATCTTCTCTGGAGAAACTTGACTAATAAGTCAAGAAATTAGGGGAAGAATTTATAATCATGCAAATGTGAAATAGGCTTAAAATAACTTGAAAAAATGTGTAATGTGGTTGTTTTGAAAATAAATGGCATATATTACACATTTACCATACGGAAGAGATTATGCTGGGTTTATTTTTATATCATTTATTTCAAAATCTTAAGAGGTAGGTAGTGGGTTGCTTTTATTTGCATTTACAAATGTGGAAAGTGGGGTTCACAGAGAGATATGTTAAAGTCCCATATACAACTCTCTCACACAGTAAGTGAAACAATCATTGACTCCACAAACAGAACTGACTCTATAGCCCAAGCTCAGACCCTCACTTACACTGAGTAGCGGTGATTGCCACTTACCAGCCAACTTCAAACTGATAGCAAATGTCTTCCTGGTAGGAAAGCCAAGTGAACATTTGTGATGACAGTAATGGAAGGAGGCTACTCAGCATTTTCTGACTGCAAATTCCTCTCTACTATTTTTCCCTGGTTCACTCTTTCTCGCTCTCCATCACTATCTCTTTCTGTTTCTCCTTCTTACACATTACCAACAAATCAGATGCTTAAATACTTGACATAATCTCTAAGAAAGGAGGTGAAGCTTTGTCTCTTCAGATACTTACAAGGAAGGGGAGACCGTTGAACCATCCTCCCACAGCCACGGTCCATCTTTCTGATGACGAGAAAGTCCTATCCAAAATGACTGATCAGGTTGGGAAGACACTTGCTCTACTATAAATTGCTGTAGGAAAATAAAAATACAAATACACATTAAGGACAAAGAGAGGTAAAGAGACAAAGATGATAGACCTAGAAAGACCAAGACAAAGAAAGAGACAGAGAGAGACTCTAGTTACAGACATGGGGCTAGACCAAAGATTGAATCACCCTAGATGTGTGCAAACTTTGGCATCCATCTAGAGAAAATGCCATTGAGTGACTGAAAAGGCATATTTCATTTCTTCAGAGTCATTAGTATTTGCTTTTCCAATAAAATATGATCCAGAATGTCAAAATTGTTACAGCAATTCATTCAACCTTACTTCATCACATCTAAGGACAACAGATTTTATAGGCAATTTATATGGATAATAGATGGTTATCTTCTTCTCAAATTGAAAATGTAAATTGATATGACCTTTGTCAAAAATGCTTCTCAGAGTTAGAAAACAACTTAAGAATAATTCAACCCTATTACATGTCTTATAAATAAGTAACCTGGGATTTAGTGATAATTGAATTGTTGATAAATATAGCACAATTTAGTAATTACAGGGTCTAAAACCTGACTTCCAGTTCCATTAATTTTTTGCTGTATGTCTATTTCCATTAATTTTAATGTTAACTACAATGTAAAACAGGACAGAAACCAAGAAATTGAATGTATTGAAAGTAGTGGCAGAAATTAGAGATTATTTAGATTTATAGTGTAGAAAATCCCCTAATTATTAAACCCTTCTTATAGCCCACCTGAGTTCTAACCTTTATTATAAGTCCCACTTTTTCTGCAAAACATTGTGTTTATAAGGATCTCTTTCTGAATTCCTGCCAATACCAGGCATTTAACTATTTTTTCTTACAAATTTCATGAACACCATAGCAGAAAGTTTACTTTTCAACCTCTTTGCCTTTCCCAGAATTTTGCAAAGAATAGAGCATTTATGGATGTACATTATTTTGCTGCTGTCATTCTTGAGAATTATGACAAGAGGAAGAATTTTCTATTTTACTCCACCAAATGTAAAAAAGTGAAATCTAAACCCACAAAAATGAGTAGTGGTCAGATTATTACAGTCATGCAATCTTGAGTCTTTTGTAAAGGATTCGTTTTAGCATGAGATGTGTTTACTTTATAAAATTTTAAAAAGCATGTATGATATAGTTTACCTTTTTAATGTTATCGTAAGTATGGAGAATATTAAAAATGGATTTCTCTTAGGGAAAATGATCACAACTTTGAATCTACATCTGTTTGTTTGTTTTTTTTTTCCTCAATATAGACCACAGATAATTAGAGCTGAATTCTACTGCTACATTACCAGTTCTCCAGAACTGTCTATCTTCAGGAGATTAGAGCCCAGTAGTAAGCAGTGGTTTCTGCTTTTGTTCCAGGAAGTTAAAGGTGTGCTGAGTAGGTAACAGCTGTTCTCATATATGATCCACTCAGGGGGACAATTACTGAATCCTAGAAAGAAAAGATACTTTTGGTAAGGTTCATATTCATAACATCAGTGCAAATACCATGTATCTTGAGAACAGTTAATAAAGAATGAATTGTCATTAATACATTTCATTTTTATCTAAACTACAGGGATAGGACTTTATAGAAGAGACTATATTAGAATCTCTTCATTCATTGAAAATAAAAATAAATAGGTTGAGTAACTATAAATAATGTTTTAGACAATCAACCCTTTTTTACTTCTTAACTTTACTTCCAGTCTTTCAACTTCAGCCCAGAACTCCCCTTCTCCATGATAATGAAGTAAATCAACTCAAAATCATCACTGAGGTTTGTAGTAACTTCATGCTGACTTAATCTACAAGTACTAGGTCCAATTCAGAATGCAACTTCCCAAATGAAAAAAAGTATGAGCAATTATTCACATTATAAAAGTATTTCTGGTTTATATTTTTAGCTTTTTGATGAAATAGTCAGGAGGTGTGAAACAAGAGATGTAAAAATGTTATTATGTATATGACACAATTAGAAATAAAAGTCAAGTGTATACAAAAATATAATGCAATCAACAAAATCATATGATTAAAAAAACCAACTTAACTAGTATTTTCAGAAATTTATCTGTGGGGTATCTAATGTGTTTGATGTTATATCATAATTCAAAATGTGTTTTATTTAGGGCCTCCTCTGGTAGCGCAGCAGTTGAGCGCTGGGCTGCGAAGCTGCCCACAGCCTCTGCAGTGCCGGTTCAATCCCAGGCGAGGGTCTCACATAGTGCAACAGACCTCTCCTGCTGTGCCTGCTGCTCCCCTCAGCAGTGTATTTCGTCAGTCTGTCTGTTCTGTTCCCCGCTCTGGCTCTGGTGAATTCTCTCACCCTCCCGCGCTTCTGACTGTACCCAGTGCTTGTATAAATAAATAAATAATTAAAAAAAAAAAAAAAGACAAAGTGTATTTTATTTAGCCTGATAATTCTTGGCAACGTTTTCCTCTTTTATTGTTCTTCTCCCATTTTTCCTTTCCGTTGTCCTCTCTGTTATTCTATCTATATCACTTTTACGTGTCAATTTCTTAAAGGGAGAAAGCACGTTTCTTCCCTTCACATCAAATTATGCAATCTCCCATAGACCTAAACACAAAACCAATATTAAATTAGTTACTGAGTTAAAAAAAGAAATCCAACTTACAGTTATTCAGCCAAGTGCCTAGTGTATTTGTAATATCATTTTGTAGATATAACACGACAGGAACATGTTAGAGTGAGATAATACTGTTAAATGTGTTTTTCTTTGAAATGCACAATCATTGCATGCAAAGGTTTTCTTTACCTTCTTCCCCTCGGACTTAGCACCAATAATAGACCTTCCTGAATCAGAGTCTATAAATACTTTATCTCTGCCCTTGCCTGTGCTTGGGAGAGTCCTGGTAGGAGGCATGCTGTCTTCTGAAGATGACTGTGTGGGTTGCTGTTGTTTCTCTTTATTTCTCGGTGGAAACTGGCCACTCTCTGCTGGGAGGTTCCCTGAGTTGGATCTCCAAGTAGCTTCATATGCCAACAACAGTCACCGTGATAGGAAAATGGTCATTCTATTATGTTTGAAAATTAAAATCCCCAAAAACATACTTTTGCTGAAATTTAAATGAAGGACCAGGTACAAAACAATTTCCTTAAATCTTGAGAATAATAAATAACCTATAGCCTCAGAGACTGTGTTTCATTAGGAAGATAAGCACCATATTATACTTCTTCCCTTACTGGTATCCTTCCATTAACTTATTCTGGGAATCCCACAGCTTTGAAACCAATTATTCTAGGAAGGTAGTAAGGCAATGTAGTTAAGATGATGAATTTTAGAGACAGAGTTCCTAAAATTCTGATCATGGGCCCACTGTGAACTAGTTTATGAGCTTAGAAAAGTGAAGCAACTTCTCAGTCTCTCACTTTACTTATGAGCTTAGTTTATGAGCTTAGAAAAGTGAAGCAACTTCTCAGTCTCTCACTTTACTTATGAATAAAACAAGAATTAATGGTACCAATTCAAAAGGGTTAAGATACAGATTAAATAAGATTTTGCATGCCAGGTTCTTAAAAGAGCACCTGGCACGTTATCAATGCTTCTTAGATGTCTCTGTGATTCATCTTCTCAACCAATACTCACCTGTGACACCCAGCACCACAGCTATCACCACTATTACCAAGCACAGGATTCCCAAAGTCACAGCAATAACACGCCAAGGAAGAGATACAGCACAAGCTCCTGAGGAGTCAAAGGGAAATAGACAAAGAAATAGCATGATGGATTGTGGAGCACTTCAATTATTAGTTCATTAAAATATGGCAAACTCAGGGCCTCCCCTGGTGGTGCAGCGGTTGAGCGCTGGGCTGCCAAGCTGCCCACAGCCTCTGCCTCCGCAGCGCTGGTTCGATTCCCAGCCGCCAGCAAGGGTCCCACATGGTGCAACAGACCTCTCCTGCCTTGCCTGCTGCTCCCCTCAGCAGTGTATTTTCTCACTCTGCCTATTCTGTTCCCGGCTCTGGCTCTGGTGAATTCTCTCACCCTCCTGTGCTTCTGACTGTACCCAGTGCTTGCATAAATAAATAAATCTTAAACACATGCAATTTGCAGCAACATGGATGGCACTGGAAGGGATCATGCTCAGGGAAATAAGCCAGAAAGAAAAAGAAAAATATCAGATGGTCTCACTCATAGCAGGAATCTAGAAAACTTAAATAAGGGACCAGGAAAATGAATATCTATAAGAAAGTGAAAATCATAACCAATAAACAACTATGAACCAGAGACACTTTATGAGGGGTGGGGGGTGGGTGGGGAGGGATTGGGGTCAAAATAAAGGTGTTGCAATTGTTTGGGGAATATAAAAATAAAATAAAAAAAATAAATAAAAACAATGTTAACTTGCTCGGATTTATCATAAATAAATAAATAAATAAATAAATAAAATATGGCAAACTCTGTAGCATACTGTACAATACCCAGATAATCTACTCATCTAATAAGAGTTCGAATTCCCCCCACTGTTAGCATATGTTTTCAAGTTTGGAACTGTAACTTGAGTCCTAACTTCATTTCCACATAGACATCTGTAGGTCTTGACACCTTCCTCCTGCCCCCACCCACCACGATCCTTAAAATTCCACTCATTCCTGGGAGAGACTAGGAGTCTTCCCTTTTCACTTATTTGTTGCACAACCTGAGGTAAATTACTTTTTTTTTTTTGTATCTGAAAAACTGGGGTAATAACAGCTTAAAAGGTTATTGTGGGAATTTAATGAGCTAATACATGTAAAAGCACCTAGTTCCGAGACGAACAACACATAGGTAATTCACAGTCCACATGCAAACATAAACACTCACATACTTCCCTACCTCTTGCGCCATCCGGTTTTTCCACTCATTTCCAACAGGTTGCCCAAGAAAGGAATTGCATAAGTGATAGAAAGGAAAATAATTGTGCAATGTGAGTTACCAGAAAGCAGAAGAGAGCAGATTCTGATGGCAAAACCAGTGAGTATTTTTTTCTCAAAAACAGGGAACTCATTTTATGTTAGCCTCACCATACCAAAACATAACTCTGCCTTTGAAATAAGCAGTAAGAACATTATAGAGAATTGCCAAATGAGAGTCAAAGAAGACAAAGTCCGATTCAATCTCTTACACAAAAAAATTCAATCTCTTAAACATTACACTCGCGATACTCAACCCTATGACTTCTGACTTCCCTTTGACCTTCCCCACAAAATCATTACTTTGATTTTTCCCTCTCCTGTCTTCTATCTTTTCATCCGCCACCTTTCCCCCCACTATATCCTGATGTTGTTCATAGGCACTACTTTAAATTTCTCTGACCTCCATTCTTCAATCTACTCCTTTCTCTCAAACAAATAGCAAGTCATTCCTTTTGAAATTCTTTCATTTTTACATAACATTACATAACATTTATTTCAGATCCTTATGGCTTAAGTGTTTATTTGTATAGAAGAGAGAAATTATATTTTCTGCCATTAATAAAGTTAAATACTAATAATCAGTCACCAAATGATTGTCGTGAAAAAAAGAACAAAATATATTCAGTGACTTAGAAAATGGCTAAAAATGTATTAATAAAAGTCCTACAGATAGCAAATCTCTCCAGTTTCCCCCACTTTCATGTTTCAGTTTGTGAGAATAAGCATTTTGAAGGCAGAAAGAAAAGGTACCTTTTTTGGAAGCCACAGGTCTGGCGCTGCTTCGGGACCTGAAATCTAATTGAGTATATCCATCTTCATCTAAATTTCCTAACTGAGCCTGGTCATCCATCACTCATTGAGAATGTGAATTGGCGTTTCATTGGAGTGCTCTTCCCTCTCTTCTCCTAAGACAACCCACTGTGGACTAAAGAGAATCTATAAATCAAATCGTGTGGGATGGGCATTGGCTTAATAAGGAGGAGTAAGCTGAGCATAAGTAGTCCAACCAGCTACCCAAAGCAGGAAATGCAGACAAGGCTGAGGTAATTTCCCATTTGTATCTGTAGATCCTGTTTCTGAGAATGATGATTCTTAAGAAAATTATAAGAAAACATAGCAAATGGAACTTTGTTTTAGACCAAATACATAATAATGATAAAAAAGACGAATGTGGGCCTCCCTGGTGGTGCAGGGGATTAAGCACTGCACTATGAAGCAATCCGCAGCCTCTGCAGCACGAGGTGTGGTGGCCAGGGAGCAACCCACATGGTGCGGCAGACCTCTCCTGTCTTGCCCGATACTCCCCTCAGCAGTGTACTTCGGTCAGTCTGCCTGTTCTGTTCCCCACTGTCTCCGGTGAATCCTCTAACCCCCGCCCTCACATCTCTGTCCTGTACCCAAGCTCTTAAATGCATAAAAATAAATAAATATTTAAAAAAAAAGAATGTCTTCATTGCTTTCATTATTCTCACAACTAAAGTTAACATCACTAACTACCTATTTTGGAAACTTGAATTCAGCATTGCTTCATTATAATTATATATGCATTCATTTATTTATACACTCACTCCTTCAGCAAACATTTATCAAATGCTTATCTTTTCAATTGGCAGGAGCTGGGAATACAAGGAAAGAAAACACTTGTGCTCAAGTTCATTGCCAAATAGAGAAAACCTACAGATAGTTTGTGATAAGCAGGTACATTGCCGGACATTGAACTCAACTTCCCACAATGTTGGAGGCAGCAGAGAGAAGACACATATCTCCTTGGGATTTGTCAAGGATAAATAACATAACATGTTAATTATTTACTGATTTAATTACTATGAGTTAGGTAATTTCCATTGCACATTTTGCCATTGAATTTCAGTTTTCCAACAATGCTATGTAGTGGTTATTATTATTATTATTATTATTATTATTATTTTCAAATTAAAGAAAAGAGAAATTGAACTTTTAGTCCTTTTCTTGGTTTTAAGAAACCAACAAAAATATTGAATCAAGGAATCAGATCAAAGTCCATCTTGCTTCATGATCTTTTCTGCTATCCTACATTGACTCTGTCACCATTCTGTACACAGATAGAAAGTAACAGCTTATGGAGAATTCTGGAGCTAAGATATTATGCTAAATGTTTGATTTTTTATCTCCCAATTTCATAATATTACTCAAATTAATGAAATACAGATAACAGTTTTCATGACAGATTTCATTCAGTCATTCTATTATAATGAGAAAAGAATACAACAGGAATTGGACTCAACTTCCCCCAACAATAATCTGAAGACTTCTTACAGGTTGGGTGCATCCAGGAGCATACTACCCAACTATAAAAAAAATGATAAAATCTTGCCATTTGTATTAATATGTTTGGAACTGGAGGGGATTATGCTAAGCAAAATAAATCCTCCTCTCTGACAGGTCTTCTTTGATTGCCTAGTTTGAAGCAGAGTATAATCAGAACACTACCAGTCATTCTGGATTCTGGATCAAATCACAAAGCTTTTTTTTTTTTTCCTTCAACACTTCCTACTATTTGAATCTATCTGATTTGTTTATAATTAGACTCACCCCACCCACAAAACTGTAAGCTCCATGAGTTAAGAATCATGTTTGTCTTGTTCACTTGATATATTCCAAGAACCTAGACTAGCTTCTGATTCCTTGTAGGTCATCAATAACTATTTATTGAGTCAATGTAAATGAAGGTATAGAAGTAAATGAGAACAGTCTATAAGTAACAATACATACACATAATAAATAAATACCTTCATATATTATAGCCTAAAATTACCCAATTTTATTGTCTGGTTCAGTTTATGAACTCCAAAAGGACCAACATTTTTTCTCTATCATCATCATAAGTCCAATGTGCAGAACAATATTCCCTAGGTCTTCTGTCTAATTGGTGAAATAGTGAAGAAAACACGCAATTACTCTTATGAACTGGTAATTCCAGCTCTTGGTAATTGCAATTTTTAGTCCCAAATTACAACCAAGTTGTATTTGACTTGTAGCCAAATCCCCTCCATTTTGTAACAAAAACTTCCCTATACTAAAAATGAGGAATACGCAGAATTAAACTAACCACCTTTGTTCTCTCTTCTCCCTATGCCCCAACTTATGGTTAAACTTTAACTGACAACTAATGATTTTCTCTCCAACTGTATCCCCAGGAACCTGGAAATTGATTGTGCCACATATCTAACAAGAATTCTCTGTGCCTCGGGCCTCCCCGGTGGCGCAGCAGTTGAGCGCTGGGTTGCGAAGCTGCCCGCGGCCTCTGCGGCGCCGGTTCGATCCCCGGCTGCTCCCCGGCCACCGGAGGAGGGTCCCACATGGCGCGCAGACCTCTCCTGCCGCCCGCTGCTCCCCTCAGCAGTGTGCTTCGGTCCTTCTGCCTGCTCTGCACCCCGCTCTGGCTCTGGTGAATTCTCTCACCCTCCCGCGCTTCTGACTGTACCCAGTGCATGTATAAACAACAAAAAAACAAAACAAAACAAAACAAACAAATAAATAAATAACATGCCTCTATAAAAAAAAAAATAAATAATAAATAAAAAAAAGAATTCTCTGTGCCTCTTGGAAGTTGATAGTAACACCAAGAACAAACAACTGTTGATTGTTATGGGCTGATGTCTCCGCAAAAACACTCCCTGCTGAGAAAAATAAACACTGTAACTCTTGACACCCACACTGCCTCCAGGCATCTCCGGACCCCCCACTTCCTTCACATGCTGCACCTCCTCACATTCCTTCCCCTTCCATAATCACAGCATGTCCACTGTTCAGGGACTTTTAGTGGTTTGTCCCACTGACTCCCTCGGTCCATCTCAGATGTAGTCCTTTGTGGTAAGACATGCTTGTGATTCAGAGTTTGATTTTCTGGGCAGCAAATTAAAGACCTGGTTTGATTGCTTACAAATTTACCTTTGGAAAGCAGGGGAAGAAAAGTGCAGGTAGACTTACACATATATGTATGCTGACTGTTTAGCTTTAGGTGGCATATGCATTGTCCCTCTTTCTCCTACCTACTTAGCTCTTCTTTCTCTATTGCATTCACTGAATTTATTACCACCTCGACCATCCATGTTTTCATCGAAGAAGTCGATGCGCACTTCAATTTATCACCTTTAACAGGAAGAAAGCTACAGCAGAATATGCCTTAGGACAGGACAAACTGTTGAGTCTCTAGACTGTCCTGATAACAATAAACAGAGCATCTTGGATTTTGCTTGTTTAACATGTTGGAATTTCATTCATAATGTCAGTTTACAAGCAAAATAGTTGAGTTTACAAAATAGTTGGAATCTGTTCACCTGGTGTTGGCCATTCATTTTTTAAAGAGGGGAAATGACCAACGGGAAGGCAATTGAATTGCATGGTGTGGGTGAGGGGGAGAGGGAAATCTCTGACTTATTGGCAGAACTTCTAGATTCAAAGCCCGAAGTCTATATCTAAGAAGGGCATCTTAGGATCTTGTCACTCCTGCTTCTGTCACTATTGACTGAGTGACTGTAGATATGTTGTTTCATTATCTCTGCTTGTTTCCACACCAGTAACATCATGATCCGTCTAAATGTCCACTGGGATGCTTGGGTGGTGAATAAGAGAGGTACCGATAATTAAAAGTGGTGTGTGCTGTGTGATCTAAATTGACATGAATTAATCAAAAGATTGAGCAGTCACACAAGTGTGAATGAGGTGATGGTGCCACCTGCTGCTTTGTAGTAGGAATTTCAAAGCAAGTCAGAGGAAATTCATCTGTTACATTCACTTGTGAGTAAAACTCACAAGAAGAATTTCTTCAAACTAGATCACACTCCGAGCAAAAATGTGACTTTCATTCTGCTTAAAGGCATTTTTATTTCTTCATTCTTAAAACTGTGTCTATGAATAGTTATTTTCCATGGTGAATGGCTATTGGATTCTTTCAATACTTACTGCTTATGATTATTTAATTTTAATTTTTCATTTCTGCCGTCATCTGCTGTCATCTCATAAATTCGGGGAGGGTAGACTACTTGTCATTTTCACTGTTAATTCCAAGCATCTAGAGTCACATATGCACATATTAAACGAATGGGGGGAAATGAATAAATATCGTTATTTTTAATTCAAGTATTTTCTCTCTCCACACTAGATAGACTATTAACATTGTGAGAATAGACTGAATTATATTCATTGCTCTCTACCCTGTCAACTCTAAGGAAAGAAGGGATTCAAAAGAATGAATGAACCAAAAAACAAATGGGAAAAATACATGACACTTCGTCAAGGTAAATCAGAATAACTTGAAGAAAGCAAATATTCTGAAACCATTATGCTGATATTAAAGTGACTTAAATATATTAGACATTCTGTCTCATCCAAAAAATCACATACAGGCTGAATAGATGGGCATAGGACTTTTAAAAAGCTGTTCATTTTCATTTTTCATTTGTGCTTGGGTTTGTTGTAAGCAAATAAAAGACAGTGCCCTATAAGCATTTCTCAGGAAAGAGCTTAGAAAGTGGATGTTTTGACATTTATGAATATAGTGAGGTACATTCCTGCTGTCAGTCTTCTAGGATGCTATATAGATTGTTTATATTACTATTGAATTATTTATATTACTATTAAATTGTTTATTCTCTAAGAGTAGGATTATACATTATCCATCAGCTCTGCTCTTAATGGAGTAAAAGAAGAACTCAGGAACATGAGTTTAATGTGGGCCATTAAGTTGAAAGGCATTCTAGCTAAGAGCCAATTTTATAACTTTCAAAGCCACTTAGAGTTTCTTACTGTCCAGGTGCAAGTCAAATGTTTAATACCCTTGCTTCAAATTCTGAGTTTCTCAACTTGCAAAAATGTTTAGAACCACTTGTTCCTCTTTCTCAACTTGCTCCCAGTAAACTGATGGTTAATTAATGATCTGGTTCATGGCATCCTTCATGAGTTAGTGCCTTCCCCACAATTAAGATGACAGTGGAGGAGCAGGGGCTTAGAGGATTTTGGCGCAAAGGGGGTGCATTGAGATAGTAGGATATGAAGATGCAGTATTTTAAATTTGCTCATTGGCCTTGCTAAATTTTGAAACTTGAACAACAGATCAGAAAAGCATCCATATTCTGCTCAGGTTACTGAGCCAGAACAGCGTGAGTCTGTGAAATACTCTGAAGGAATGCAATATTGGAAATAATATCGATGTGATGCCGTCTAGTCCCTATGGACCCGAGAGCCTTGCAGAGCCATTACTCAGAAAATGTCTATAAAGAAGAAATTCAAGAATCTCTGAACACTGCTAACTGGTTAAGGAAATAAGTACAAAGTCAGGGTGTCCTCCACAGCACACTGTTTTCAACAATAATAACAACAGGAGGGTTCTAAGTGTTTGCAAACATAATTAAATCAAGAATAACCTTCAGTTATTTGATCAGTAGACTGTAAAAGCTTAAGAACCTACTATAAAAACAGAAACATATGAGGAATCCTATAAGATAGGAAATATAAACTAATAGTATAAATAACTAACATTTCCTGAACGCTTAACAAATCCTAGGAACTCTGTGATATATTGTACAATCATTATTGTACTAAACCTCAAGTATCCATGAAATAGTTACTCTTGGTATGCCTGCCTTTGAGGTGAGGAAATCAAGGTTTCTAGAGCTTAAATAATTTGATAACAGACTTAGTGAAACACTGAGACTTAAACTCACATAGTTCAAATTGAGTATTTCTACTAAATTGCCATGTTCATTTCTCATAGAGAAATGATTACATAACCAATAAGCTATACACATCAAACATCAGCAAACCTTTTTTCTGAGAGAGAGTAAATATTTTAGACAGTGTGGATCACTTACAGTCTCTGCTGCATATTCTTAAAAATAACCCTTTAACAAATGTAAAAATTCATAGCTCACAGAATATATGTATACAGACAACAGGCAACAAGCTGTAGTTGTAACCTTGATTTAAACAATAATAAGGAGAGGGATATTTAGATACTGGGATAAGAAGCAGTATATTAACTAAGAGAGAGGAACATCCCCACGATACATAGATTAGAACAATTGCCTCTGCATGTGAGGGTTAGTGAGACAGTGCACATGGCAAGAAATGGAGACAGAAATAGTAAGGGGACAGACAGTGACTCATAGGCACTGTCAGCTTGGCTAAAGAAGGTAGTTCTGTCATCATTTTAGGAATAGAAACTAACCAGCCACAGAAGCAAGAAATCCACCTTCCCGTCTTGGACTACACTTTTTCCTCCCGGATTCTTCCACATGTTTGTTCAGAGATACTGGCATCACCAACAGAAAGAGAAACTTCAGTACCTAATTATAACATAATATCTCTTAAACTTTTGCTTAAAGCCAAGACAGAGCAAGGAGGTCTTACCTTCCGACTCAACACAAACACACAGACAAAATACATAAAATGTGAATTCTCAAAACACAGAACATCAAACAGCAAATGATGCATGAGAGATGGAAAATTAACAAGGTGAGCTTGAGCCACTGATCACTTGTTTACAGAACACTGATAAACAGACTCCTGAGGCAAGAATAAATTTGCTGTGCCAACAGGCCACTCCCCTGTGGGTGAAGTGGTTCTGATAATAGCTTCTGACGCTGTGCAAACATCAGAGCTGAATTGAGCCACTTTAGCTGTTTGGACTCTTCGCTATGGGGTCTGAAGCCTTCTGCAGATGTTGGCAGCTGCCACTGGAGTCCTGGAGAAGCAACCCCAACCCCTTCAAGAAGTAGACACTGCAGGGCCTTCTCGGTGGCGCAGCAGTTGAGCTCTGGGTTGCTAAGCTGCCCACAGCATCTGGGCAAGGGTCCCACATAGCGCGTAGACCTCTCCTGCCACCCGCTGCTCCCCTCAGCAGTGTATTTCGTCAGTCTGCCTGTTCTGCTCTCTGCTCTGGCTCTGGTGAATTCTCTCACCCTCCCCGCGCTTCTGACTGTATTCAGTGCTTGTATAAATAAATCTTAAAAAAAAATTTAAAAAAAAAGGTAGACACTGCAAAGAAATTATAAGCCTTGACCACCAAGGCCAATATTTAGTGCTTGGTATCGCCCCCCACACACACACCTTCTTTTACTGCCAGTTGAATTGAATATTTCTATTATTGCAATGTTGATTTCCCCCAATAAATCATGTAATTATATGTGATTGGCTTGAATCATAAGTGGAATCTCTCTACCTATGTGGAAATTTACCATACTGAAAAAGAAAGTGCAAATTATATAGACCAAAAAAAAAAAAGAAAAAAAGATACCTGATAAAAAAATTTTTATCCAGCATATACAAAGAACTCTCAAAACTCAACCATTAATAGACAAATAACTCAAATAAAACTTCAATAAAACTTCAATATGTGCAATGACTTTACCAAAGAAAATAAGTACAATAAATAAGCACTATGTAGTAACAAATTACTAAAAGAATCTCAACTTTTTATTTCAAATGCAAATTTGAAATACAAATTTCAAATGCAATGATCTATCACTACATACCTACAAGAACAGTTAAAATGAAAAGACTTACCACATCAAGTGTCTGTAACGCTAAGGTGAAATTGGAACATTTATACATTGCTGTTAAGAATATAAAATGGTCCAACTTTAGGAAAGTTTGGCAGTTTCTTAAATAGCTAAACATCCACCTACTAAATGATGCAGGCATTACACTTCTAAGAATTTGCCCAAGAGAAGAGAAATCCAATATTCATGCAAAGAGACTTGGCTGTGAATGTTCATAGCAGCTTTATTTGTAAGATCCAAAACTAAAAACAACCCAAATGACATCTACAGGTGAATAGATAAACAAATAGAGATACATCCATACAAAAAAATAATACTCAACATTTTAAAAGAATGAAAAGCTAACACAAGAAGAAGGTGAACGACTCTCAAAATGATGATAAATGAAAGAAGTCAGATTTTTTAAAAAAAGGCATAGGGTATGATTCTACTCATATAAAATGTTACAAAGTACAAGCCCAACATAAATTAGGGGCTGTCTAGGTGTGATGAAACTTTTGGGGGTGACAGAGGTGTTCACTCCCTTGATTGTGGTAATGATGTCAAAGAAACACACTCACATCCGTGAAAGCTTATTGATTGTGTAAGTTAATTTGCACGTCAATTAAATCTCAATAAGGTTATTCATAAAAGAAAATATCTCTTATCTTCCTGAGGATGAGACAGGTCTTGCTCACTCTCATTAAGATTGTTACAAGACTTTAAAAGTATCCTTTAAAAGAGGCAAAAAGGAAGTAGAAACACTGAAAATAAAAGGGGTATTCGTATAAGTCCATGTTTATCTTCACAGTGCTTGCACACCCTCTGAGTGTGCACTAGAAGTGAGTGCCTTTGTTGTCGTCCTGAATGCTTCTGCCTTTGTGCGTAGCACAGCTGTTAAGAAGAGGTCACCCAAAAGGGTACGTAATTTAGGGGGGATAATTCTGCTATTGGGCCATCAACTTACAATTCTAACAAATACCGTTCTGAAGGACTAAAGCTATGAAAGATTAAAGCTACGAAGCTATGAAGATGTCCTTTGGCAGAGAAAAGCTATAGAAATACTATCCAATTCAGGAGCTGATCATGAATTGTGAGTTAGTTCACAGAAAAGACCACTACATTTCTAACGGCTGCCTGGGACATTCCAACTACCCCAAAATATGAGGTGAAGGGGTGTGTGTGTGTGTGTGTGTGTGTAAATGTTGGAATCTGGTGGGGTCTGGAGAAACACCACAGGAGTGACCTGTCACACTGAGAACATGAATTTCTCAGCCAGCATAGCTCTTTATCTCCTCTTTCTCATGCTCCCAGTTGCTCAGTCTTGCTTCCCCTTTTGCCCTCTGCCCGCCATTGGGCAACTTCTCCATGTTCTGTCTTCTATGTGGCTTTAGGAGGTTGAGGGAAAGATGGCATTAAGGTAGAGAGGACTGAGGACAGAGGCTCCAGGCCTTTGCCTTTAAAATAAAAAGGGAAGAGAGCTGGAAGTCTGGCAGGGAGGCTTGGGATAGAGCAGGTGAAATATATATAAAAATGAATCAAAATGTTAGCTATAAGGTGCCAGGTAGCCCAGGGCCCAGTCTCTGCTAAGGAGTGCTGCAGTCCCTTAATCCCAAGCAGTTCGCAGGGCTCTTGTGGTCTGCACCTCAGTGACCAAAAACAGCTTACATTCCAGAAGAGAATTCAAAGTCCACTGCTCCTTCTCTTCAGTCTTCAGATTCACAGTGCTCTCAATAGGCTGGCCTTCTTCTGACATATACTGAAAGCAGTTAAAACGCAGTTGTCAGCAAAAATAGCTCCCCTCTGCAAATAGGCACAGGTGCCGGAGAGGTACATCTGGGAGACAGATCCCTGGAGTCTAAACCTGCAGAAAAGGAGGGAAAAGGAGATTTGTCGCCACCTTGTGTCAGGAATTTAGCTCATCTTGAAGCTTCAAATCAGTAGTAAAGGTAGGAAGGCAAAGGCAAAAGATTGGAGTGCGTCGATGACAAGTCCCAGGTGAGAGGTGGGGAAGGAGTTTTGAAAATGCCCCCAAGCATAAGAGGCATCAGAGGACAGTGTATGGAATTCAGCAGTAGTTTCACTTGTAGATTCAGCGAAGGGGGAAACTTACAAGTGAGGTTTCAAAGGAGAACCATCCTCCCAGATCCAGGAGTAGTGGGGCTTCCTCAGAGACAACCCTATCCAGAACGGGAAGCTGGAATGGGCACTTGCTTGCTGGATGAATTCCTGTGGGGAGCGAGCTTTTTGAGTTCATGCTGGAGTCAATGTGGTTATTTAGATTAGATTCACAAACTAAAGAACCAAAGGAAATCTCGAACAGCCCCTCCATGATTTTGCAGACATGTTTACTGACAACTAGTAATACTACACAGCCTGTCCATCCCACGGCCAACACAAAATGAGTGGTAGGGTAAACTGAAATTGGGGACCCTGACTTTCCCCACGAGAGCTCCACCCAGGGCTTAATCCTGACTTATTGCCCTCTAAGCCATCTTCATCCCAACGCTCATAAACAAAAACTCACCAGATCATCCATGTTACTAATTTTCAGCAACTGGGCATCCAGAGATAAGCAATTCTCCTGGCTTTTTTCCCAATTAAATGGCCCAGAGGAAAACAAATAACAGTTTTCTTCATGCCACAGCCAGTCTTGGGGACAAGGAGCTAGGAGGAAGAATAGGTACGATCAGTGACTTACACCTGAATTAAAACATCACTACAATTCTCCCTATAGGACAGTCACATACATACCAGCCCCTCCCAATTAGAATTATATTCAGAAGCTACAAGTACCTAAGTACTCTCAGAGCTTTCATTTCCCCAGTTTTTGGAGAAAAAATAATAAAACATTCTGATATTCGGTAAACTAAGTTAAAAAGCAAGGCTTGTGTTGGGATGCCATTTTAGAATCTGATCTATTTTGTAATGCTATTTTTGGAATAGTGGAGATACTTAATGGCTATTCTATTTAAAAGACATGCTTGTGTATTTTAAAATTTCAGCTCCTTGAAAAATGAAATTTGGTTTAAGCCCTGTAGCCTCTGCTTCTAAGCATGTGCTGTTTGATATATCAACAGCAATTAGATGTACTCTTAGGTACATGAATTGTGGCTAGTGTGCATTAAGATGTGTTGTAGTGTAAAATTTGTTATAGTGTAAAATTCGAAATCAAAATGCACATATGATGCACGTATATGAAATGTACATATGAAAAGAATGTGAAATGTCTCAATAATTTTTATGCTGGCTAGTGTTGAAATATTATTTCAAATATATTGGTTTAAGTAAAATACGAAAATTAATTTCATCAGTTTCTTTTTCATTTTTTTAATGTGGTCACTAGAAAATTTAATGTTGCCTATGTGGTGCACACTATGCTTCTTTTGGAGAGAAATAGTCTAAGGAGAAAGGAATATTGATGCAAAGTAATTTCTTAATTTCAGTAAGATTTCAGGAAATAGGGAAACAATTTCAGCAGCAAAAGTCGCAGATAGTTCAAAAACTCAACTCAGAATTCAGATAATAGACAAAATATGTCAACGTCTATTTGCATATAGATATCCTCTCCCTCCTCTTTTCCTCTCCTCCAACTCCCTGTTAGTAACATTTGGAATCTCTTTAATAAGAAACAACACCCCTTTGTCTACAGTGTGACCAAAAAATTAAAAAAAAAAAATCCTTGAGAAAGGTAACATTCTAATTCCAATTTCCATTATAGCATATAATCAGTTTATGGGTAGACCTTATCAGAAAGGAGAAAGTAGGAGGTTGTTGAACCATGAAAGAAGAAAGTAAATGAGAGAAAATGCACAAAAAATGATGGTCAAAGTAATAAATGCAAGCTTCACATGGCTTAATTTGTCGAATGCCATCGTGTTATGTCAAAATCTCTCTCTCTCTCTCTCAATCTCCACACTCCAGGCAGGTTTTCTAAACTGACAAAGTCAAACAGCAAATCTCAAACACCCTTTAACTAAATCATCTTTTAACTTTTTTTTTTTTTTTTTTTTTTTTTTAGCAAACATAACTGTCACCATATGCCCAAAACTGGTGGCAGTTACATATATTAATTTAATTCTTGGGGCCTCCCTGATGGTGCAAGGGGTTAAGCGTCAGCACTATGAAGCAATCCACAGCCACTGCAGCATGAGTTCGATTCTAGCCAGGGAGGTGACCCACATCGCGCAGCAGACCTCTCCTGACTCGCCCTCTGTATTTCAGTAGATCTGCCTGTTCTGCTCCCCACTCTGTCTCTGGTGAATCCTCCTACCATCCCCTCACACTTCTGGCCCGTACCCCAGTTCTTGTATGCATAAATAAATAAATCTTAAAAAAATAATTCTTGTAGCAATGCTATGGGAGAGTTTCCATTCATTTTCTTCATTTGACAGAGAAATGGGAAGTTGAACCTACACAGAGTAACTATAGCAGCTGTGAGTATGTTTAATAACTAAATGACTCTACCCTTCTAGCTTCTAAACATCTGGGGGTACATTTCATGATGCACCTCAAGACATTCTGACACAGAATTTGGGGGTAGACCCTGAACCTGCCATTTCTAACAAGTTACTTGGATGGTAACTTTGTACATATAGGCCAAGAACTATCACTAATTCTGGTGCTAAATGGACAGTCTGTAGCTGGGAAGAACCTGCACCTTTCTAGCTGAGTGACCTCAAGCAAAACCCATTGAGTGGGCCTCCCTGGTGGTGCAAAGGTTAAGATGCAACCTATGAAGCTATCCGCAGCCACTGCAGCATGAGCTTGATCCCTGGCCAGGGAGCTACCCACATGGCACAGCAGACCTCTCCTGACTAGCCCGCTATTCCCCTCAGCAGTATATTTCAGTCAGTCTGCCTGTTCTGTTCCCCACTCTGTCTCTGGTGAGTCCTCTTGCCCCCCCATATCTGGCCTGTACCCCAGTTCTTTTATGCATAAATAAATAAATCTTAAAAAAAAAAAAACACTGAGTAACTTCCCAGCATCTCCTCCTCTTCTTCTAAACACTGAGGACCACAAAGATAAAAACTTGAAAAAAATTGCATAATTTTCCATTTGGCGATGATCACTGATTTTTTTTTTTAAATCTTCTCTAAGCTGCCTGGTGAAAAGCCATACTTTTGGGGGTATCTCTGCCAATTCGTCTTTATCTGATGCTGTAAATGAATGGGACATGGTACCCGATACATCCTCACCAAAAGACATCACTTATTCTTTTTGGCTAGTTTTCTGTGTCTGGCAGTTCTAGGAGATGTTTCTAAATGGTACCGGCATAGCTTTAATCCCTTACAACTGATAAAAATAAATATTGTACAGCCTGCCTGAGAAATAAACCACTGGTTGGTAGGCAGCTGTGCCTGCTTCCATTAACATTCCTCTTCTTGATATATTAGCTTCTTCCTATTAAGCTTTCTTTGCAGTGGTGTTTTCTTTTACTTCCAGAATGGTTTCCTTTTTAAACAGACTAAATACACGTTTTCACACTTGCAAAAGATCCATTTGTCCTAGTAGTTCTACTTATTTCAGAAATTTAAAGAACTATTAATATTCAAAGGTTTTACAAGCTGTAAGACTTTACACAAAACTACACATCACTATTATTATCATTTAATTATTTGAGTTTCAATTTGTTCACACCATTCCCTGACCATCATACCTGAAATATTTGCTGCTCTCTTCAAGGCTTCTTGGAGATTCAGGTTCTGCTGCTGGAGTTCCGTTTGGTTTTTGGCTTGCTCTTCTAGTTTCTGGGCAAGGGTTTCTATCATTTCCTTGAGTTCCCTCTGTGATTCCTGGGAAGTCTTTTCCACCTGCTTCCGAGCTAAGATCTGTCCCTCCAGTATATTTTCCTGGTGAGTAATATTTGCTTGCTGTCGCTTCAGGAGGTCAGACACCTGGGAGACTAAAATCATAGCTGAATTAAGACTTCATTTCAATTAAATTCCTCCACTGGGTTTTGAGGAAATCAAAGAACTGAATCAAATAATCCCTTTTGATAAATTACTGAAAATGACCTGTATTTACTCAGAAATTAGGGATTTGAAAGTCAACTGATATTCCTGCAATTTTTGTAAATGTCAGGGACTGTCATAGACACTTATGATTTAAAAATATTATTGTGGGGCCTCCCTGGTCACACAAGGGGTTAAGCACCGCACTATGAAGCTATCTGCAGCTTCTGCAATAGGAGTTCAATCCCCGGCCAGCCAGGGAGCAACCCACATGGCGCAGCAGACCTCTCCTGACTCACCTGCTGCCCTCCCAGCAGTGTATTTCAGTCAGTCCCCGCTCTGTCTGGAGAATCCTCTCATCCCCCATACCTCTGACCTGTATCCCAGCTCTTGTATGCATAAATAAATAAATCTTAAAAAAAATATGATCAGGATTTTACTTGTTGAGAATTAAACACAAGTGAAATGTAATAAAAAAATAAATTGTATATCAGTGGCATAAATGAAATGTGGGCAATCTAAAGTAGTCAGATGCCAAGCAGTTGAGCGACCATAGGTAGGAATTGTCAGTAGGCATTGGCTCTTCCACCTCATTCCTTACCATCTAGCCACCCTTCCACATGTCCTAATGTATTTAACAACTGTGATACTCACCCCTTTTTTGAGACACCCTCCCAAAGAATTATTTTAAGATGCTGTGTCACAAAAGCCTCAAATTATTATTATTATTATTATTATTATTATTATTATTAGCCACAGCACATTTTAGGAAGGGTGGAGATGAGATAAAGGTTGTGAAATCAAGCAGAACAAAAATGTTAATTGCCCAATGTCTCAATTCTAGAAGTTTGTTCTTTCAGTACAAAGTAGACCCCATGGCTCCAAGGTCAGATTCCATGGTGTAAAGTGATGAGAACCACAGAGAAGACCTCCAATCACCACCCCTGGGTTAACTCATTTGGAAAGACCCTAAGTCTATAGATTGTAATAAATAAATAGTTTGTGACCTTAAACAGAAAATAAGAATTGAAGCTTCCAGAGTGGGGCGGGGTGGAGGAAGGATAAAAACAAAAAGGGAAGGAAGCCCAATAGACGAGGGTGAAGGACTATGGGCAATTTGATGGTGGGTACACTATGGTGGCAATACCTGATAGGATTTCCAAATATTACCTCAATTAAAAATTAATTAATTTTTGAAAAATAATAAAAAAATAAAATAAACAGCAAGTAAGAAACAAATAGCTCTTCAAAGGTCTTGACAACCTGGGTCCTGGCCAGCTGAAATAACTCAAATGTACAACTAAACACACGAGCAAATTAGATGGAAGGCTGGGACCATTTTCATCCTTTCCTGACCCCTCTCATCCTTATTTTCACTTCTTTTCTTCTCTATACCCTCTTTTTCCTAGATGGCAATATTATAAACAAGAAGTGTTTTTTGCTTTAAATGTTTTTATTCATTGTCTATATTTCTAATTTTTAACTTAAAATTGGTCTTTAGTCATTTCTATTAAAACTGAACATGAACTGGGCCTCGCTGGTGGACTAGGAGTTAAGTCTCCCCACTGTCATTGCTATTGCCTGAGTTCTATCCCTGGTGAGGGAGCTAACCAGGAGACCTCTCTTGTCTTGCCCACTGCTCCCCTCAGCAGTGTTTTCAGTAAATCCTCCTGTTCTGCTCCCCACTCTGTCTCTGGTGAATACTCTCAACAACCCCCCCAACACCTCTGGCCAAATTGCAGTTCTTCTACATGAAAATAAAGTTAAAAAAGCAAAAAAATGATTAAATGAAAATGAAACTGAACATGAATGAAATGAAATTTCTTTTTTCTTCCCCCATTTTTCAGGTGATCTAGGGACAAATAACTTCAAAGTATCTTCTTTCTCATCATCTTAGAATTTAAATAGACTTTATTCATGAAGTTATGAAAACAAAACAAAAGTCTACCATTCAGGATCTACGTTGTGTCAATTTAAGTCATGAGCACAAGGCAGCTCATCCTCCCACTCACACTAAAAACAGTTTGCCTAAAATGTGTCTCACTCAAGGCTATTTGTGATTATTATGAAACCAATTTGTAAACTATGATTTTAAATTCACTTTTCTCCTTCACCTCCCCTTCCGCATTTACCCTGCATTGTCAGCATTATGATGGTCACCAGTAAGCCCAGGCACAGGATCCCGAGTGTCACAGCAGCAGGGCACCACCACCGGGAAGAAAGACGACCTAGAGGGACAGGGAGAGAATCAAAATGACCAAAGAGATGAAAGCAAATAACCCAACCACCCTTTGGATCCTGCCTGTACCTGGTGCTGTGTATGTCTTACCTCTTGTCCTCCCCTTGGCTCAGCAGATAATTCATGATTCACATTTACAATGAAAAATATGGACAGCTAAAGCATTTCAGTAATCTACCCAAGGTCATACAACTGATACAATTTTGGAGCCAGGATTCAATAATTCTGATTCGGAAGTTTATACTGTGTCTACTCTTCAAAAAATTCTCAGTCCCACTGGGTGGAATCTGCTTCATCCGTAGTACAGAGGGTCTGATGTTTTTAATATAGACTGTATATAGCACGCGCGAGCACACACACACACACAGATGCAGTGTGTTTATAAGTAGCATACAATAAACGAATGTCAGACATCAAGATAATGATCTTTAAGTCAATCAACTGAGAGTACCTCAAAGAATTACAACATAATTTTGTGCTATTCGATTTTTATTTCACTAAAATTACACTTTGTAAGTAGGATTATTGACCAAAGAAAAATATGAATGAAACGTCAGTGGTCATCTGTCTTATATTAGCATCATGTCCTACATTTATAACATCTGTTGTTACAGAGAAAAATACACCATTATTATAAAAGCCATCGTGTCACTCACAGGAGTAGGAATATCTAGTTATGCGTTTCACCACTGAAAAAACACAGACATTCCTTTAAAAAGCACAGATCCTACTGGTTTAGTAGAAGCATCTCATATAATGTATTTGAATCCTTAAACTTGTAAAATAAGTAAATAAGGCAGTGATATTATCCTCTATGTGCAAATAAGGAAACTGAAAGTTTCAATGATTTGCCTAGGAGTATACAGATTTAAGACACACAAAGTCTGTTACCCAATTGTCAATAACTATATTACATCACAAATTTCCACTGTGAATGATCCACACTAATTAGTAGTCAAGTATATTTCACAGGGTTCTCATCTATCAAAAACACTTCGTTCAGACTTTCCAGATGAAACAAACAAAATAGATATGTTGACAGGGAGAAACATGACAATCACTGATTTAATCCTTATTGAGCTCCTACAATGTGTATGGCAAATTGTCAGAGCAGAAGTAGAAGAGGGTTGTGCCTCTTGCAAATAATTGCTTAATCCTGTCCTCAGAGGCAAGTATCTGTGTTAATCTTTCTACCAACATTTCCCTGGGGTTAGTATTCACTCTATATTACAGGAGATCAAGTGTGTCCTCCACTCTCAAATGATGAAATTCCTGAAATTTTAGAAAAAAGTCACAGCATCCACACCATGCAGGGAAGGCACAGATTCCTATTTTTGGACCATCTTTTCTCCAATCTCCTTGATGGGCAGAGATCATTAATCCAATCCCTGCTCTAATTAGTCATTTTCTAATTAAAGCTCAACTGGATCTTTTTGTAATCGGTGACTGATTTAAGCAGGTTCTGAGAGTAGTAATTTCATAAATGCAGTAAAAGGCACTCAATATTTACTACATGAACAATGAATGAATGAATGAGCAAATGACTATTGTTAATTTGTAGGTCTATCTGCATACCAGTGCTATTTTCATTCCTAGTTATTAACAGTTCATCAGCTCAAATGTTAAATCATTCTGCGCACATACTTATCTTCCCCATTGAGAGAAATATCTGTCTTGTTTATGGAAACATGACTTGGCATTTATTTATCTAGATTCTGAAAATATTTGTGTATCTTCCCTTTATTGTATTTTATTTCTTTCTCTCAGAATGGATATAAAATAAAATGCAGTAGAGTCAGATTTTCTATGAAGTTGGAATTATGAATTAATTTATCTTTAAGAAGTTTAACTTACAGTATATATCAAATAGAAACTGAATTTTTTTAAAGTAGTGGTATACAATTAAATATAATTTATGCTAAACCATGCTGAACAGAATTTAATCTGCTCAGATGACCCATAAACTATATCCATTTTTTGCAATGCCTCACGGACACTATTATCAAAATTATCATTGTACACAGTGGGTGAATTCAGTATTTCCCAAAGTTTCTGATGGATTGGATTCAGATAAATGGGAGTTTGTGATCCAGTTCCAGCTCGACCACTTACTAACTGCATGAGATTGGATAAGTTAGTCAATCTTCCTGATCCTCTGTAAAAGGGAATTAATAACAGTCCTAATTTTAAGGTGCAAAGATTCAGAGAAATAATGCATATAAAGGGAAGTTCAACGAATATTACCTATAGAAAACTCAGTAAAATTTATCATCATCATTCACACCAAGTTAGTTCATTCATTCATTCATTCATTCATTCATTCTTCATCATCATCATCATACCTAATTTGTTTTCCTTTTAATTTGATTAATTTCATAATTTCCTTTAAATTTGATTAATTTCATAATATTTCCTAGACTTGGGTATTCTAGTTTTCTACTCCTATATTCAGTTTACTTTTAAGGTAATCTTAGAATTCTGCCCCTGTACACATTCACCCACCCCCTGCTACCTTTAATTTGCTCTCCATTTGGCTTCTTACCAGGTTGATCCTTCATAGTATTGCTCTTGAGGTCATCAAAAGCCATCTCCAAATTCATTCCACGATGAGAGAGTGTAACAGTCACAGGCTTCTACAAAGTAAAACTGTGTGAACTTGCTAGAGCACTTAAATAGTTACTGCTATCACAGAGGAGTGACTCAACCATTGGTAGGAGGAAGGAGAGGCTTTGCTTCATACTGGGAAGTTGGCTGACGCAAATTCTTGGGTTATGTCTGTGGCAGGTGGGGAAAGTGGAGATTCCGATAATATTTCAGGATATTTCATTAAGTAATTAATGAAAGGGAAAATTGAATTTTCCATGAGCATTAGAGGAGAGACTTTTGTACCCCTTTTGCTGATAAGGAAACAAACACAAAGGATGTCATATTCGGCTTCCCTGGTGGTGCAAGGGGTTAAGATGCAGCACTACAAAGCTATCCACAGCCACTGCAGTACGAGTTCGAACCCTGGCCAGGGAGCTGACATGAATGGTGTAGTCGATCTCTCCTCTCTCACCCCCTGCTCCTTTCTGCAGTGTATTTCAGTCGATCTGCCTGTTCTGTTCCCTTCTTTGTCTCTGGTGAATCCTCTCACCCTAGCCCCCACGCTTCTGGCCTGTACCCCAGTTCTTGTATGCATTAATAAATCATTTTTTGGTGAAAAGATCTACATTTAGAGCACAGTGTTTTATTCCAACACTCATATCTATTCGGTAATTCAACTGTAGTAGATTATCTCTACTATAATGTGTCTTTCATAGGCCTCACATTTTCCTTTTTAATTTGTACTGTTGTAATTAGCAATAGACTTAGAAATTTGGGGGCTAATCACATATGACTCCCACCCATCTCCAGCTGTGATGTCTTAGGTGATTTTAGAATTTAATTAGAGATTCAATTTTATATAGTGGCAATATAACATAGCATCAGAGAACATGTTGGAGCTAGACAGAGTTAGTTTCAAATCTTTCCTTTGAAGTCTTTTGGTTTATAATCTCAGGGAATTACTTTGTCTATAAACTAGGACATTATAGCATACACTTGAAAATGTTGAGGTTGTTGCTATAGGGAGTCAAATGAGATGTTAGATGAGAATGTTAAGTTTGTTCTTGGAATATAATGCAAACTCAATAAATGGTAGCTCTGAATATTGTTTGGAATAATATTCAGCATAGTTGACTTGCCGAATCATGTATACAGGATTGAATTAAGTCACAATAAAGCTTCACTGGGTTCCCCATTAATAAACCTACATAGAGCATTAATAGAATTCTTACCTATTTTCCCTTCACCTTCTAACCAGACTTGTCTCATTACAGTCACACACGGTTTTTAAAAAAACTATTATTGTTTCTATCTACCACAGAGCTCTTCTGAAGTATCTGGAATTTGCTTTAAACTACCCCAGGATTCAAACACAAATAAAGGAATAAAAAAAAAGATTAGAAACTATTCAATAAACAAGGCATCTAGGAAACTATTAGAAACATCATCAATATTGACTGTCCAAGTAGGATTCCAATTCGTTCCATCTCCCTAGGTTTCTGTATTGCCTTTTTTCTCTTCAGGTTATCTGAGACCAAACTGAAAATAGTTTAGCAGTCATTTAAAATTTTACTCTATGGACCTCCCTGGTGGTGCAAGAAGTTAAGACGCAACCTCTGAAGCTATCCACAGCCACTATAGCACAAGTTTTATCTCCCGACCAGGGAGGTGACACACGTGGTACAGCAGACATCTCCTGTCTCTCCTGCTGCTCCCCTCTGCAGTGTATTTCAGTCAGTCTGCCTGTTCTGTTCCCCGCTCTGTCTCTGGTGAATCCTCTCATCCCCCCACACCACTGGCCTGTACCCCAGTTCTTATATGTGTAAATAAATTTTTAAAAAGAATAAAATTTTACTCTGTAACACAATTCATGGAAGAGCAACACCACTTCAGTGTGTGGCAAATATATGCTGGTCAAATCAGCCTGTGACAAATCAGTGTTACTTAACTATGTATGTGTCAGTGCCACTTATCACCCAAGCCCACCCTGCCTCCCTGAACTGAATGCCAAGCAACAAGACAGGATGCATTTCTGAACTCATCCTGACAACTTTCACATAAACAGAATGTCAAGAAATTGTTTTTAACAATGAATTAATATACTGAAATGATACCATGATGACTAGGACACCTTACCATTCCTCATAGTGACTTAGTTATTTCAGATGCCATCATCAATATTCTAGTGGAGTTAGTATACTTCTTGATGAAATGGACTTAGCACATTTCATGTGAACACTAATTTTTTTAAAAGATTCATTTATTTATGCATATAAGAACTCAGGTATAAGGCAGAGGTGTGGGGGGTGAGATGATTCACCAGAGATAGTGGGGAGCAGAACAGGCAGATTGACTTGAAATACACTGCTGAGGGTTGCAGCAGGTGAGGCAGGAGAGGTCAGCTGTGCCACGTGGGTCAGCTCCCTGGTTGGGGATCAAACTCATGCTGCAGTGACTGGTGATATCTTGATAGCACTGTCTTTAACCCCTGCGCCACCAGGAAGTCTCACGACTAATCTTTCTTGGATTGTCTTGACAAGTATCTCAGAAGGATACATGTGACTATGAGTTAAAACACCCAAACATACACACTCCAGCAGAAAGAACTACATTTTTTAGGAAAGTCCAGCAGAGTATAATCATCCTTTTTCCTGGGTCAACACACACAGGCAGCTCACCAAACAATCCAGGACCTGGTGATGAATCCTACAAATACAGTATTTCCTGCAAATCCAATTCATTTTTTTTTAAATCTTCTCCACCTAATACCTACAGGCAGAATTGCCATCCTCAATTTTTTTCCTTCTCATTTTATAAACTCTTACAAGTATTCTGCATTGATTTCCAACTCCATTAACGTTATTCTACCTCTCCAACTAGATAACAAATCCTTCAAAAGTAGGGCTAGATCTCCATCTATTAAGAAGAACTTGTTTTTTCCTACCACCCTCACATACCATAAATTAACTAATATTCTGCAAACAGTAGACAGTTAACCCTTGAGATTCTTAACTATGAAGATATAAGCAGCATAAACTGAACTTAAAAGTACAAAAATAAGGAAAATCTATCTCAGTTCTTCTATTCTGATAAAGTAGAATTAAATAACAAAAAAATAAGTGGTTTATTGGATATTTTTATTTAATCAGCAAGAACTCAGCTCACTGTTCTTTCAATTATGCTAATTACTCAGAGACAGAGGAACCATCTTCTAGGAGAGATTATAAATGCAGTTGGGATCTCTCTCAAAAGGATTCAATGAGAGAAATTTGCTATTATCAAGATAGTGAATGTCCACTTCCTAGAAGACTTGAAAAGTACACTGAGATAGGAGACACCCATACCAGGATCACCCTCAATTTTTTTTATAACCCTCCTTAAACCAGACATTCATGGTGAAGAGCCACACAGCGTGGAGAATCTCGAAGCTGAACCCATTACCAACTTCTGGTGACTTGGTTCTGCGGCACTGCCATTTTTTTGCCTTTCACTATTCAAGCTTAATAGAAACAAGTGGGTTCCTCTTTTTCTTTATTGTGGTAAAACTTACAAAACATAACATGTATTAGTGTACAAACCAGTGACATTAAGTGAATTCACATTGTTGTGCAACCACCACCACTATCCCTCTCCAGAACTTCATCTTCTCCAACTGAAGCTCTGTCCCCATGAATCAATGAATCTTGTGATAGTTAATTATATGTGTCAAATTGATAGGGTCCCAAGATGCCCAGACATCTGGTCAACCATTCTTCTGAGTATTTTGTGAGGATGTATTGAATGAGATTAACAGTTTATTTGTCAGATTGAAGCAGAGTTCCTTTCATAATGTGGGTGGGTCTCATCCAACCAGTTGAAGATTTCAGCAGAATGAACAGACCAATCTTCCCTCAATAAGAAAGAAAGTCTTCAGCAGACAGTCTTTGTACTGGATCTGTGCTGTCAACTTTTTGAGGTTTCAAACCTGCCTTCCCACACTATATATTTAAACTTACCAACATCCATAACTGAATAAGCCAATTTCATATAGTAAATCTATTATAATAAATCTAGTTCTCAAGATACATACACAACTATTGGTTATTTTTCTTTGGAGATCCATGACTAATACTACTCCCCATCTCTTCCTTACCCCAGCCCCTGGAAGCCAACATTCTGACTACTATGCTTACAAATTTGACTACTCAATTGCACTCATATAAAGGGCAATATTTGTCCCTTTGTGTCTGACTTATTTCATTTCATTTGGCATAATGTCTTTAAGATTCATCCATGCTGTAGCACATGCCAGCATGCCCTTTCTTTTTCTTTTTTTTTTTTAAAGAGTTATTTATTTATGCACACAAGAACTGGAGTTCAGGCCAGGGATTGGCGGGGGGTGTGTGTGAGAGGATTCACCAGAGACAGAGTGGGGTACAGAATAGGCTGACTGACTGAAATACACTGTTAAGGGGAGCAGTGGGTGAGTCAGGAGAAGTTTGCTCTGACATGTGGGTAGCTCCCTGGACAGGGATCGAACTCATGCTGCAGTGGCTGCAGATATCTTCATAGGTTGCATCTTAACCCCTTGGGCCACCAAGGAGGCCCCCCCATGCCCTTTCTTTTTTTTTTTTTCTTTTTAAGATTTATTTATTTATTTATGCATACAAGAGCTGGGGTACAGGCCAGAGGTGCGGGGGTGGGGGGTAAGAGGATTCACCAGAGACAGAGTGGGGAGCAGAACAGGCAGACTGACCGAAGTACACTGCTAAGGAGAAAGCTGGTGAGTCAAGAGAGGTCTGCTGCTCCATGTGGATGCTCCCTGGATGGCCAGGGATCGAACTTGTGCTGCAGTGGCTGTGAACAGCTTCATAGGTTGCATCTTAACCCCTTGTGCTACCAGGGAGGCCATGCCCTTTCTTTTTAAAGAGAATATCCTAATGTATGTATGTATGTACCGCATTTTGTTATCCATTCATCCATGAATGGATGTTTGGGTATTTCCTATTTTTAAAAACCCATGGGGATAATTTCTACCACCTTTTTTGGTGGCTAGCTAGACAGATTTATCAGATTAAATGGTTTTCATTACCCCTGCCTCCTGGTGTTCATGCCCTTGTTTAATCTATTCCCTTGAGTGTAGGTGGAATCTGTGCTTGGAGTGTGGTAAAGGTGATGCAATATATGTGGTAATATATACGTGACTGCATACAGTATAGTGCCAATCTTGCCCAAATTTCTCTTCTTCCTTCACCCCCCCTTTTCACTGCATTAAAGAAGCAAGCTTACATTTGCATTCATCCTATAGCCATAAAGAAATGCATTCTGCCTGAGGGAGCTTGTAAGTGGATCCTTCCCAGCTGTGACCCAGCAGACTCTGTGACTGCAATCTTATGAGACTAAGCAAAGGGCCCAACTAATTAGTCATATTCATATTTCTAACCCACGGAAGTTGTGAAAAAAATAAATATATACTGTTTTACATCGCTGCCCACATAATTTGTGATAGTGTCACACTGCATATAAAACAAATATCCTGCGATAAACTTAGTCCTCCTGTCTTTTTAAACTTCCTTAAGTCTAATCCTATCACTCACTTTCAATGCCTCTGAGGTTGCCATAGACATTGAGGTTACATTGTTGGCTGATAAGAGACACTTCCTAGTGGAGCTTCCAGTGGTTGCAAGGTAGACTTGTTTTCTCCCACCATATTCTCTCTTTTTGCAGCCATGGCTGTGACCCCAACCTTGCTCAGCTCTTTATAACCCACTCTTAACACCTCAAAGTAATAATAGTCCAGGCATCTATTTCACTGAAGCCTAGAGAGAAAAGGAATTTACAGTGCGTTACCTGGTTCAGGCAAGGTCAAAAGGAGAATAGTCAAAGGAATTAGAAATAAGTAATTCTTTTGCTCCACTTGTTACTCCTGTGGTATAACAATTCCCTGAAGCATAGGTGAAAAGCTTTGGACATGCGCCCTCCATTGGTTCCACTCCAAGTGCTTAACAACCTGGGTAAAAGCTAATGATTCACAAACTTACTGAACTACAAGATTGTGTGGGAGCATAATGAGATTATTACCTTCAATCTGTTACCTGCCTGCCCAGGGTATACGTTTTTGTCTTCCCACCTGAATCCTCTTTTCTCTTTCATCATTCCGTACATGGAGGCTTTGAAGGGGACTAATAGCAGAGTTAAAACTACCACAAGTCATCATCACTTTCATTAGGATAAATAAGAAGTTCTAGTTCTCCAGGGAATAATCCAGTGATGAAGAAAAAAAATGCAGTAGTAATTCCAGAAGCAAAAATAGCAAGGAGACCATTAGCAGAATACTATTTTGTTTAAACCTGTTAGGAACCTGTAGGGCAAAGAGGTGATGGCAATCACACGGCAGGAAAATGCAGTGGGGGGTGGGAGGGGGCAGAAAAGTCATGGTAATTGGCAAACCTGTTCTTGCAGGTGAAAGCTGGCATGTGTGGGAAAAGAGATGGTCAGAACAGCAAGGGAACATATTGAATAACTGGAATACTAGGAAAATTAGAACATGGGGATGGAGGACATCAGTGAGCTACCACATTGCCAGTTAAAGTTCTTGGTAAAATTCAGTGGAAATCAAGATAATCATAGTTAACACTTGTAAAATGCTTGTTCTATCGGGACTGTTACATGCATCTCATACCTATTAACTTATTTAATCTCTCTTAAGTCTTTGAAGCTAAAATTATTATCATTATTATTATTACTTTTATATATAACAAAGAAGTAATAACTTGCCCAAGAATGCACAGCTAATAAGTGACAAAGCAAGTATTTTTTAGTTACACATTTATTAATACAGCAAGAAATCTATTGTGTTATTCATTATTATCTCATGACATCATCATTTAATTATAATTTTATCCTCATTTAATATTTTTATCCACATAGTAAGCATTCTGTACATAGTACAAAGAACATGGTTAAGTAAATGAAACTCTTCCAGACATAACTTTCTTTTATTTTTTTAAAGATTTATTTATTTATTTGTTGATTTATTTATACCTACAAGAACCGGGGTACAGGCCAGAGGCATGGGAGGGTGAGAAGATTCACCAGAGACAGAGTGGGGAATGAACAGGCAGACTAACGAAATACACTGCTGAGGGGAGCAACAGGTGAGACAGGAGGGTCTGCCTTGCCACATGGGATTCTCGCTGGCCTGCTGGGATCGAACCCTCTCTGCAAAGACTGCAAACAGTCTCACAGCGCTGCACTCAACAGCCTGTGTCACCAGGGGAGGCCCGACATAACTTTCTTTTAATTCCTTTTTTTTTTTTTTTTAATTAAGGTAACACTGGTTTACAACACCATATATGCTTCAGAGGTAGAGAATCACACTACTTTCAGATGTTGGTTACCTCACCACAGCCACCTCCAAAGCATCCATAATCCTCCACCATAGTTCATTGGGCCCCTCCCCACATTGCTCTCTCCCTATACCTCTCTGGTAGCCTCAATTTTGCAGTCAGATTTCTAGGGTTTGGTTGTGATTTGGTTGACAAAGCAAATATATATTCTAGACAATCTTGGAATTCCAGACATCATTTTAGCCATGATGCGCTGCAATCTCTCTGTTAAGAGAGGGGAAAAACCAATGATATTCAAGTACAAGGGACTCTGAATAGAAATATTCTAATTAAAATGCCTCCATACCTCTGGCTGCATTTTCTCTATGAAACAATATTGAGGTTAAATCAAGTGGGTGTGCCAGTCCGCTTTCATAAATGGGGAAATTAAGGCCTGTAGAAACTCCACAGTAATTTAGTAGAGGGCCAGGATTAGCTTTCTGCTTTCCTTGTCCTGTAACATAGCTCCCTTCTTCAAGCTTTCAGTTGAAGTTTGGAAAATATTCTTTATTATACTCCAGCTTCCTAACTTTTAAAGAAAAGTGCACTGTTTATTTAGTGTTGGAATGGAGTGATTCTCACCACCAGCATCCTACCAGGCTATATTCTCTCAGTATTTGATTCCTTAGCTATGGGGGAAAAAAAAAAATATATATATATATATATATATATATATGTTTATATTCTCCAGTCCATACTACATTGCCATTCTGGGTAAGTGCTCTTAAAATCAATCCCATCCAGCAGCCTCCCTTCAAGAATTGCTCATAAAATGAAACTTCCAGAGTTAGAAAGGATCTAAAAGTGGTTTCAATCAATTCCCATGAGTAAGATAGAACCCTGTTAAGTAGCATCTAATTTTCTTATGAAAGAAAAACATTGTAATGTAAACAAAATTTAAACATACTTTGTATTAAGTAAAACATTACTAACAAGTATGAACTATTTATATAGTGTGCATTTGTTCCTGTAGATTTTTTTTTTAACAAATATTCTGTGTCCTTTCTATGTCTTGTTATGGTTTTATTTGAAAGAGAGACCTTGAATTTTATTTGTGAGGAAGGCAAAGAGTGGGAGGGGGCAAGTGAGGGAAGGGGGGAGAGAGAGAGAGAGAGAGAGAGAGAGAGAGATTTTATTCGAGATGGAGAGGGAGTCACGGTTTGGGGGGAGAGAAAGATTGAGATATTGGAACCCCGTTTGAAAAAATAATTCTGTTTGGGGCCTCCCCGGTGGCCAGCGAGTTGGGCGCTGTGCTGTGAAGCTGTCCACGGCCTCTGCACCACGGGTTCGAATCCTGGCCAGCTGGGGAGCAACCCACATGCCGCAGCAGACCTCTCTTGCCTCACTCACTGCTCCCCACAGCAATATCTTGGTCTGTCTGCCTGTTCTGCTCCCCACTCTGTGTCTGGTGAAATCTCTCGTCCTCCTGCGCCTCTGGCCTATACCCCAGTTCTTGTATAAATAAAAATAAATCTTTAAAAAAAAAGCCTGTTTGACTTGTCTGTTTTAATGGGAACTGAAGTCTGGATGAAGGGGCCTATTATGGACATCATCCATAAACTCTAATCTCCAAACCAGCTTTCTCAAAAGATGGGATAGTTTTCTGGTTCATTGGTCAAACTCTCAGGCCTACTCCAAGGGTTGCGAAGAAATGACCCAGAACTAGAGAGTTGATTATCAACACAGTGAAAGAGAGGGTTTCAAAGAGCAAGAGAGGAGAGCAAGTCACGTGGGGAGGGGAGTGGAGAGTGGAGGGTGATTTTCCACCTTCGTAGTCACCAGGGGTGCTGTGGTGACTCCTCTTCTGATGGAGAAGAGAACTTACCTGGTCACCAACAACCTGCCTTTCACTCTTCTGAGAGCCACATTTCTCACCACTGCCTAGAAGAATACCTAAGTCAGAGGACTCACGCGTCCTTTCTGCCTGTTTTCTTCCTGGAGCCAGAGGGAGAAAGCTAAAGATGTAGGGGAAGGATTCATAGCAGAAGGGAAGGAAAGAAGGCAAAGGGAAGCAAAACAAAAAATAGACATAGAAACCGAGAAAGAATCCAGGATGAAAGGGGAGAGAAAGGCCACAGGAAAATAAAAGGCCAAGGCAGTACAAAAGAGAGAGTGAGAGAAGGAGAAAACTGAGGTATTGCTGAGGAAAGTTTCTCTCTTGAAGCCCTCCAGGTCCGTGAGTCAGACATGGCGCAGAGCGTGGAGAGAAGGGCAGGGAGATCCAGCGCGTGATCCCGGCCACCCTGGAGTCCAGCCCGATGGGAGTGCGCGCCCATGAGGTGAAGGCCGTGGGCCTGCTATGTTTCCTCCAGGTGAGTGGTGAGAAAGCAGGCATATGCCTTTGGGTTTGGGGAATTTTTATTTTAAAAATTTTCTCAGCTAGCTCCCCTCAGCGGTGTATTTCGTCAGTCTGTCTGTTCTGTTCCCCACTCTGGCTCTGGTGAATTATCTCACCCTCCTGTGCTTCTTACTGTACCCAGTGCTTGTATAAATAAATAGATAAATCTTTAAAAAAAATTTTCTTAGCTAAATGAGCTCTCACAAGAACCTGGTAAGGAGGTGGTGGTAGTGAGTGAGGGAAAATACAATTAAGTATTGGAGAAATGAATAATTAGAGTATTTCCTTAGTATTGGGGGCGTCATGGTGCATGTGTAGCTAAAAACAGCAGTGAGAAAGGAGACAGACATTTGGATAATCAGATACAAGTTGAATAGCGACGGAACTTCACAGATGCCACTTGTGTTTGCTTCTCTCTAGTATTTTATCTCCTATCCCACATAATCCAAAGTTAATTTTCAAAACTATGTAATTCCTGTAAACAGAATTTCCTACATCAGTCCTAATGCCATTGTAACAGTTTAGTTCAAATCAGAAATTAGTTAAGAGGGAATATTCTTTAAAAATACTTTGGACCTTTTATTACTCCCCACTATAAATCAGAAGCCCCTGAGTAACTCATTCACTGAGAAAAGGGTCGTTGAACACAGACATTCTGGACAATTGCTGTTTCTCTAATTACAAAATCATAAAAAGAAGAGGAAATGAGGAAACAAGATCGTGTCAGATTCTCTTTACAGCTCCTGATGGGGAATGGACTGTTTTGCTACCTATATACCAGTTAAGTTGAGGTCTGAAAATTCATTCTTTAATTCTTCTTATATTTCCTTTTCATTTCCTCTTCCTTTGTGCTCTCTCTCCTTCTCTTTTTACACAGATCTGAAAAGAGATATTTCATCTGCTGAGAGCTTTAGGATTTTCTTCCCTTTAGACAAGAGAGTGAAGTAGAGTGCCAGGGCTGCTTGAGGAAACACACCTTGTCACCCTCAATGGCCAACTATTTAAAATTAAATCCCAACCCAGGAGTTTCTCACATGTTATTTTCAGAGAACAGTTGTCTTTTGACAATCCTTTTCAACTGATTGGTAATGAAAATGGATGCCCCCTTCCCTTTTAACCCTTTTCCCCAACTCCAAATAGTGCAAATCTCTGATGATTTTTAGAGGATCTTTTTGGCTTCTGTCATTGATTTCCTGAAATATTAAATCATTCAAGTTCTTGGAAGAGAGAAACAATTTCTGGATTAAAAGTTTATCTAGAGAAGTCTTTGGAGGAGAAAGTTAGTGGAAATATAAAATACAAGGTAGAAGGAGGAGCAGGGTATTTTTTTAATGCAGGATTAAGAGAGACTTGATAGCATGTAAAGTGTTTGTTCAAGCAGATTTGTCCTTGATTCTATTAATCCTTTCAGCACATCCATGTGATATATCTTTATTTGAATTCTGGCTACATTTGTAGGTAGGTGCAGTTGATCATGTTAATTAAGGTCTTAGCCCCTTAATCTTTCAAAATTAGGTTAAATATATCCATCTACATGGCTCTTGTGATAAAATGTAGTGAAATATTAAAATTTCTTAGTCGTACTGGCGCAAAGTATTCAATAAATAATATCTTTCCTTTTTCTCTTGTACGGTGAGGTTTTGATATAGTGAAGGAATAAAAGCAAAAATCAAGTAAGTGGAATAGTATTCAGTTTACACTGGGAAAGCATTTCGATGGTAACACCAACCTGAGGGACAGATCAGGAAATTTCTAGAACAAATCGATATAAATGCTACCATAATCTCTCACTTACAAAACAAACTAAAGAAAGAGTAGCTATTTGCTTTTCCAGGTTCTTCCACTTCAAATGTAATCGTCAACAGGGTTGAAAAAGATGGAAACAACCAATTGTAAACTTGGCTGACCCTATGAACGGGTCCTCATAGTTATTTTGCTGCCAACTACTGATCCAACAGTCAAGAGAGATGACTGATAGGCTGCTGAGCAAAGAATATAAGACAATTTCCTTGTCTGAGACTATTTCCCTTCCTACAGCTTCCTCTGGCAAGATGTGAGGAGAACTGTGTTAGCCCTGAACAGTAAGTATGTGATAATCCAAAGTGGGAAGAAGGAGAGACAGACAAAAAAACATCACACCCACTCAGGGTCAAGATGTCATTAGACTTCCCTTTCTTTCAACTTAAATGGACATTAACCTATTCATCTCACAGATGGGTTATCTAAAAATAAAGACAGGCATTCATGTCATCGTAAATACTCAAAATAATACTGCTGACAGCATTTTTTCCACAGCCAATTTTTCCTATCAAAACAGCTGAATCAATCCTAGCTGTATACAGTCAGAGAGATTAGCAAGACTTTCTTACCCTTGTTTCTCTGTGACTCATCAAGACAGTCTGAGTTCAATAGCTAGTCACAGACAGATATCTTTGAGTAATTTCCAAAGTAACATCAATGTTTCAAATCTGAAAATCATTTTTTTTCACCTGTAGGGCATGTTAATATAAGGCAGATTTCATTTAGCAATTGCTTTGAGGTACTATTCCTTAATTTAAGCTTGTTACAATTAGGCCTTAGGTAGACGCAGAATTCATAAAGATAAAAATGGCTGAGATCCAGTCCACATAGAGAAGAACTGCTAAAAAAAAAAAAAAAAAAAAAAAACAAAGACAGTTTGAATAAAATACTTTATCGGGCTGAAGGAAAACAGACTAATCCATGAGAAAGGTTATCCAATAGCCAAGTCTGTTAAGCCCAGGGATATGCTGATGACTGCAGTTACTTGTTACATGTACATTGGTCTTGGCAACTTAGCACAGTTCTGAGTTTTCCAACACCCACCATCCTAAGCAGTCATTTTTAATAGTACCAGAATCGTGGCATTGCAGAACTTGAAGGGGCTTTATACAAATAGGGAATGCAAGAAAACCTCCAAGAGACAGAGTTTAGTGAAAACGCAACGTATGTCATCCAAATGTGCAGCCAGAAAGAGCGTATGAAAGTGAATTTCCGTAGGTTGTCATATTTGAAAGTATCATTGAATTTATTCATCTTCTAAGATAAATGTTTTCTATGCTCTCCGTCTCCCATCCCTATTTTATCCCACGCAATCCATGTTTTATAATCCCTATAGAGAAAATTTTAGTTATCATTTAACTAAGAGTATTTCAGTAGTTTTCATCATGGTAACTTTGGTTTCTATAATTTTCTCTCTTCTTGTTTGGCCTCAGTGGATATGTATATCAATTTTGATCCTGGATAGGAAAAGTTAGGACCATTTTTATGGTGGAAGTTTTTATGGTATTATGGTGGCCCTTTCTGAAAGAATTTGCAAAACAATTATAAACATCATTGTGTTGCTTTCATACTGTAGCTGAAATTTTATATTTAAAATTTATGTTTAAAATTTGGCCTCAAATATATACAAACCTTAACTTCTATGAGTATTTCCATATTCACTCCTTATAAACTTGTATTTCAAGTGCTTTCTTGCTAATTATAACCCTTTACAGTGGTCATGGTCACATTTCCTATTAACTCTGTTTTCATGATCACTGCTTTATTCTGTCTTCAAATGGTTTACAAATGCCATCTAATTCACTAGCAAAGGCATCCAATTTCACAATAGATTCAGTGGTGTCCAGTGAAGTTAACATGAACTGTGATGCTTGTATGACAACTAGGTATACTATGATATTGTAATTCATATTTCTCATTCTGAAATTACAACAGGTATTGACTATTATTTTTATTGCAAAATGCTTTATTCTTTCTTCATAGTTGTCTGACCACAGATTGGGTACATCTCTGGTATATATGGTAAGTTTCAGCGTTAATACCCAGAAAGACATTTCAAAGAGACTTTGCTTTTCTCAGAGGCATTATTTTCTTTATATTTTTTAGTTTGTTCACTTTTAAATGTATCGATGGGGGTGGGGTGGGGGGAGGGGTATGAGAAAGCCAGTCTATTTCCTAGTAACTCGAGTAAAATTTTTTTACTTCATCGCAAACCTATGTGACAATATGCCAGGATTTCCTATTTCAATACTATATCCTCAGCCAACATCAACAGATCATTGTGCACTTTCTGAGGGATGGCTCTAGAAGTAGCCACAGAGAAATTACTTCAGAAAAGATTAAGGGGCCTCCTTGGTGGCGCAAGGGTTTGAGATGCAGCACTATGCAGCTAACCCCAGCCACTACAGCACAAATTCAACCCCGGCCAGGGAGGTGACCCACATGGTGCAGCAGACCTCTCCTGACTTGCACGCTGCTCCCCTCAGCAGTGTATTTCAGTACATCTGCCTGTTCTGTTCCCCACTCTGTCTCTGGTGAGTCCTCTCACTCCCCACACCTCTGGCCTGTACCCCAGCTCTTGTATGCATAAATAAATAAATATTTATTTATTTAATATTTAATAATATTTAAATAAATATTATTTTAATATTTAAAAAGAAATATTAAATATTTAAATATTTAAAAAGAAAAGATTAAGCAGCCCCTCCAAAGCACATTGAATCTCTTACTAGTGGTACCAATGAACTGACTTATAGCCTTGCTGACAAAATAAAGAACTACATATGTGAAGACTTTGCAATTAAAATCTTAAAAAATTAAAATCTAAAATATTCAAACAAGAATGAAAATGCAGACAGATGCATCCTTTTTACATTGAAGACTGAGGGTGCTGCAGTTGGGCACAGACCAGATCCCCAGCCCAGGCTGCTCCGGTGTGCCCCCTGCAGGTTGCTGGTGGTAATTGGCGCGCTGCTGCTCCTGTGCGGCCTGACCTCGGTGTGTCTGCGCTGCTGTCTGAGTCGCCAGCAAAACCGGGAAGAGGAGGGCCAGCCACCCTATGAGGTGACAGTCATCGCCTTTGATCATGACAGCACCCTCCAGAGCACGATGACTTGTGAGTATGCTGAGATACCATGAGAGGGGTTGATTAGGTAAACAATAGATTCAAAGTATTTAAGGTCAACATGAAACTGAAGTTATCCAGGCAGATCAACACAGAGACCCTGGTGACAGACCAAACAGAACCAGTGTCTCCTGGGGAGATGGCAGTATGGACCAAGCCGAGTTCTAGAGCAACCGTCCTGCTGAGGCCTCTGCACACAGAATCCGTGGGATGCTATGCCTGGAACTGGTTTGAACTTACTGGAAAGTAAATAGAATTATGGATTTGTAAAACATATACAAAAATATATGATTAAGAACACTGATAGAAAAGCATTCTAGAGCTCAGTAGTTTTAATTCCCAGAAACCAAAGGGTGCCATCATGTGGACTCTCGCTGAGGCTGTAGTTTCAAATATTGGTCTGGCTGATGACAGAGTGAAGAAAGAAGTAAAATGTCTTACAGGAAAAATCACTCAGTATGTAGTTATTTTGGTAAAACTATTTCAAGCTCTGAGCATATTTTTCAAAAATATCTTGGATTCTGTTAAAAAATATTGATGTTTTCTATTTTTCTACTATTTTATATTTATAACAAATTAGTTATATATACTTTGGAATCTTTACTGTCTAAGTCTTGATGCACTAAGCATTAACATGTGATCAGAAAACACTCACCTGTATTTCCTTCTTTTCTCTTGTATTATATTCTTTCCTAAAATTGGAGAGTAAATCCCAAACAGAACAGCAGGTGGCGAAACACTGTGATTGTTTATTTAGAAAAGGACAATAAAATATTTCTTCCTTTTCCTTTTTTCACTGTCATTTTAGAGAAAAAAATGTATCAGAAATAAGTATTTTTTAACTGCATCATTTTTACTGAGGTAACCTTGGTTTACAATGAGGTATATGATTTAGGGATGCTGGTTCACACTTTTCAGATGTATGTCACCTCACCACACCCACCACCAAGGGCCCCCTAATCTCTCTCTCTTCCTCCCCCTTGAATAGCCTCAATTCTGCTGTCAGATTTCCAAGGCTTGGCTTTGCTTAGTTTTGTCTCTTCCTTTGTTTCTTTATATCCTGCACAGAGTGAAATCATGTATGTTTGTCTTTCTCTTTCTGCCTTACTTCACATAGCATCATCTGCTCCCGTGCCCTGCTCCGGTGCCACCCCTGTCATTGCAAACAGCAAGAAGAAATAAATGCTTCTAAGGAATTTGGGTTGGTGTAAAGGGCTCCATTTCTGTAAAGGGGAAATGAAAGGGTTGTGAGAAATGGGAACACAATTTAGATGATTTGAGGATTTGAGAGGACCGCATATTCTAACAGGGAGTGAAGTTAGTTTTTAAATAAGCCTCACAAGATTTGTATAACATTTTGTGGCTCAGAGTGACAATGAGTTTGGATGTGTGTAAAATGAAGGGAAAACAAGTGTGTGTCGTCTCTGACTTCTGGGGCTGTCGTGTTTACTTGGATTCTTTTCATCTTTCCTCATCAGCCCTGCAGTCAGTATTTGGCCCTGCGGCTCGAAGAATCCTGGCTGTGGCTCATTCCCACAGCCCCCTGGGCCAGCTGCCCTCCTCATTGGACACCCTCCCAGGGTATGAGGAAGCTCTGCACATGAGTCGTTTCACCGTGGCAAGATGTGGGCAGAAAGCACCAGACCTGCCCCCAGTGCCAGAAGAAAAGCAGCTGCCCCCTTCGGAGGAGTCTCTGAGAACAGAGCAGCCTTCCAGCTGATGGGGCCTCTGGTTTCATTAATGGTGTGGAGTATCCCCAGAATCTGTAAAGATTCACAGACAAAAGGAACAGCCCCCCAACCCCCATAACTTTCAGAAGATTCAGGATGGCATCTAAACATTATTCATGGAAAGATGGGTCACACCTCTTTATCTCCATATCCATGTACTTCCTGACGGAGAATGCTGTAGTCAGGAACTCTAGGATTCTAATCACCAAGAACCAGGGAATCATCAAAGGTATCTTGAATTCTTTCAGCTGTTGAGTTCCTGCATGCATATGATTCTGTGAGTTGCCTTCCCCTCTGCTAACTAATGGATGGTCACACCCTTGAGGAGACATACAAGAACATGGGTGCAGCTATAGACATCAGTGCACAGAAGTCACACACACTCCTCTTGAGTGTATCCTCATTTTATATTGAATGACAGTGATGATTTTGGATATCATCAAATATCTAACTGGACATCCAGAATTCAGAGGCGGGACTGAAGCTTTGAGCTAGCAACACAGTATTGTACTAAAATTCCAAATATCAAGTTCTTTCTTTCCCTTTGGCCTTACCCACCAGCAGTATGATAAATATGGAATGCAGTAACAATTCTATTAAGTTTTCAATTCCTCTACCCTGCAAATACATGCACAAACACATACAGACATGTACAGCCACCACCTTGCTGTTTTCCTTCCTGCTTTGACCATTTAAATTCAAGTGTCTGGCAGCACTCCATCTACCCACCTGTGACTATACAGGTGCTTCCTTTCACCAACTCTCTCCCTCTGCAGGTCAGCAGCTTCCTGCCTGCCTGTGACCTGTACCACGTCGGGACCTCTCTTTACTGACCTCCCTCAGAGGAGGCAGCTCTACTCAAGGCTGTCCACCCACAACCATGCAGGCCTCTTAGCAAATCTGTCTGTCCCTTTTGGGTCAGCTCTTCCTGCCCGCTTGTGTCTATGCAGGTGTCCTTCATTCTCTTGTCCCTTTCCCTAATAAACGTGCTCTTTAAATATAAAAACAAAAACAAAAATAAATAAATTCAAGTGTCTGTAGTAACACACCGTAGTCCTGACTGCTGACCTTTACTGCCACCCAGTGGAATGATAGTAGAATGCAGTCTCTGAACGCTGCTGCGCTGCTTTCCACTAGCCTGGAGGGATTCTGCCCCTGGGATCACCCTGCTGTGCAGTGCTAAGCTGTCCACATAACATTCTACCTCTAAAATGCGTTGTTGCTGAAAGGCTGAGGAAATGAAGTGTATTTGGGACAAAGCTACTGGCCTGTGGCCTTAGGTAGTCACTGAGTCTTTAGAATACAATTTTCTCATCTGTCAAATAGGGGAAAATGATTCCAAGGATTTTATGAGGATCAAATAAGCTAAATATACATGATAAGATTTGTAAAGTATTGCATACACGTATTTGTATTCCGACTGCTGACAACTCCTTTTCACCCACCAGCTGTGAAATCTACTGAGAGTTTTGTTCTGATTTGTCCTTTGCCCACCAGCCTGTTATGCTTTTGCTAAATCCCACCCACTGTAGCTTTATTTCATTAATAAATATTTGCTGATTGAGGTAAACAACTAAAAATATAGGGTTCCTCTTAATATTTTCTGTGTGGAAGTAAGTGTTATTTGAGAAACTCCTCATGGGGCAGTTAGCTCTAGGACTCAAGGACTGACTAGTACAGATCTTTATCAAATGCTTTCTTGGAATGCTCACTCAGGCAGAAGAGAAAATGTTCTGAATATAACCTGCTGGTAAGCTAAATTTATCTGAGTCATTTATCAAATTGCTTCTGAAAGTGGCTGAAATGCTTGAATTGATAACATACCTGAGGTGGCCTTATTTTGCCAAAAAAATTAACACACAATGCACAAACAATTCTGTTTAGGTTCTATTGTCTTTCAGGACAGGGCAGTCTCCAGTTTACTCCAGGCTATGGATAATGGAGTGAGAGTCAGGGAGGAAAAGGGCCCAAGGGAACATGGTGGAAGATTGTTGGGCCTCTGGTGGTGGGAAGGGGGTGAATGTATTTGTAAATGTTTGAACCAGAGCAGATACAAAGAGGTAAGCCTACTTTATTTCAATAAACATAATTTGGGGGGGAAATAAAATTAAAAGGGAAAAGATACTGTTATAGGGCAGCCCCGATATTGAACAGGTTGCCTGGCTGTGGGTCCTCACCCATGCGCTTAAAAGAGACTTATGAATACTCCACTACAGGCACACACAAAAGGTTAATAAAAGGTTTATTTACAAGGGAAAAGGAAATAAGGAAAATGTACAACTCAGGGAGAAAATAGGGAAATAAAGTCTTTAATGCGTCCTACCTGATCTGCCGACCTGGAAACCCAAAAAGCACTCTCAGAGCTGGCCGGATGCTGCGAGCTGGCAGAGAGCCAAAATGGGGAACCCCTCCAAAGCCCATGTGTCTGGCTTTATACCAACCTGGCTGCTTAACCCCACCCTCAGGTCCCAGCCACCTTCCCTTTGGTGGTGATGGGATTTGGAGTTCCCAGTGTCTTTGGCTTTGGCCTGGGGTGGGGGTGGAGTCCACAAAGCTTGTATGGAATTAGCTTTAGGACATCATTTTCCCCCTAACAATACTACGGTCTTGAAGAAGTTAAAATGCTATTGAATATAAAAAGATCTTTGAGGAACTCCTGCCCATAAGGATCTTATTTTAAAGCAAAATCTTGCCCCAACTTTATTAGACCCTTGTCACATTCCTCAGCCATATGGAGGTTACGCCTGTGGATTTGTAACAGGGTGGTCCCCAGGAAAGGGGGAAGTTCCAGTTTCCCTGCCCCACCCAAGGGAGGGTGGAGCTGAGCAGGAAGAGGAGAAGCTGCAGAAGAGACTGAGGAAGGAAGCATGATGGAGCCAGGAGACCTGGAGGAGGCGCATGGAGCCTAGAGACACGTGAAGAAACTGCGCTTGTCTTTTGGTCGTGGACTGGGTGACACAGATGTGGGTGAGACCCGTGGAGAGGTGACCATGGCAGCTTTTATCCTGATGTTGATTTTGCTCTTTTCCTTCCGGGCTTGTCTGGTTGTTTCTGACCCTTTGCTGTGGGTCCCCACTGGAAGATGCTTTAAACTTGTAGCAGGCTTTGGGACCTTGCTCTGGGCCAATCCCATTTGGATGGACTTTTACCCACGAGGGGATGGGTAACTCTGGATGCTTCATTTAGAAACTAGACTCTTTGCCTTACCTGTATTGTTTCCTAGTTTTATTAAAGTTCCTTCCCATTAAAGTCTCCTATGTTGTGTGTTGATGCGGCGGATGGCAGAACCCATTTAGAATAGGCAGGTTTGCGGGGTTTGGGCTGCCCCTCTCCCTGTCCTATAACAGATTCAGTCAGTCAAACTGTACTAGAGGTCTCCAGCACTATTTGAACCATTTTCTATTTCTTTTTTTTTTTTAAGATTTAATTATTTATTCATACGAGAACTGGGGTGCAGGCCAGAAGTGCTGGGGGTGAGAGGATCAGCAGAGATAGAATGGGGAGCAGAACAGGCAGATCTACTGAAATACACTGCTGAGGAAAGCAGCAGGTGAGCCAGCAGAGGTCTGCTGTGCCAAGTGGGTGGCTCCCTGGCTGGGATTGAACTCGTTGCCACAATGGCTGGGGATAGCTTCATAGTGCTGAGACTGAACCCCCTGTGTTATAGGACAGGGAGAGGGGCAGCCCAAATCCCGCAAACCTGCCTATTCTAAATGGGTTCTGCCATCCGCCACATCAACACAAAGCATAGGAGAATTTAATGGGAAGGAACTTTAATAAAACTAGGAAACAATACAGGTAAGGCAAAGAATCTAGTTTCTAAATGAAGCACCCAAAGTTACCCATCCCCTTGTGGGTAAAAGTCCATCCATATGGGATCAGCCCAGAGCAAGGCCCCAAAGCCTGCCACAAGTCTAAAGCATCTTCCAGTGGGGACCCACAGAAAAGGGTCAGAAACAACCAGACAAGCCCGGAAGGAAAAGAGCAAAGTCAACATCAAGATAAAAGCTGCCATGGTCACCTCCCCACATCTGTGTCACCCAGTCCACGACCAAAAGGCAAGTGCAGTTTCTTCACGTGTCTCCTTCAGGTCTCCTTCTGGCTCTCCATCCTGCTTCCTCCCTTTTTCAGTCTCCTCTGCAGCCTCTTCTCTCCCTGCTCAGCTCCACCTTCCTTTTGGGTGGGGCAGGAAACCAGGAACCTCCCCCTTTCCTGGGGACCACCCTGTTACAATTTCAGATTCTGAAAAAAGGGGTTAATAGCCACATAGAGGAGGAATGATTGACAACACGAAATTCCTAACTTGTGAGAAAAAAACCTTAAGGGGGGACAGAATATTAAATTACACAAGAACAACCAGGCTCCATTTTCTGAGGAAAGCTGGGTCCGAGGGAATAAGGATTGGACTGTGGTAACTGGTTTGTCTGTGGCTTGGGGGTTAATAGTACAGTACAGAATCTTACTGAGTTCACTTTATAGAGGTGGCCTAGAAGACTGTAATGAGAGTTCTGATTAATTAGCATGTCGAGAGTTTACTTGCATATGAGGGCATGGAAATAGAGCCAAAATGGTAAGGAGTAAATTTAAGGGGTTGGGGAAAAATAAAGTCTGGGAAAGTGTTCTTTTCTCTTCCTTGGTATGAGGCTACAGAAATGAATATGTTTCCCCAAATGGAGCAGGAAATTTGAATCCAAAGAAGGAAGCAGACACATCGATTAAACATAATCAAAGTTTATTAAGGGCAACTTACACACAGGGTACTCAGTGCTGAGACCAGTGGACTTCAGGTCAAGGCAGGGTCCACCCAGTCACCCCGACAGGGGCTTTCTTATGCCCTGCTAAGTGTGTGAGATCATTCTTGTGTGAGACTAACAAGGGCAGGTGCTGGGAAGGACATGCCACCTGCATCTTTGTCCTATTAAGATGAATAGAGTTGTGTGTGGTTCAAGTACAAGTTAATACACATAAAAGAAACAATAGGGAATTGGCCATCTTCCCAGGGTAGGACAAATACTGGTTATGGGCATCAGATGGCAAGATGGAGTCACTTTGGTTTCCCTACACTGGGTAAGCAGGTTCACTGAAGGCAATAAAGAAGTCAAGATGGAAAGTCTTCCCTTGAGAAGCTTGACTGACTTGGAAAACAATTTCAGTGAATTATGGATTGTCCAAGATACAATGTGAGTTCCATAGTGGAAGGTATTTTATGTGCTGTCTCTGAATAATGTTGGTCTGTGTCCTTCTGTTGGCACCTCCAAGGTGCTTGACTCAGAATTGTTCCATTTCCCAGCAGAATACCTCAAAAATTTTAATTTGGAAAAGGGATCTTGAAAGCAATAGTACTGGAATTGAAACTGAAGGATGATAGAATTTTAAACAAATAGACAGTAGAAGAACATGCTTTCTGATAGCAAGGGTAGGAAAAAATAAGAACATGGATCATCAAAAAATCTTAAAGATTCTAAGTGTGATACAATGGAAATGAGTCTGAAAAGATGGGTCAGCATCTATTTTGTGGACAAGTACTTAGGAGTTTAAACAGTTTGGTCTTTATCCCACCTTCTGAAAAATATTGTAAGTTTTTGAAAGGGAAAAAGAGATCATGTAACTTGTAAGATGAAGGATGTTCACAAGAGGATGCATAAGAGAAGTGAGAGGTAGAAAACAGAAAACAATTACAGTTTTTGAACTATGTGAAAGATAATACTTCTTTCAGTTCTCTTATAAACTCTCAGCTATGGGCAAATGATGAAGCAAAGCAATCTGAATATAATGCCCCTTCTCTGTGTATTAGCTCCTCATGCTACCCTTTAATTGTTTATGTTACCCTTTAGTTATTTTTTTTTTAAAGATTTATTTTATTTATACAACAGCCGAGGTACAGCCAAGATGCATGGGAGGGTGAGAGGATTCACCAGAGACAGAGTGGGGAGCAGAACAGGCAGACTGACGAAATACACTGCTGAGGGGAGCAGCAGGTGAGACAGGAGAGTTCTGCTGTGCCATGTGGGTTGCTCCGGGCCCTCCTTTGTTCTTTTGACTATGCATACGGCACGTTTTTTGAGTCTTTATTTTGTCATAGACTAGGCAAAGCATGGAGGACAGAAATTAAGTAATATGGCATCAAATATCACAGAATATACTGGGAAAACAACCTAAAAATATCTATCTGCATCTTCAAGTGTCATCTTCTCTATCTCCCTTATCTCTAAATGGTACATTTGTACTGTGTGAGATTAAAAATGTTTCTATAGTGAGAGTCTCATTTTCTATCATCCAAATTTTGTCACCAGAGGAGGGGGTGTTTCTTATTTGAATTAATATGTGAGAACTTCCAAAGATTCTGAATTGTCTTGGGTAAGTCACCTGGCCTTCTAAATGGTCAAGGCAGTGAGGGTCTATGCCTTGTTGATTCCCACTAAAAGAAATACGTGGGGCCTCCCTGGTGGCGCAGGCGGTTGAGCGCAGCGCTGTGAAGCTGTCCACAGCCTCTGCAGTGCCAGTTCGATGCCCGCCAGCCTCGGAGCAACCCACATGGCGAGGAGACCTCTCCTGTCTCACCTGC